AAATCGTAGAGGTATGTCCCAAAGGTTCCTAAAACAATTATTTTACATGGAATTTTCTGATAAATTCTGTAACATTTTCAATCACCTCACGCTTATACCGACAACAAGTTATTTACTAATGACGTCAGCGTGAAATATCGCTTCATGTAGAAATTGACTGCATGCACACTTTTCACCCTGGCGTGGCACTTCACACTAACATGGCATTTAACGGTTTTTTAAATTTCTACTGGCAAAAGAAAATTGAGCTCTGTTCAACATTCGTTTTTTACATTCACATATAGATGAAATGCCAGCCTAAAGCAGCAAAAACACTTCAAGCCTTCAAAGAATTTATAATAACAAAAAAAACGCAAACAGGACGTTTCGGCCCCAAACCAAATCGGCCCCAGTTGAAAAATCGGCCCCTGGACGTTTCGGCCCTTTTCCGCGAGACGTTTCGGTCCCACTATAGTGTATTGCTTGATTGATTAACAACAATTAATTTAATTACAATTAAACAATTATGACACTTTAATTCTTTGAATAATTATTTATTATCTTTTGATCTCTTGAACCATTTAGATATACGTTAATCACTTAATGTTTTTAAAGGTGTAACAAACAATAAAGGCTGGTTACTTACTTATAAAACATTATCTTTTGATCTTAATTAAACTATACGTAATTTTTTCAAAGTGTAACTAATTTACTGTTAACTTTATGCTAATTGACGGTAGGGATGGGTACCACCAATTTTTTTGTACCGCGGTATATCGCGGTATTTCACCTGTGTACCGCGGTATGTACCACGGTATTATGAAGACACTTTTTAATGTTTAACTTATGCAAACTAAGACCAACTGCCATAAGAATGTTTAAACATTTTGATAAAACACAATACATTTTAGAAAAACAGATTAATATTAATTAAAATGCCTCCAAATATCCGATTTCCCCTTTGGATTTTTGACCGTGGTGAATTCGTCCATGACGGTATGAGCTGTTTACAAGTTGGGCTATGTCTAAATGCTTTACGTTTTGTTCTTGTCGCCACTCGTCAATACGTCAACATGTTTACTAGCCTTAGACTGAGCACTAACATGGGTGTCCCCTTTTAATGCATTTAAATGAAGAATGATATATAGAAATTATAAAAATGTCGGCGGATGAAATGTATTTACACTACATAATAAATATGAAAAACAACCGGGAAACGATCTGACCTTTCCGCGACTAATTATTCGTTAGAGTATTATACTGTGCATTTACTGCTGCTCTAAAAATAGACTTGGAATTCCACTTTAATTTAGGTTGATAGTTGAAACACAGATTACAGGGTAAATAACGTCCGAATCTTACAAAAATATTATGTAAAATTATATATATTAAAAAACCGGTATTCCTAGGGGTCGTACCGGTACGTACCGCGTCTGAGCGAAACCGCGGTATACCGGTAATACCGCACATCCCTAATTGACGGTATTGTTTTGTGTCTTGCTTCTTAATCATTTAAATAAAATATTATCTATTCAGGTTAATAATTGTTTGTTTGTGTATTATATTTTTTCAAATAAAGTTTACAGTATGTTCTGTTCTGTTTGTATTGATTACTTTCCCCCTACTACTATAATAATCTAGTTTTTATAGAAAATGATTAAATATATATATTAATTGATTATTTTTTTATTAAAATTCTATTAATATATCTGTTTAAAAGACAGTACTTATTCTGGGGCCGATTTGATAAAGGGCCGAAACGTCCGGGGCCGAAACGTCTTGGGTAGTTTGGGGCCGATACGTCTTGGGGCCGAAACGTCTCGAAATAAAAAAAAACTATGCAGGGCTCACGCTGTCGGTCGCCATAGTCGCCATTTGCGATTATTTTATAAGATTGGCGATTATTTTTGCATTTTGGCTACAAAATCTGGCGATTATTTTTTACTTCCAACAGTGTTTATATAAGGTGTAAAAATCGATAATGAATGCAGTAGACCCAATTAACACCAGCAGGGTGCATTTAATTGAATGTCAACTTTTTACCGGTCACGTGCTGCTAACTATATTGCCCGAGGTGATAAAATACATGCGAGATGCAGTGTCTATTCTAGGACGCGCGATTGCGCGATTCACGCTAGTATTTAACAGATCGCGCACAATTCAAAATCATGTGCGTGAAAATCGCGCATCTATAAAAAAAGTTAATAAAACCGTAAAACTTCCATCCCGCATTATATTTGGTTGTTTTGTTTACATTTACACCGAAAACCAAAGGGAGGTAACTGTAAGCTAATTATAATAATTTAGTACCGTATGGTACTGGTTTCGTGAGTTGACGGAAATTAACAGAATGTTCCGTATCGACCGGAACTAGTGTGCTAGGTCTGACAGTTGGGCGCCATTTTAGTGTAGTAAATAATCAAGAAAAATGAGGCAATTCCTAGCTTGGCTACGATCTAGACGTGAAAGATAGTTCGATTACTTGTATTGCCAATCCCTTTATAATCAATCGCGGCAGTTCTGTAATAATTTGTTTTCGTTTAAAAATTAAGGGGGGACAACTTCTGCTGCCTTAAATAAATATTATCGTTTTAATTATTTCATCGGTTGAACGCCTCAGTGTAAACTTAATGCAGACGATTTAACATTGGCAGTTTATATTGGCACACTGTCTTTGATTTTGAAAATCGCCCCCTTTTTTGAAATAGAGGGGGGAAAATCACCCCTATTTTTCAATTCCTAGAATAGACACTGGAGATGTATTACTGTATAAGTACTTTAAAGATGTTGTCCAGCATTTATAATAGCCATCAAATATCCGTCAATAAGCCACAAAAATCCTTTTAAAATTGATAAACTGGATATTGACTTACCCAAAATTTACCGTGAATTCCAGTAATTGCAAATTTTGATTTTTTTTTGTTTTAAGCTACTTGACTAAATCGCCAGTGGAAAACAATGGTAAAATATTTAAACAGTGATTTTCCTACTTATATAACAGACTCCGAAAAAAGGCCTCTTCCCAATTGAAATTTTCTTTCAAATCATGAAGTTTTCCCAAAAATCTGAACTTAAACCAGCTTTTTTACTTCCCAAATCAGAAATTTCGGCGATATTTTTTCCCAAAATCAAGAGGCTAAGGCCTCTTCCCAATAAAGTGAGAAAAATCACTGTTAAAAAGTATTAAATTCCAAACAACTATTTGCACAACAACCAAAATTGTGAATATTTCTTCAGAAAACAGGAAAAATCCGATTGTCACATATTTTCGCGACACCGATAATTTTGATATTTATTTTAAGGTGAAATAAGCTATGTTCTGTTTAAAAATCTTTACTACTATGGCAGAAAATTTGTATTACATTGGTGATGATGATATTTTTCAGTAAATTATTCAGAAAAAAGGCTGCATTCTGTGAATGAGTTTGCAAACTTGTGTTATTTCTATAGGCTAATATGACCTAGATCTACTCCAGTTCTGTGTGAAATGTGGAAATTGACAGTGGTAATTTGATTAGAACAAACAAAAAAAGTTGTCTGATAACAACATTATGTAAAGTTATAATGAATCTTTAATATTATTGTTATACAGTAATTATACTAATTATACAGTGTTTCTGCCAGAGCGCGTTTTTGCGTTTTTGGCGCATTATTTTCGGCCATGACGCAATGAAATTTAGTTAGTGCGTATTTTGTGACGCAAGAATTTCACCGTCGCTGATTTCAACACGAGTCATATATACAGACTATAAACTGTCAATTCAGTATAAAAATGTACGGAATGTTTACCGTGGGCTCCACTATAATTTTAATGAGAAATGAAATTTACCGGGTCCGTGGGCCGGCATTTAGCCAATTTCATCTAGTTAATAAACGCTTGAATTTATACGATACTGTATATTGAAAGCGCCCAGACAAAATTATTTATTTTGTTGTCGTCATATTCTGCGAACGAATTAACTGTCTGTGGAAAATGCCGTCTGCTCCAAAATAGTGGAGATTGACCAATTTCTTTACGAAAAATACACAAAATATTGTTGTCCATGACCAAAAAGAAGTATCATATGAAACATGTTGACGATGACACTAATTCCCCGAAAGAAAAACAATCCATTATAAGTGGTGTAATTTTGTTGATGAATAAATTGACATAAAAAATTAAAATAACCGTTTAAAAATATAACACAAAAACAAGTATTTAACAATATTTTTATTCACATATAGTTAAACTACATGATGGTACATAAATGTTCTCTGGCAAGAAGTAAAGTGCCTAAGAAAATGAAACTTATAAAGTGTTAGAATCTACCTGTTGTTTTTTACATTTTTGTTAAATTAATTGGCACGACCCTTATGAATTTGAAATGACCCCTAAAATATCACACATGGGGTCATAAAAGACCCTCAGAAAATCAGAGCTGGCAGAAACACTGATTATAACGTTTTTATTCTGTTCTATAATAACAATTAAAGTTGTGGTTCTATTTAAAAAAAAGGTAGTTATCAATATACACAAATGTATCAGTTTATTTGAGAATCCTTATAAAACTGAAAGATATAAATGTAATGTTTATTTAATCAACTGCTTATGTTGTTAATCACTTATTCGTGAATAGTCCGCTAAACTTTTGGCTATTATTTTTTTTAAGTTGAAATTATTGGCTATTATTTTATTTGAGCCAGTGTGAGCCCTGACTATGTAAGTTACTTTCAGACTTAGTTGGGATTCTTTGAGCAGTCGGGGTTATAATGTATAATGTTCTTGGAAATTTCTATGATTTCATTACATAACCAAGGATAACTTTTTTGACAAAAGAGCAAATAATTTTGATTTTAAAACCAATTACTTTCGACATATCTGCTATGCCATGAACTGTCTAGTTTTCAAGCTAATGATCACTGTCAATGGCAACACGTGAGCAGGGAATGATTGCAAAATATTAAAGTTTAAATCTAGTTGCATATAAAATTTAATGTGTTGAGTACGTAAATAATTAAGAAATTAATATGGTAAAACTTACTCAAATATATGCTCTTTACTCCAAATTTTCATGTTTTTGTACCCTGGTCGACTGTAAAGACGAAAAACTTGCCTACTTCCCGGTAAGCCTGTCACGTTCGCGACGACCTTTACGTAAAAAGGAAGAACCGAAAAACTATCTTTTAAATCTATATCCGCAGGGACTAGTTTCATTAAAAACTGTATTGAATTTCATATGAAATTCCAGTTTATGTTGAAAATGAAAAGAAATATATAAGAAAAATGTTGTTCACAGAGTTATTTTTTTAAGTATGGAATTGAATTATCCATCTAGACCCATTTAAATCAAGTTCGATGAAGTCTTATGCAATGATTGCGAACTATTTCTTTGAGTTATACCTGGCTTTTTCAGAGAGCGCAAAAATGCTGAGAACCAGTCAAATCGCATTCGGGATGTGTTCGGGAATTACGGACATTTCGGACCACGGACGTTTCGGACCAGACACTTCGTACCAGATTTTATGGTCATTTCGGACCAGATTTTGGGACATTTCGGACCATGTGATGGTCATTTCGGCCCATGATGGAGACACTTCGGACCAGAACATATATTCCTTTTAATATGTAATTATTTGTTATTTCAGATGTATTTAATATATTTTCTAATAATAAATGCAACAAATATTTGACAATTTTATATTTTATGATATTCAAAATGCATGCAGTAATGACCTGTCCGTCAATTTTAATCAAATTAAATCGTGTTTAAGCAGGTATTAAAGAACAACGACATCCTTGTCAATGCAGCTTTTCACACGCTTTAATTGCTGAATAGAACTTGTTTAAGTTACGTTTCACTCAATTAAAGAAGTATATGTATGCAATTTTCACCTAATTTGACAACAAATATTTAAATTGATTGGAATGCGATTAAAGTACAGTTTTAATCATCAATAAACAAATTGATTATAATTGTAAAAAATTGATGTCCATACTGCAATATAAAAATGTCTTTTTGTATATACTTTATAATAAATTGTTTGCGAATACGAATAAAAATAATAATAATAATAATTTAAATGTTTGCAAACGTGTCATTAAAACGTTGTTTTTTTTTTTGTTTTTTAATTTTCTTCATTTATAGTGCAAAATATATTAAATCTTAATCGGGATAGGTGTAAAATCGTTCCATGGTGTCTCATATATTCTAAAGTTACACTTTAGTTTAAAGTATAATTGATGCATAATATATTTTAAAAAAATATTTATTCTGGTCCGAAACGTCCAAAATAATGGCCCGAAGTGTTTAACACACGATCCCAAATGTCCAACACATGGTCCGAAATGTCTAACGCATGATCAGAAATGTCCAACACATGGTCCAATATGTCCAAAAATCTGGTCCGAAATGTCCCTAAATATGGTCCGAAGTGTCCCAAAATCTGGTCCGAAATGTCTGGTCCGAAACGTCCATGGTCCGAAATGTCCTATTACCGTGTTCGGCTATTATCTAAAATAACTGGGTCAGAATATACTATTTCAAGAATGGTCAGACTAAACTTTAGATTTTCCCATAGTCCTACATTGTAAAAATCTAAAATGATCGAGTATAATCACCCAAAATCATACCTTATGGATTATGATGTGATTTTTTAATGTGAATGAAAAACCTAAACTCGTGTTACTAGGACAGTAAACTATTGGTATTAAATAGTTTAAGTCCCAGCGCCGATTTACTTATCTACCTGCCAGAATTCACCACAAGAAATGTATTAAAATATCTAATTCAGTTTTAATCTTACTGAACCAAAAGACACAAATATTTCCTAAGATAATGCATCTTGAATACTTAATTAAAAGAGACACTATAATTATCTGAAGTTATGTGTAGAATTAAATCATCACATAGCAACTATCATTAAGCGCCCAAAAGCATTCAAAATCACGAATAATACAAGAAATCGCTTACTTAATTCATACACATGTAGACATATAAACAAAATATTTAGCTCCATGATTCATATAAAGTCAGTATATTCACACACACAAAAAATATTCGTACTGTTTAAGGTTATGATGTTGGTTTTTATTTCAAAATGTTTTCACAGAGCTATATTTTGTCACGGATTTAAATTACAATTAAATTAAATTAAATCGTCAATTAAAGTCCGTGATTTTGTATATTAGTCTCTAATGTTTTTCAACGGGGTAATTTGTTCAAGAGGATAATTTGTGTGTATATGTAAAAAAATACAATAAAGAAATGTTATGTAAAGTTCAAACACGATCGTTTAGTCCTTATAGCCCTACAATAATAAGAGAAAACAGGATATGTACAAGTAAACTAATTACCACAGAAACATACATGTAAAATTATATATATACTAAATTTAAAAAAAGAAGTATCTTTAAAAGAAATACCCGACCGAAGTAAAATTGGTTAACTTGCATATGTTAGTTCTTTGTTTTCCATGCGAAGTCATATAGAATTGTTAGCATAGCTGCAATAATTTCTTGTAGGGTTATTTATCTTGAAAATGGAACATATTTAGATGTATACATGTGTTTCTAAAAATACCTTTCTGAAACAATTTTTGTATTCGATCCTATCAAATATCACACTTTCATCTTACATCCTTATATCTTACTGAACCTTACGGTTTTCTATATTTTTTCCAAGAAAACGCCAGATATATAAATACGTTAATCTGACTAATGGAAAGGGCCGACGACCTAATCGAACTTTTGTGTCGGCGAAGCAAAATGCGCATGTATTTAAGCCAAACCAAATTTACTAAAAACTGTTTACTTATTGTAGCATACAAAAGAAAATACCCTACATGTAATATTCAAAAGTTCAAAATATGTAAAAAGTCTCCCCGTACATTTAATCAATGGTGTTATATTTTCGATCCTTGAAGATCGTTCAACACGACATTATTGTTGTGTATTCATTTTAGATGGTGTTTTTAGTTTCTTGTATTTGGCCTTTTTCAACGTGAGTGGTTCGAGTATTTCTACTTGAATACTGTATAATCACCCTTAGGATATGTTGCCTGCTTTTTAAATTTGTCTTTTGAAGTCTTGTCTGTGATATGCAGGCTTCATAACCTCAGATCCCCTTTCAAAATTCCATTTTATTTAGTTCCGCCCTTTGTTTTTCTCGTTTAGGGCATACGCACTCTTTTACTTGGGGAACATACGCAGCTTTTCAAGGAATGACACCACTGTGTCACATTGAAGGTTCCATGATAACCGCCGTATGAAAACATCTGCGGATGTGTCTAAATTCAAAATTTCACCATTTTTGTGATTAAATGTTGAATTCTGCTTAAGCCGGTGCTAGGGGGCGTGGACGGTAACTTGCATTTTCCAGTACCGTCCATGGAGAGGCTCAATCAAACCGAGCCTGCAACATTTTACAATTTTGCCGTGTTGGTCTTTCTTCAGGGATTCTGTTTTCTCTATTTCTTGGTAAAACCGTCTACATATTCGTGTTTTATGTGAACTAACATTTTCAAAGTCATGCCACATGTGGTATTCACCATTTACAACACTACTGATTGTAAAACAAACACTTTCATACATGCGACTGTAATTTTCTGTAGACAATGTAGAATTTAGTACGTTGGTCATACCAAGCAACCTGTATCCCGTCGTAAAAAATAACCATAGCTCAGATATTAATAATTTTGTAGATAAACAGTTTTCATCCAAAGTAGCAACACATTTTTAACCAGAGAAAAACGATCTGGAACTAAAAAATAGTCTAAATACTTAATCGTTATTTATTTAAGTGTATAAATGATATATCCAAAGGATTTGTCGGTGACAACAAGTACTACTTAGGAGTTTAAACCATATCAATTAGGTGTATCAGAGGCAATTTAAATTATAACAAACCTGGAAACAAAGTCAATGTAAAAACTGATACATAAAATGAAAAATTCTAGCAAATGTTTTGGTTGCAAAAGAAGAAAAAGTACCAGTACATACAGATGAAAAAATAACTTATGGCCTATATTAACACAAAAAACTAAATGTAGTATTAATGTTTCATGTTTTTTTAGGAAGACAAAACGAAATCAGTTAAGCAAACAAAAAACTAATTAAAAAAAACAATGCACTCTCGATTGCTTTACGAATCCTTTATAGTCATTAAATATACTTCATGCAAAGTCTAGCTAACTGGCGCTCACATTTTTTATTGTTCATATTACTTCCCACAATTATCGTAATAATACATTTTGGAGTGACAATACTTCCCACAATAATATTATTATAATAATAAATTTTGGCGTGACAGTATTTCCCACAACTATAATGATAATACAATTTGGCTTGACAATGTGCATTAACGGTATCTTCCTATGTCACACAATACTATTTTTTACTATGCATCAAGCAAGACGAAGAGATAATATAAACTTAGGCACATAGAGTGGGTAAAATGGGAGGGGGGGGGGGTAAAAAGTACCATTTGGAACTAGATTTTACTTTTATGGGCAATTTATCTTTCATGACATAAAAATAAGGTTTTCATCCTGGGTATTTCATATACATATATGTGTATGTGTGTTTCGATGAAATAACATTTTATTCATTTCGGCAAAATGTTTTGTAAGTCCAATAAAATCACAGATATACATACAATATATTTAGCTCCATGATAAAATAGAGTGTGTCTGACCTAATAATCAGGTATTTTAATCAGGTATTTTAATTGTTCTTGCTGTTAAACGTAAAGTTGTTTGATTGTCTAACTGTACGTAGAACTACAGTGTACATGTATACTAACATTAGGAACGTAAACAAAACGAGGATGTAGCACCATTTACCGCGAGATTAAATGTGACGTAATTTGATTAATACCCGGGGGCTACGCCCTCTCGTACAAACCAGATATCCTCGTGTTTCGATGCTCTTCTATTAAAAATAAAAGCCGTGGATATCAAACGGTTTATATTTTGAAATACAAACCCGTGATATTGATAATAAAATTTTTAGTCTGTAAACCAAAAAAAAATTATGAAAAGTTTTACATCGGTTGGGGTTATTAAAGAATAACAAAAATCGATTGTTTTTAATGAAACAAGGTTAGTTTTTAAAAAGTAGTAGGACTCGTTTTTCGTATTTTTTTCAAGGGGTGTGTTTAAATGAAAAAATGCATTTCTGTTGCTAAAGAGATTTCAGCGAACATAAAAAATAAAAGTAAAGTAAAAACACTGGCCCGGTGCCCGAGGCCATTTGATAAAATTTAGGCCAGTGTAAATTTAAAAAAATTTTTGTTAATTATTTGTGAAAAAATTCAAAACTGGGAAATTTGGGCCAGTAAAAACAAAAAAATTAAATCATTGACTGAAAGTGACATATAAAGTTCTCTCAGTTTTAACCAAGATGAGTTTGAGTATATATGAAGGTGCATGTAAACAGATTGAATGAAGAACCTATGTCTATGCACATTTACTATATGGCCTGTTGACCTTGACCACAAAATGTTAGATAGTTAGATTTCATAAAAGATGTCTCTTTATACAAAATTAAGTTGTAATACATGTATGTTATTTAGTATTGGAATGAGAGGCACAAGTCCTAAAGTAAACACAAGTTGTCAATCAATTCAGTCAGAAAAGCCGGGATCCTATTAAAAAATATAGGGATCCCGGAAATTGACCAGTCTAAGAAGATGTTTTTCAGATAAGCCGGGATCCTATTAAAACATATAGGGATCCCGGGAATTGACCAGTTCAATAATATAGTTTTCAGAAAAGCCGGGATCGTATTAAAATGTAAATAGATCTCACGGACTGGCCAGTTCAAGTATATAGTTTTCAGAAAAGCTGGGATCGTTTTTAAAACATATTGGGATCCCGGGATTTGACCAATTCAAGAAATAGTCTTTGATTTTTCCAATTAATTAGGCATATAATTATAAGTATTGTGATTTCCGCATTTTAAGTTTGTTAATAAATAGCTCTAAATATATCTATATTCTAAGTTAAATTAATTTAACGTTCATTATATACAATAAAAAAAACAACGTTTAAAATGGCCTTTCATTACGACAACAATCAACACAAATATAGTTCATTAGGTTTTTTCCTCCATATCTTATAAGATCCCAGATCCCGGGCGTCCCGGATCCCGGCCAGTAAATACATACACTAAATACCGGAAAGGATAAATGACCGGAAAAAGGGAAAAATAAAAATGCACAGAACCAGATGTACACTTATGTTAATTAACCAAAGGAAAAACTTACTACAGAGAAAACAGGTGAAATCGCTAAATCAGAAGTCAGTGTAAATATGATTTATTGAAAAGAATTCATAAAGACAAACATTTTAATCATCATTATATCTTTGCGCTCAAAACAATACTTGCTGATTTTTAAAAATGGCGTGAAAATTGAAGGTTTTTTGACGCTATGTAAGATTAAATTTGATTGGCTAAATAATTTTGGATCCTAGCCCTGATAGATAAATTTTGTAGAAAGCTGGAAGCCAAGCTTCGATTAAATTTTTGGATAGCTTCGGAGTTTTAGGTTGTTTCTCAGTAAAATCCTACCGTAATACCGGCTCGCCGTGGCGAGCCGGCATAAGTATCATCCTGCACGAGTATGAAATCTAAAATGTATTTTGTTCGCTGCCTATGTTAGTTCAACGGGTCGAAAGGGAGTAGTGGTAGTCAACCTACAAAAATATATAGTTATCTGCAACCTCTTTGCTGAGTAAGCATCAGCCAATCATAAACAGTTTAGCATATCCATTCGGCAATGAGATTGTTATGGTTACAGCGCCAATATGGCGACTAAAAACATTGCGGCGTAGAGATTTTTACATTAAACTAAGATAGCGTTTAATTTTCAGTGTAATTCATCCACAAACAAGGTAAATTACAAAAAACAACATTTTGTTATTATTTGTTTTGGAATTATCATGGCCATTTAAAGAACTGTTGGATGTGATATGCAAGCTAGACTCTCAGATAATTTTGCTTTAAGTTTAAGTTTAATTTGCCATGTTTGCCCACATATTTGTCAAATACAAGTGTTTATGGCAGTCATCAGTTAAGAAATAGTGTGCTCAATATTACTTTTGACTAGATCTAGAGTCTAGAAAATGATATCAATTTGATGGTAATTGTTAGGAATTGTGTCACATCCAGCCTACCAGGTGCTTGAAACAAACTTTTTTATGTTCTATATATATGGGCTATATACTATAGTATCTTAATATATTTATGTAGGTCGATTATGAAAAATATCTTTGGTCACATTAGTCCAATATATTAGACGTTACAGGCCTGATGTAGTTATTGCTCAAAAACGCATAGCATAAAAAAAAATTCAAAAAAAGTATCCTGGTTGTACTATCTACTGGGATTGTAAGACTTATTAGGCCCACCATCATATAATACAGAAAAAATCTAGGGTAAAATAGTTATTTTCTGTAGAAGGTACCATTTTTTTGATGAAAATAACAATCATCCAAAAGAAATTTTAACTATACATCAAAAAGATAGTTCTGTTAATAACCTCACATGTCTGGCAGCCATCTTTGTTTTTAAGTACTTTATACCAGGAATTGCTTTTAAGCAATCAATAAAAAGTTAAAAACATATGTAAATGGTCCATTACTGTTAATGATACTAAAGCTCTATTCAATATTTATCAGTTTATTATGATTCACAATGTCGTATCTAATGCATTTTTTAAAGACAATAATTGTTTTACGTCATTATAATCCTAAAAAAAGGGTAAAAAAAAAATATACTTAATTATCGCTATTACATGCCATAATGGTGAATTCCCCAGAGCTAATATCTAGAATGTACAGATAACGATGTTGAGCTAGGTTTTTAAATTCATGAATGAAAATTATAGATCAACTTTGATCAATGTAAACGCGCCGGTCACATGTAAATACATCATTACTGTGAGATTATTTATGACACAAAATTATTGATGTTGACTATATGGTGTATCTCAAGATTTAAACCAGTAGTTGTATTTTCAGGAATCAGCCTGTTGTGAAAAATGTCAGCCAACAGACGCCGCTTGCGTAACACAAGTGGCAAATTGTCAGTGTATGTCATCAATAAACTGCATGCTCTTTATTTTCATTTTTTATTTATCTCCTATTGGCTTAAAATATACCTTACATTTGCTTTAAATTGACCTAATATTGGCTTTAAATTTATCTCATACTGGCTTATATATTTAGCTCATATAGTTTAAAATTTCTTTTCTTCTCATATTTCTGTTGCTTACATATAGAATTAATGCGATGCAGGGACTGCCACACTATTTTCATGCATCATTCATTTATTCACCTTTATTTGCATGGCAATGAGTGAATGATTTCTGTCATATAGACTAGTGACAATTATAATTGATTTTATTCATGAACATTTTAATAAATTTCAAACTGACTCATTGTTCAAATAGTTACTGATTCTAAAATTTGAGAATTCATGGTAAACTATCTACTATTATGCTACATACAAAATGTTGATTGCTTTTTATTTTGACATCAATTTTCTTTTGGCAGTTCTTGGACATTGTTTATTAACTGTTCCATTTTTAGCTCGACTATTCGTAGAATAATCGAGCTAATGCAGTCACCCATTTGTCGGCGTCGGAGTCCCTGTGGTTAAGTTTTTGTATGTAAGCTGGTATCTCCATAACTACAGAAGGGAATGGATTGAAACTTCACACACTTGTTCTCTATGATTATCTAAGATGATTGGCACAAGTCCCATAACTCTGATTTGCTTTTTTACATAATTATGCCCCTTTTTCGACTTAGAAATTCTTGGTTAAGTTTTTGTATGTAAGCTGGTATCTCCATAACTACTGAAGGGAATGGATTGAAACTTCACACACTTGTTCTCTGTGATTATCTAAGATGATTGGCACAAGTCCCATAACTCTTATTTGCTTTTTTACATAATTATGCCCCTTTTTCGACTTAGAAATTCTTGGTTAAGTTTTTGCGTGTAAGCTGGTATCTCCATAACTACTGAAGGGAATGGATTGAAACTTCACACACTTGTTCTCTGTGATTATCTAAGATGATTGGCACAAGTCCCATAACTCTGATTTGCTTTTTTACATAATTATGCCCCTTTTTCGACTTAGAAATTCTTGGTTAAGTTTTTGTATGTAAGCTGGTATCTCCATAACTACTGAAGGGAATGGATTGAAACTTCACACACTTGTTCTCTGTGATTATCTTAGATGATTGGCGCAAGTCCCATAACTCTGATTTGCTTTTTAACACAATTATGCCCCTTTTTCGACATAGAAATTCTTGGTTAAGTTTTTGTGTGTAAGCTGGTATCTCCATAACTACTGAAGGGAATGGATTGAAACTTCACACACTTGTTCTCTATGATTATCTAAAATGATTGGCACAAGTCCCATAACTCTGATTTGCTTTTTTACATAAAAATGCCCCTTTTTTGACTTAGAAATTCTTGGTTAAGTTTTTGTATGTAAGCTGGTATCTCCATAACTACTGAAGGGAAAGGATTGAATCTTCACACACTTGTTCTCTGTGATTATCTAAGATGATTGGCACAAGTCCCATAACTCTTATTTGCTTTTTTTACATAATCATGCCCCTTGTTCGACTTAGAAATTCTTGGTTAAGTTTTTTTTGTATGTAAGCTGGTATCTCCATAACTACTGAAGGGAATGGATTGAAACTTCACACACTTGGTCTCTGTGATTATTTAAGATGATTGGCACAAGTCCCATAACTCTGATTTACTTTTTCGCATAATTATTCCCCTTTTTCGATTCATAAATTCATGGTTAAGTTTTTGTGTGTAAGCTGGTATCTCCTACTGATGGGAATGGATTGAAACTTCACACACTTGTTCTCTGTGATTGTATTGAAACTTGAAGGGTTTGTACCTTTTCCTACAATTTGATGTTTTCATATAGGTAAGCATTATTATACTCAATGAAACACCCTTGTGACAAATTTTCGAATAGTCGAGCGTTACTGTCCTCCGACAGTTCTTGTTTGAAAAACATTTGAAACTCTTTTATTTAAAATTGTCTCATTTGAAGGTATATGACCATATTATATTCATATATGTATACCGTTATTGTATTTAATATGAGCATGATGCAAAAAAAGTAAAAGATTAATACTCCAGCTTTTATATACATGTAGTACATTGTAATTGGATAAGTAGATAGTCAAGATCATTATTGAAATTATTGACATGTATAGATGATTTCCACTTAACAATTTGAATTGATCTCTTTGCTAGATAGTTAAAGCAGATAACAGATTGCTAGATAAAATCAATATTTGAGCCGTGTCATGACAAAACCAACATAATGGGTTTGCGACCAGCATGGATCCAGACCAGCCTGCGCATCCGCGCAGTCTGATCAGGATCCATGCTGTTCGCTATCAGTTTCACTACTTGTTATTGGGTTTGTAAGCGAACAGCATGGATCCTGATCAGACTGCGCGGATGCGCAGGCTGGTCTGGATCCATGCTGGTCGCAAACCCATTATGTTGGTTTTGTCGTGACGCGGCTCATATGTTGTAGTTTGCATGACATCATAGATGATTATTTTTAGATGTGGCATGGAACTCAACATTATTAATTTATTTTATATCTACACTGTGCAACCTCTGCACTCTGCAGGGTGGCCCTGACTGTATCGTTTCTTTCCTAAGAAAGAATTTACCTTAAATTTAACTGCAATAGAATAACAACCAAAGTCTAAGTCTTTCAAAGGAGTTTTTTCTAATGAAATTGCAGTAGTTTTGGACTGAATAAATTAACAATCCAGACCGATTTTCAGTTCATGACCAAAGGGCCTTGTGTAACATTGATTTTACATTCACATGCCTATTAATAGCATTTTTTACAAGGACATGCTGCTACCGGTATGTGCTAAAAATGACTTCATTCTACCATTATTAATGAAGCTACAATTTACTATAAGCAAAAAGATGCTTAATAAAATATTTGTATTAATAATTTCTTTTAGAACCAGGGCTTTTTTCCTTCTATAGTAGGGGCCTGTATAGGGTTGCTTCCCCAAAGAAAAATTCTTTAAATTGTGCAGTTTTCCCCAAAAATTGAATTTACAAAATTCCAAAATGACCAATTTAAGCGATAATTTTCCCAAATAAAAAAAAGGCTAAGTGTTACTGTTTTAAAAGGTAAATTCAGCAGAGCCTAATATGTTACTGTCATTGACAGTTACTTTTGAGTTAGATCATAAGTCAGATATGTTACTGTACCATGACAGCGTCTTAATGAAGCTAAGATATTTATTAACAGAGCAAAAATTTTACATCAAACAGCTTTACTTGTGAGCTCTTCTCTATGTCATTTGCATCTTAGTGAAATCATATGAATTGTTAAAGCATTTATTCATTTAATGGTTTGTGTGTATAACTTTAAGGTTCAAGTAAGTTTACAACCTCATATAACCTTTTGATATAAATTATCCTAATTTTTTCTTCATTTAATAGCATGGCAATTGTAACGAAAGCTTTTACAGATTTACAGTAATTCTACTCCACTTATTTGCAACATTTCTATATTACTCTCTTTCTTTATTGTAATGGTAAATGTTGTGATTTCACTACATGTACTCTTTTTTTTCATACATTAGTATACTGTATGTTTATGAAGGAAATTAGTAGTAAAAATAACCAGATTTATATTTAACCTAATATATGTTTGGTTGTGACAATTTAAAATATTTAGAATTTTTTAAGGATAAAGATTTTCTCATTAGTAGAAAATAAACTGATTTCTATTAATAATAATAAGCTGCAAGTAATTTATTATAATTATATCGATTTTTAGCTCACCAGTCACAAAGTGACAGGGTGAGCTTTTGTGATCGCTTTTCGTCCGTCCGTCCGTCGTCCGTCCGTCCGTAAACTTTTACTTTAAATGACATCTCCTCATAAACCACTGAGCCAATTTCATCCAAACTTCACAGGAATGTTCCTTTGGTGGTCACCTTTAAAAATTGTTCAAAAATTTAATTCCATGCAGAACTCTGGTTGCCATGGCAACCGAAAGAAAAAACTTTAAATATCTTCTTTTAAAAAACCATATGAGCTAGAGCTTAGATATTTGGCATGAAACATCTTCTAGTGAGTGTCTACCAAGTTTGTTCAAATAAAAGCCCTGGGGTCAAAATTGGCCCGGCCCCAGGGGGTCATTGATTTTCCCTATATGCATATAGTAAAAACTTAAAAAATCTTCTTTTAAAGAACCCAAAGAGCTAGAGCTAAGATATTTAGCATGAAACATGTTCTAATGGGTGTCTACCAAGTTTGTTCAAATAAAAGCCCTGGGGTCATAATTTGCCCCGCCCCGGGGGGTCATTGATTTTCCCTATATGCATATAGTAAAAACCTAAAAAAATCTTCTTTTAAAGAACTCAAAGAGCTATGGCTAAGATATTGAGCATCAAACATGTTCTAATAGGTGTCTACCAAGTTTGTTCAAATAAAAGCCCTGGGGTCAAAATTGGCACTGCCCCGGGGTGCATTGATTTTCCTTATATGTGTATAGCAAAAACTTAAAAATCTTCTTTGAAAAAACCCAAATAGCTAGAGTTAAGATATTAAGCTTGAAACATCTTTTAGTGAGTGTCTACAAAGTTTGTTCAAATAAAAGACCTGGGGTCAAAATTGGCCCCGCCCCGGGGGTCATTGATTTTCTTTATATGTGTTTAGCAAAAACTTTAAATCTTCTTTGAAAAAACCCAAATAGCTAGAGTTTAGATATATTAAGCATGAAACATCTTCTAGTAAGTGTCTACAAAGTTTGTTCAAATAAAAGCCCTGGGGTCAAAACTGGCCCGGCCCCAGGGGTGTCATTGTTTTTAACTATATGTGTATAGTAAAAACTTAAAAAAAACTTCTTTTAAAAAGCCCAATGAGCTAGAGCTTAGATGTTTAGCATGAAACATCGTCTTATGGGTGTCTACCAAGTTTGTGCAAATAAAAGCCCTTGGGTTAAATTGGCCCTGCAACGTTGGGGGGGGGTTGTGGGGGTTTGGGGGGACTATATACAGGTGAGCGACCTCAGGGCCATCATGGCCCTCTTGTTACAATTCAAGTCAACTCAGTTTCTTTAAGGAAAACAGGTAAAGAGGTTTAGAATTTGTGAAACTTTGTTGAAAATATGATAAAACTGTTTTTCAATAATTCAATATTCAAACAGAGGCAATCCTTTGAAATTTATTGACTGGGGATAAAATACTTTTAGCTTGAGAATTGTGTACAATAACTAGTTAACTGGTTTTCTAGTGAGCTAATAAGGTATTAATTGCCAGCATTGCACATATCATTATATCAACATAGATAAGACAGAAATAAGAGAATAATTCCTCATTAATGTAATAACAAGATTGCTGTAAAATTCCATGTCATTTCTTGATTATACATATATATTGATTGTCTTATTTATATATATTTGTAGAAGCAGTATGCCGTTGGGTCCATTTGGTGAGGTTGTGGGTACAACCGGAACCTTGGAGGCCATTGGAATAGACAACAATGCTTATAAGAGCAAGGTTGTCGCTCCACGAAATCCAAAATTACTCAAACTTGGAGAAGATGAAGGGTTTAAGGTACTTGTTTTTATTTGTTTCTTAAAATTCTGGACATATAATGGTTTGAAAGAAATTTCTTTGCATTTCTATTATTTATTCTTATAACTTTAATGCGCTGGAACTGTCCATTATCAATTTTAGGGATATTAAGATAAAAAAAATTCAACAGTATAGATTACAAGCATGGTCAGACTGCACAGATGTGTAGGCTGGCCTGGCTCTACACTGGGGGCAAAGGCTGAATTCACTTTTGGTTCCAGCAACCTTACCAATATGCTGATCTGTATATGATTATATATTATTTATTTAATGTATTTTTAGATGACACCTAGCAAGTACATGTTTGACATGCAGATGAACACAGAGCAGAAATTAGCTAACACTCACACAATGAAAGTTCCGAGGAAAATCGAACTTCTTGACATGGCTGACACAAGTCTTCAAAAGGTAACAATTTATATTTTCAGAACATTGCTTCAAAAAAGAACCATTGCAAGGTACAATTGTAATAAAATTGAAACATGTTTGTTTAAGGTTGTATACTTACATCAGTGTTGCATCGCACATTTGAAATGTTTTACTAGTATTTTGTTTATTGTTTCCTACATAAAACTACTTATTATACTATAAAACACCTACATTATTTGATATTAAGCTAAGAACAACTGTTAAACATTATATCGAAACATCAATAGATTGAATTAAGATTATATTTTGAGTTATAATTTTTTTTAAAGCTACATTGTCAAGTTTTCATTTCATATTTCTGTTTCCAAAAAACAATTGATTTTGAAACGGCCAAATTTTGTTCTGAAATTAATACAATGTATAATGCTGACAATTTCTTAACATTTGTGTTTTGAAATTGTTATGTGTGTAAATAATAACTAGAAGGTAGTTTGTTAGCTTCAGAAACTTATTTCTTGGAGGACAAAAAATGAGCCGCATCATGACAAAACCAACGTAGTGGGTTTGCTACCAGCATGGATCCAGACTAGCCTGCGCATCCGCACAGTCTGATCAGGATCCATGCTGTTCGCTATCAGTTTCTCTACTTGTAATAGGGTTTGTAAGCTACCAGCATGGATCCTAATCAGACTGTGCGGATGCGCAGGCTGGTCTGGATCCATGCTGGTTGCAAACCCACTATGTTGGTTTTGACGTGACACGGCTCAAATGTTTTAACTTTGTATTTTGTCACGGTATATTTAGTTAACAGTTGTGATTGTGTGTGCGGAAAAATTTTCTTCCAGCTGTAAGCTGAATAGGGAGAGAACTGGGTTTTTAATCCAGAAATAGCTTGTTTAATCATTGGGCAAGGCGTTATTTATCATAGTAACTGAGTTTATCTCATTCCTTGAGTGTAATGGTCTTTTTTCTCTTACTGTGATTTGGAAATCATGTGGGATTAGTAGTTGGTTACTGATACAGAAATTGGTAAATACTTGTTAGTTATCCAGGAAAGCAAGGTTAATTATCCAGGAAAGCTTGGTTAGTTATCCAGGAAAGCTGGGTTGGTTATCCAGGAGAGCTTGGTGAGTTATCCAGGAAAGCTGGGTTGGTTATCCAGGAAAGCTGGGTTGGTTATCCAGGAAAGCTGGGTTGGTTATCCAGGAGAGCTTGGTGAGTTATCCAGTAAAGCTGGGTTGGTTATCCAGGAAAGCTGGGTTGGTTATCCAGGAAAGCTGGGTTGGTTATCCAGGAAAGCTGGGTTGGTTATCCAGGAGAGCTTGGTGAGTTATCCAGTAAAGCTGGGTTGGTTATCCAGGAAAGCTTGGTGAGTTATCCAGTAAAGCTGGGTTGGTTATCCAGGAAAGCTGGGTTGGTTATCCAGGAAAGCTGGGTTGGTTATCCAGGAAAGCTGGGTTGGTTATCCAGGAAAGTCTGGTTAGTTATCCAGTAAAGCTGGGTTAGTTATCCAGTAAAGCTGGGTTACTTGGACTTACTCACTGCCAGGATATGAACAAAAAAGTGTTAAAATCATTGTAAAAACCAAACAAACAAACAGTATGGAAATATGAATAATTTAAATACCAGCATTAAATAGGTTTCAAGGCTACATCTTTATAAGGCATTCAATATTACAGATGATGTGTTTTATGTACTTAAAGCAAAATACATTTGAAAGGCCTGGGTTTATCAGAGAGGTAAGTTTTTGGCGGCATGCACCAACATATATCCCCGCAAGCATGTGAATATTTGTATTATTTTATAACCATGACAATGAAATGCTGATGTTTATTACTTGCTTTAATTTTTATTTATTTTCAGTGAATTATTGAAATATTTTGTTATAATTTTGTTTTTATCAAAAAAAAATTTCAGCTGTTTATCATGATTTTTCTGGATATATTGACATTTAATATATAAGATCCGAAATCAGTCCTCTGAAAAATTATATCCAGGCTTTGTTAAAACACAGCATCAAGTATTCAAGTTTTTGTTTATTTGCGGGCTCTGAAATGTCAAAGTTGTATATATATCTAGTAAAGCTGCATTTTTTGTTTTAATTTACATAAATTGCCATAGTTTTATGTATGAAAATGATGATAGACTTATATTATTTTATATATAATTCACCCATTATTGCTTTGAAAAGAGTGTTGTTTATACATGTCTTATAAAAATTCCTTTTTAGTACTGATCGTTTAGGATAATCTGTCAGTTGGACCTAATAGATATATCTTTTCACAAATAGAACAAAAAAAAAGCATTTTTTTTTCAATGATAAACAATCATGTAATTTAAAGCTGTTAATTTTTTTTTAATATCTAGTCTTAAATAATTCATTAAAAGAAAGGACCAAATTTTGTTTCTTATATCAGAATTTAGTACTTAACTGCATCCCTTTGAACTCTACCTTAAAAATCTGATTATAAACTTCTAGACCACAACATGTGATTAATTATAGGCCTGTACAACCACTAAATAGACACACTAGCTTACATAATCAATCTGACCATCCTATATTGCTGTTAAAACTCAATGTTCATATTTTGATGAAGAGAATGATAGATTAATATTTAAAATTTGACAAGCCCATCATATACATGTACATTATATACATTAAGCGGTGTAGGGGTTAATGAAATAGTCATTTGCAGTTATCAAGTCTCAGTATTGAACAGGTTGTGCCACATTTGGCATGATTAAGTGAAATATTTTCAAGAATTAACTTTATGAATATCATACAGACATGTAAAAAAAATGATCCAGTTTTAACTGTTAATACAAAAAGTAAGTCAAAATCACTTAAATTGTCTATTGAACAATGCCAATTTTATGATAAACCCATTTTTGGCATCTGTGCCGAAGCATGATGCCCTTTATGGAATGCATTCAGATTTTGTAAAAGGGCAACTGCAACTTCTCCGGCCTTTTCGTCAGTCATAATAGCCAAGGATTTTCCGATTGTTGATTTTTAAAAAGGAAACTGTCATTTGTGTCGCTTTATGGTAATATAAGATGGTAGAGAAAGGGCTGTATAAGACAAGTTACAGAGTTCTTTCCCTTTATTCATTACATTTCTATAAAAAGATTGAAGTTCAAAGCAGACAGATTATCCAGGGTGATTGGTATTAAAAGGTATTGATATACCTATTTTTAAAAATCCTGTAATTTTTGTATTTAGCTAGTTATTTATTCTGTAAAGGAAACCAAGCATGTTTGTTACCCCCAGATAAATGGTAAACAATATGAAGTATTTTACAAGATGCCCTCCCTACTGTGTTGTTAAAGTTTTATGAATTTTTCATGTTAATTTTATAGTGTATTATAAGAAAGAGATAGATAGTGTCTGGAATAAAACAACATTTGTTGTTATATTCTATAAAATGAAATAAGTTCTTTTACTTAGATCATATTATAAGTTTGAATTAAATAATTATCTCTCTCTGTGGTCTAAATGCAACTTTTCAAAATTTAATGTGTAGTGAAAATATGATCAAGTGCTAATATTTAAACATGTCATATAGAGACAAATATTTCTATTTGAGTGATTTATTGTTTACAAAGAATTTCTTTCAAGCTTAAACCATATGTTATGTTGTATTGATGATACAAGATCCTATCTACTAGCGTTCTATTTTTTTTACTGTGGTTATGTTGTAAGGACCAGAGCTCAGGCGATAACACCCCTGGTATCATAGAGGTTCATGCATGTTACACCTACATAGCATATTATATGTAACTAGTAAAGGGAAGTAACGCAATTACCAGAATGAAATATTCATTTTAAGAGTTATCTTTCTTGATATTGTAACGCCTTCTTAGTGTCCATTATGTGAAATTGATGAAAAAAAAACTGGAGGTTCATTCTAATCATGATAAGTTTATAAGCATTTTGTATTTTTGTCATACAGAAAAGATCTTTCTCTCAAGGGGAACCAGCTGATTCTTTACTTACACTGGTATCCAGCCATGTAAGAATAAATTTATGTTAAAGTTACAGATGTAATTATCTGTTTTGAGACATGTTTTTAGTTTTGTTTGATGTTCCTTTTTTAGTTAAAAACAAGATTTACTATTTTTTTTAGATAAATTTCTTTTTTAATGTTATGCAGTAAAACTATAATTCAATTGAAAGTTTCTTAAAAATGATTGTTGGATAATTGGATGTTAATTTATTGTCTAAAGGTACTAGTGTAACAATTTTCCTTAGTGAAGTTACAGGTTAACTCCTATTAAAGATTAATATGAGTTAACCTGTGAGTTACTGTACTTAGGTGACTCTGTGTTTTACACCTTTACTGTTTAATAAAAAAGTAAATAGGTTAATTAGATATTTAAGTACTCTTTAATACCTTTCATAGTTAAAACACCTTTCATCTTCGATTTATTGAAACTTTTTGAATCTTTGAGTATGTAATGAGTATGAATAGACAGTTTAAAGAACAAAAATAAGGCTTCCATCCATTAATAAAAAGGAAAAAAGGTAGAAAATTTGTTTGCAGTGATTTAGTTTGTAATATTCTAAGAGTAAAAATAGACTGTTAAGTAGTTAAATGCACTTGTTGCTGATTTTAATTTGTTTAAATGTTTTTATTTCAGTTTTCACAAGTAAATATTGATGAGCCTATGTTCCAGCCATTTCCATCAGAGATTTTCTTCCAAAAATTTGAACCATTTGAGACATATGAGGTTCCACTTGTACTAAGAAATAATGATAAGGTACGAATTTATAGTTAATCTTTAAAGGTGAGAATGATTGCCACACTGAATTTCTTAAATGGGCCTTTCCAGCTACATTTTTTTTTTTTTTTGAAACTTCTGGTCAATGAAATGAATTTAACTTCTTCTGTGTTTGAAAATCCTATACACTGCAAATACCTTAAATAATTTGGTTATTTGGTTAATATTAATTGATAAATTAAAGGGAAAATTTGAACTTATGTTGTTGTGTTTTTTTTTTTTAAACAAATATGATATAATAAATTCATGACTGATCATTTTTAGGTGCCTCGTTTAGTTAAAGTGACACAGGCAGACTCGCCCTATTTCAAGATAATCAGCCCTCATGATGTCGGACACAAAGTCGGTCCTGGCCTGCCTACAACATTCAGGCTTCAGTTTACACCAGATGAAATCAAGGTATGTGATAGTCCAAAGTGTTTATTTTTGTTTAAATTATTAATTTGATAAATACCATATCATTGTGTACATGTGTAATATCTCAAAGATTTTTGTTATCTCAACTAATGCACAGTTTCTTAGGTTGATTTTAAGTCAAGTAAACATTATTGAGGTCATGTAGTGACTTTCCAACTGAGCTGATGGAGTTAGGCTCCCAGCTGCCCTTCCATGCAGAATTAAGTACCTTTTATAACCACCAGTTCTAATGAACCAAAGTTTGAAAATTAAGGCCTTTTAAAATTTTCAGTAAATGAATAAAAAGGATAAGGATTTGCTAACTAAGTACAAAGGTACTTTAAAATTTTATTGCCTTCTGAATACTCATTTTGAATGTAGTTGTATGCTAGTTACCTGTGACATATATATATCTTCCCAGGATTACATGCACGAGCTTGTGTGCATCACAGAAAGAGAAAAGTTTATTGTTCCCGTCCGAGCTATCGGTGCACGTGCCGTGCTTGACTTTCCAGATGAGATAAATTTCCCGATAGGTCCAGTGAAATACTCAAACACAAAAACGTTGTTGATCAGAAATATTGGCAACAGAGAAGCCAAATTTACCATCAAATGTGGAAAGTAAGTTGTTTATTTTAATTTCTTTTCCATCAAATATCTGCCATGCAATTTCTCCAAACAAATTCTTGGGATATAAGGAAAGTTTATTTAAGTTTATTTGTTTATTCTACCAGTCTAGGGCCAGGCCAATTGACACAATGACATCCATGCAACTTGACCAGGCTGAATATTAAATATTCCGCAAAATTCTATTTTAGATGTTTTAAAAGAATGATTTATACAGGTTTTAGAACAAATTTTATTTCTGAATGATCGGATGCATATACACATGTATGTTTAACTGTATTTTGTTTGTTCATAACATATAAAGTTTTATCCATTATGATTATTCATGTGTAGGTTAAGAAATCTTTTATATGAATTACAGTCACTGTGCACAATGTTCTTTTAAATGTATTTCTTTTATCTTGTAGGCCATTTTCTGTGACACCAGAAATCGGTACCCTGGCTGTGAACGACAGTATGCAGGTTACGATTGAATTTATCCCGGACAAGGTCGGTGATCATAAACAAGATCTTGTAGTGCATTACGACACTGGTGAAGACATTTATATCAGCTTATACGGTGCTGCTCAAGATGCTAACGTGCGATTGGACAAAAACTCTCTCCGTATCGAGAACACATTTATATCAATGGCCAATCAGAGAACTGTTACTATTAGCAACAGGACAGATGTGTTAGCTCGGTTCAGATGGACCCAGTTTGCTACAAAAGAAGAAGAAGATCAACAGAAATACAAGTTAGTAAATAATGCCATTTGATAGGATATTCATAGATGAAAATATAAATTTACTTTGATTTAAATTGCTTTTAAAACAGTATAGTACGGCAATTTATGTGTGGTTGGCACTCAATTCTCCATCTTTTTCTAGAGTTATTTATAGTACTAAGAATGTTTCTATTTATAGTAACATACATATGTGTTAACACATTGCATATGGATATTTTAGAATCACAGCGTCTCTGGAAGAAGAGGAAAAGACAGATTCAGATAGATTCCTGGAAGAATGTATACAAGATCCTACCTTAAGGGATAAACTCTCAATTCTCAGCAGAACATTCAAAAATAGAAAACAGGTATTAAGAAATCTTATCGGAAACTCAGCAAATGTGTGTTTTTCCATCTAATCCAGGGGTACAATCAAATTTTTACAGTTACAGCTTTATGGTGCACTAAAGTTCACAATTATGTGATCAATGCATTGCGCTTATTATTGATACATTTATTAAGTCAATACTATAAAAGGTATTTTGTACCTAGTGAAAAGATTGTGGAAAAAACTGCATTTGTTGAGTTCCGAAGTATCTCTTTGTCACAATCATGTCTTCATGTGAACATGAAATATTATAAGATTAAAGTAAATATATTTACTTATACATAAACATGTAAAGAATACAAAAATACCTTAAAAATACATATCTAAATTTTTTTGTTTTAAAAGTGTTTTAAATGTTCATTGCTGCATTTAGATTATTTAATTTCAGCATAAATACTTAATATAAGTATGTAAAATTTTAGACAGTGGGGCACTGCAGGGACACTCTCACATGAATAAAATAAGACAATGTGTTTATTCACATTTTGTACATTTTTGTTTTCAGCTGATACAGAATGATGACATGCTGTTTAATGATGATGTTGTCAAAGTCGAACCATCTGAAGGCGACATTTGGCCAAATTCTAGTGTTGAAGTAAATATCATTTTCAAACCAAGGGAGGCAAAAAGTTACAGTAGAACTGCCTTCTGTGATGTCACAGGCAGAGAGAGTCGTCTCCCTTTAAGAATAAAAGGAGATGGTATTGGACCAAAAGTTCATTTTTCACTAGAAACCCTTGATATGGGAAACATTTTTATTGGATCGAAACATTATTACGAGATAGTGATGGCAAACAAAGGGGATATAGATGCTATTTATAGCGTGATACCAAATCAGTCAGTTTTCGGGCCGTGTTTCCAGTTTAATCCGGCAGAGGGTATAGTAATGCCTGGTGGACACCAAGCTATACAAGTGTCATTCAAAAGTCCATACCTGGGAGATTTTGAAGAGGAATTCTCATTCCAAGTTGATGGTCAACCAGAATTGCTCAAAGTACTTTTCACGTAAGTTTCATACTTCCAGACTTTAGTTTTCTAGGATGATGTAAGACTATAAGAAATATACACTGGCTACCAGTTCAGATGAGAATATCCAGATTGAAAGTAACATTTTAAGATGGTTACAAGGCTCTGTCTGAGAGATAGATATTCCCATCTGAGACTGCAACCTGTGTTTAATTCCTTTTCTTTTATATCGCACAGAATTCAAATTTCCAACCTTGAAAAAAAAGTTTTTCTCTAGTAGGAGGCAACAAAGATACAAAAGTTTTAGATATTTTCTAGCTTTCTTTGAATTAAAGGTTGTTAGGTATATTGTGTATCATTTTCACTTTAATTGGCCAGATAATTAAACTTTCATTTCCATTCAACAAAACTTTATTATCTAATTATAATGTTGGAAAAAATCGTTGTATCACAGTTCACACAAAACCAGTCAAAGGTCATTGCTATGTAAGAGAATATTTTATCCAGTAAAGAAATACAGTTCTGTCAGTACAATTTCCAGTTTTAAAAAAGCCCCAAAATTATCATGGAAACATAAAGAATTGAATGGTTGTGACTCAAGTAGATATAGAAATATCAAACAGAATTATTCTATTTTTAGCGGTTCTGTGATAGGCCCAACATTCCAGTTTGATGTTCCACGTCTGAAATTTGGATCTGTTTCATTTGGTAAGATATTTCATTTGTGATTACAATAGTGAATTATTTTAACTCAGTGAATGATAGCAGTATTAATGTATTACCCGAGCCACCAGTATAGGTCAAGGCTAATTTGCATGCTTGAACTTACAAAAGGCAGTTCATATCTAATGCATGCCAAGTCTTTGAATTAATTTGCGCATTTTCAGGATAAAACAGTACTAAAATTTTACTTATAAGTGATAAAGTTTCTTATTTTATAAATGATGAAAAATTTACCTAGTCTTTAAAATAAAATAAAACAAATTAATTAGGGATGGCAACGAATACCAAAATCAATACTCGAGTACTCGGTCATTTTTCCGATCGAGTACTCGGTTACTCGGATGATTTCCAATGATCTTTAAAGTTTTATCACACAATATCAACACCGTCTGCATGCTACTTTCGTTTTCTATTTTAATTCATAGAATTCGTAACTAGAAAAAGGACTGCAAGAAATACATATATAAATATAAACATAAGAAATGTCAATGACAGCATTTATTATATACCTACAAATACAGGATGAACTTAAAGCGCAAATACGCTTCAACGATTACAAAATTCCGTATTATGTTAGTGACAAATACTGTACCATATATGGAAGTGCCGTACTATTTTTGACGTTGGTTCCGATCTTAGCTTTAAACGTAGCATTTGGAAACGGAAACCAAAATTATAAAAGGCGTGGCCGGTTTTGCAAAAATTACGTATTCATCCGTCGGTCATAAATCTATTTCTTAACAGCTACATTTCATTTTCTGAAATTTCGTATAGAAGTGTAGTATAATGAAAATCATTTATAATTCAAACGAAAAGGTTTCTTATGTTGTAGCCCATGCATTTTTCTACTCGCAATGTTGGAAATTTTTTTTTCGCTCGACATTCGGTCTCGTGAGATATCAATAATTTTTCCACCGCTGCTCGTAGCAAAATACAAAGCTATAACATAATATTCTGTATATATTTACGTTTTTATAATTGACAAGTTTCGGCTACAAACTGTGTAATATTTAAAGGTGATTAAATATAATAAGAGGCCGAATGACGTAAACGACACAGGACTGTGTTTAATCCCATACGCGTGTCGAACTGCTGATCGCCTCGTTAAACTTACGATAACATTTTCACACGTCTGCAAGGATGTTTTGATTGCACTTAACAAGTATTTATACAGATACGTGTACATTTCCGAATTACTGAACTTATCTTTCTAAATCGCAAAAAAGTAGAAATGAAATATTTTTTTCCGAGTAATCGAATATCAATTTTGTAAACCGATATTCGGACGTTCGATCGAGTACTCGGTTAACCGGTTACTCGTTGCCATCCCTAAAATTAATAGAGATAAAACTAAAATGATTTATAACAAAACATATTTTACAGGATTTTTGAACACCAAGAGTTGTACTCTGACAAATACGTCCCTCGTGCCAATGAAGTTTAACCTCCGTGTGCCTGGTGACGGGACCACGGACAGCGTTTGTGGCACAAGTGATCTGGACAGTGCACGTAGTGACATGGCTACTACTCCATCATTAGCCCTAGGATCAGGTCAACCGAGGGAATTTGAGATAATTCCCTCATCCGGAAGTATTCCTCCACAGAGCGAGATAAAAGTGACGGTGAATTTTATCTCAAATACAATTAAGAAGTATGAGATGAACCTGGTGGTGGATGTGGAAAGTGTAGGAGAAGAAATCGTTTCCCTGCCAATTACTGCCAAGTAAGTGGTTACAAAATTTCCTTAATAACATTACTGTTATAGGAAGAAAATACAAAAACTTCTTCAATATCTCTGTCATGAACTTTCTTTGTATTGTTTCATGTTTTCAGTTTCCGTGCATTTAAACTTCTATGAAAAACATACCCATATATGTTTCTTAATCCGCCTTTTATCATCAAACTTGTGATGTTTTAACTTTTCCAGGTGCATTGTACCACTGATTACAGTGTTAAGTCCAATCCTGGATTATGGACGATGCTTTCTTAGACATCCATATGAACATAGCATCAAGCTTCACAATGACTCAGATCTCCCGGCGAAATATGAACTGGTGCAACAAGTTGTATCTGCAGAGACACCTATCACTTACAAGAGTCCTCAACCAAAGGTAAGATTACAGTGTTCTTCTACATAACTTGTCTGACTCTGATACTGCTTATAGAGAGGTAGTTTCAGAAGTTTAAGCTCTATGCACCTTTAATTAAAATCATTAAATATAACAGTTATCGCCACCAATTGATGCAAATCTGATGGCAAGTTTGTGTAAAAACATGAAGTGAGCTGCGATTAAAATTTTATGTAAATTTCTACAAATGTTTACTACTGCAACAGAAAGGTAATAAATATGAACTGTCACACAAAACTTCCTTTGTTTTCTTTGACTTGAAACCCAATAACAACTATAACAACAAAGTATCTAGAATATTTGCATGATTTGTGTTAATGAAATTTCAATGATTGAATATTGCAGGGTATTGTAGACCCTCATTCAGTGTTGGACGTCCCGTTGATCATTGAGGCTCAGACCCTCGAGGAACAAGACATTGTGGCACAGATTGCCATATTTGGAAGCCCTGACCCTCCAATGGTTTGTATTTGAGATCTATATAAATTTTTGTACCTGTGATTATATATGGCTAAAAATTTCCCCAGTGTTGCAGTTGGCTAAAACACAGTCACATGGCATTCAGTAGAAAGTGACATTGACTTACGCTCTTAATCTAACCATCTATTATTTTAAACTGATTGTCCATGATTTATGGGATTTAGGGCACTAGATGACCAATCAAAAACAATATTACATAAAATAAGTGTAAATTACATATTTATACACTTTCTCTGTTGTTATGAACATTTACATTTGACAATAGACATGTTTTCCATATATAGATAAAAGCAATATAAATGTATTCTTTGGATATTTTTATAAAATATTGTTTGCAAATAAAAAAAGTTGATAAAGTTTTAAAGTGATTTAGTATGAACATTTACAGGATGAATAACAATATATGTTTTATATTTTGTTCTAAAACTATTATCTGCTATATAAATATATGCAACATCTGCTCATGTATCTCGCACATCCCTACAGCACATATATATTTTAAATGTATAATTCTTCAAACCCTATCATGTTAGAGAATAATGAAAGAGAAAGGATTGCTGGCCGCTTGGGTTAAAACTCCATCAGAACAAGAAATTTTACAGGAACGGATTCAAGAGTGTTTCAATAAGCTTATAGCTTTCAATACAATCAAACTGAATTAAATTACTATAAACTAAAGATAATCAATTGTTTGCTACAGAGAGTTGCTTTTACATGTATTTGTTATTGTCAGTCATTCAATGGTAATAAATTTTCAGGTTACTTTTGTTTTATAACCTGTAACACTTAAAGTTTTACAATTATAATTCTCAATGATAAAATTACAATGATTATTCAAATGCTTATTACTGCTATATTGACAATATTTTTTTTCAGCCTGTGCATATTGCCTGTATAGGAGAGGGACCAGTTGTGCATGTGATGCCACTAGAGCTAGACTGGGGTACAATCCCTGTGCTACAAGCCAAACCCAAAAAGATCCTCCTGTCCAACGAATCTCTCATACCAGCAAAGTTCACAGCTAATATGGTAATATTTTATTTTGTTTACTTTTGTAAAACATACACAGCCTGTCTAAAATATAGAAAGAATAGTTTTTCAGTAAAACTGTGTCATTATATTTTTGGCTACAGGCTAATTTGACAGTATTAAGCCCAGTAACAAGGTCATTATGAAAACACTTAATTATTTTTTAAATAAAGTTTCTTTCAAGTTTGTTCTTTTCTTATTGAAATTAAAGCTGTTGACTCTTTTATTAATAGATGCAGGTCATCTTGCACAGTTTATCAGACAAGATCTTTTTATGTGCCTGAAAAACTCATTGTACACCCCTGTGTTAGACGAGTCACATGATTCAAATAACGTCATTCCTTTGTGCCTTTTATGAATTAATTGCATATATGGTGTTACATTTTGGTGTTATGAGTGAAGTTGTAAATTCGTACAACTCTAAAAGAAGAAAATAGTAAATAAAAATATATGTTTCAATAATTTCTTTTCAAAATATGATATTTCACATATTTGACATCACAAATGGGAAAATCTAGCTTTTCAGTAATTGCGTAGAGGAACCTAGGCAGAGCCTCATTATAGCCTTAAACAATACCAGTAGCCAGTGTAAGAACTCTGATATTATACATGTATGATACTGAAAAATGACAGTTCAGGAACTAACAAGTACTGTCTTCATGTAAGGAAATACACATGTGTGATAAATACATCAGTAGACCCTAAATCTCCTATATGTCACATGTATCCTTGATGTAACTTGGACTCGTTACCACCAATTCTATACCCTAAGAAAGTTGTTTTAGACATTTTTGTAATAAATTTATGAATATAACAAAACTAGTTAGTAATTGTGAATGTTTAAAGGGATATTCAGGCAAAATAATGACAAAAATATTAAAACGAACTTTTGTACTCAACTCGCTCTAAAATGACATTTCTAAAAGTTTCAGCATGAATTTCTGTTTAAATTCTATATATTTTGGATTTGAAGCATTAATATATCTATATATATTGAACAAAATTTAGACGCAAATAGTTCACCGAATAATTTTAAAACAAGTCAGGTGACTTGAACAAATCGTTGAAGTTACATTAACAGATACTGTGGATATTGTATGATTGAAACAAACCTAAATAATTCATTTGACATGTTCTTTAACGTTTCCAGAGTTCACTGTGACAATTATTATGAAATCCTATCGCTCTAACCTGACCCACGCGGGTCATGTTAGGAAACCACTATTTTATTATTTATATGGAGAAAAGTTTTGTTCCTTTGACTGTCTAATATATTTATTTTGAGGGCATTTACAGAATTAGGAACGAAAAATTCAAAACTAAGAAATGAAAATTTTGCCTGTGTCTCCCTTTAAGATGAGAATCACAGGATTTTGTACAAAATGGTGCTATTGTTTTTTACATAGTTTATATTTATGTTTTTAGATGAGACAAAAGTCGGTGTACAGTGTAGAACCGGCAGAATGGGGAGAAATTCCACCAGAGAAGAGCATAGAAATAACAGTTACAGCCTGTCCTGATGACAGTGTTAGGTATTGTGAAGTTTTCTGGATTTTTTTTTCACTCAGTATAGCCTTTTTAGTACACACACTTAGGATCAATTAATAACAGACATAATAATGTCATCAGTAAAGAGCCAGATGAGTCTTCACATCCATGCAATATTGAAGGAACTCCACTGAGGTCCAAAAGCCTAAAAACCTAAAATTTGAATTTCTTACATACATTAACTGGGACACTTAAAACTGATAACTATGCAAAAGATAAGCAATACACTCAGAATTAAATCTTAAATTGATTTTGTGTGTGTGTTACTTAGCCTGAATTAAGTTTCAAGCATTTAAACTCTATACATTTTTGGGTCATTTTGCATGATGAAAGTTAAACTCAATTTAGGGATTAAATGATCTGTAATTTTTAGCACACAATTTATTGGTCGAGATCTACATCATTAAAAAAAAATAATTTGTATTCCCATTTTGTCAAAAAATCTGAGTGGAATCTCTTTAAATGTTTATTTTACATATCCACTGAGACCAATTTGTGGATATTTATAATAATAATGTGTAAATTATAAAATCAAAATTTTGTATGTTTGTTGAATATTTCTGCTTAAGCCGGTGCAAGGGCATATGGACAGTAGTTTCCACTTTCCAGTACCTTCTTAGTATTAGATAGTTATCAATGTGAATACATCATTTGTTTCAGATTTCACGACAAACTTCAGCTTAGTTTTCTAGAGAGCCAGGTTAGACATATTCCTCTAGTTTGCTACGGACACGGAACAACCATAGTGTCTGACCCTCCTCTTACACCACACCTAGATCTTGGGCCAAACTTCAGGTAATTATCTACAAACATACCTGTTTTTAAATGCCTCCCTGAAAAAGACAAAACAAAAAGACTGTCAAGTGGTCTTTTATGATAGGTGACATTTGCTTACAGGTTAAATAATTGTATTTGAAATTCTGATAAAACATGAAATTGCGGTCTCTAAAGGCAGGTGGTATTTCATTATAATCTTAATGCATTGGTATGACAGTGCGAGAATATTCACAAAAAATTAATAAATGATATCTCACACATCAAAATCAAGCACTAAGTATAGTTATAGACATAACAAATGGTTTAAAAAAGTTTTAAATATATCAGCAAAGTTCTGATGAAAAATGTTAAAAGATTTTCTTATTATTTTCATGGGAAAATGTGATAAAGTGACCAATAATTCAACAATGACTTTGTGTATTCAGATCATGTCAGTTTCAGCAGGAAAAAATACCAAAAAGAAAAAATATATTGTAAATAAATGTATTTTATTTTGTTTCCATAGCAACCGACCATACTGTAAAGTGTTCCACCTTACAAATAAAGGGAGACGACACCAGCAACTTGTATGGAGCTTGGATGGGTTCTCTCCCATTGCTAAAGCGAAGAAAGAAATGCAGAATTACAATCCGCTGGATATGAAATTCAGGGTATGTACATTAAAATAATAAAATTATAGATAATTGAATATATCTGAGGTTAATAACTAAACTGTTGTATCTTATTATGTATGTTTGTTGAGTTATGGCAATGTTGCATCAACAGCATGATAAACAAAAAATTTTGTTATCGTTAGGAGTAAGACACTTTGTAGTTTGAATTTACAGCTTCCATCCATGAACAGGCTAAATCAAACTGTCCTGTTACATTTTCCATTTTTACCTTTTTTGATGTACTTGCAGTTTTCCATTTTATCTTTTTCACTTTTTTTCTGCCCCTTTCTATTCTAAATGTGTGTGCTGGACTTGCACTGCATTAATTTGGAAACTGTGCAGTGATAATTTTAATGATTTAAAGATAAAAATTTATAATGTTTATGGAGTGGCATACTCGAAAGGCCATGTTTCCTTACATTGCATTAGCTGTAGAATTTGTGTGCAAAAATCAGTCTCAGTCCTGATGGTTATAAGTGACAATAATATAATTCTACAATAAGGTATAGACAAGTATGTTTAAATTCACCACAGAATTATGATATTTATTTGGTATTTCAGAATCAGCCCCCACCAGCTCCCCTACCGAGTCCCGTGTTCAAGGTGACACCAAATAGGTTTGATCTTCCACCAGGAACCAGTATTGATCTGAAATTAGAGGGATTTGTTGCCAGGTACTTATCATAGCTACTATAGACTGAATTCTAGTTTTTGTCCTAATTTAAATTTAATTTATATATGTGTACATGTATATGAGGTTTAAAGCATGCATGTTTCATTAGTAATTTCTGCAGCCTTATTATTGTTATTGTAAAACATTCAATGATGATAAAAGGAGTGGATCAATCTTTTAATTTTTACAATTGTTTATTAAATTTTACTGTTAAACATTTGTCACTTTCAATTAGTAGTATGTTACCATTTTAGAAGATACAAACCAGCTGTCATAGCAGATTCAGCTAAACTTAACAGTGAAAAATTAGTATTGTATCATTTTAAGAAATAATTCTTACCATTGTAAAAAATCTTAACCTTTATATCAATATCTCTCCAATTTTTTCTTCTTGTTTTTTTTTAAACAGTCCACAGTTTGTAAAAGAGCGTTTGTTGTGTCATGCTATAATTGGACGTCAAGGTGGTAAAGAGTTGATCATGAAAATTGACGTGTCCAGTGATTTTATCAGTCCCCTCCTCGAGTTCTCTACAAAGAGTGTTTATTTCAGGGTGGACAAGGTTTGTTGTTTTATTATTATAAACTCCATCTAAGTGCCATTGTGTTTTTCTTGTCTGTAAGTGTTATTGCTTCCAATGTGCCTTGTTCGGAAAATATATACTCTTTTATTAACGGCAATATCTTCTATTTTACAATTATTTTAAAAATTCAAATTTCCTGTGTATATTTAGAAACCAGAAGATACCCTAGAGGTTCAGACTCGGGAACTTGTGATCAGTAATGTATCCAGCTTGCCTCTGACCACCGCGCTCAAACTGAACCAACCATTCCAAATATTGCTGGAAGATGGCTCGGAGGTATCAGAAACTGTAAGTGTTGTCATAGTTATTTTTAGAACAATTTAGATTTTTAAATGAAAATTTATAGAATTATTTTAGGTTCAAAAATCATAACATTTAATTGATTGATTAATGATTTATTAATTTCAAATGATTTATGTCTTTGTTAAGAAGATGAAATATTAATTTTTTATCTCTTGCTTTTTACTTGTTTGCAGTTGAAGTAAAATATTTCAGCATGTTTTGTTTAAATTGATTTTCAAGCCCAAAAGAATTTTTTATGCGTTGCACATCTTTTTTTTAATTTTGTTAAAAATTAAATGAAAACATGGTAATTATTTAAGTAATAAATTAATTTTCTGAATTGATTTTAATATTTAATGCAGGAGGTTCACTTGGAGATTGGTAAGACATACACATTAAAGATCCGGTTTGACCCGGCCTACAAGGAAGATCTTCACATTAGAACAATTGATGAAATTCTTCACATTACCTACAAGGAACATCCTCATATTGTAAGTTGCCATTTATCATAATTTTTGGATATTCCAATAATATTTACAGTTGAGTTGAGAAATCTTATCCCAAACTGAATGTGAATTTAATTGTGAACAAGACCTATATCAAAAACATAATCAAAAACTGTCAACATAAAGTTGTACATAAATTTTAGGGAAAGAAATATGGACATATTTATTTTTTGTTTGCCTGTCATATATATTTTATGCTTATATACAAAATTAAGTTAAAGGCAAAAGCTTTTGTTTAAATGCAACAAAAATGCTAACTTGTTTGAAATTACTTAATTTCAATTGATTAAAACAATAATATTTTTAGTGATTTTTTTAGCATTTTCATATTTTTATCTTATTCCTAGGACTATATTGCCCTGAGAGGTGAAGTGTATTTCCCAAACTTAGAGTTTGAGAAGTCAGTGATGGACTTTGGTTGTATTTTAAATGACACAGAGGTGACACGATATGTTAACATCACAAATAACAGTCCAATGGTTGTAAAATACAGGTCAGTGTTACTTCCAGTACTTAGTACAGATGTACCTAGTTTCTCATCCTTTCCATCAAGAAACAATTTTTAGCTCAACTATTCAAAGAATAGGTATTGTTCTCCACAAAGGCATTGGTGTCACACTTTAGATTTTAAGCATGCAGGAAGGTTTCTCAAAAACTACTGAAGGGAATGGGTTGAATCTGAAACCAATTATTTGAGAGCCTAATATTAGGTCACTGTTCAAGGCTTATAACTCTGAAATGGATTTTGACAGAATTATGGCCCTTTTAGAACTTAGAAAATTTTACATTATCCATATTCTTGTTTTACTATCCAGTACTGTGAATAGTAGACTAAGCTGTCCTGCCGACAGCTCTTGATATATCTACAAAGCTAAGGCATATATCATAAGCTTCAATATTAAGCTTGGTATGGTTTCTGTAGCAGTTTTTGCAGGCTGATACAAGTGATAGTAATGTTAAGATGTCCAGTAACTTGCAGAGAATTTGTTATTGAAATGATGTTACAGAACATACATTTATATCAGAAAGTTCAAACAAACAAAAATGGAAGCTTATTAAGATTATGTGTGTTTCATTATTTTTTCATTATACATAACAATGTCTTAACTTGCCAACTACTTTTTGTTAGCATCTTATATTTCTGTTCCATAAAATTTGCAAAAACTGTTTTTTTGTTTTTTTTTAAACTCTGTTTAAATCAGATTCAATGTATTTAAGGTTATTTATCGAGTACAACTTTTGCTTTGCTTGTTTTTCAATATCAAAAACTTTTCAGTTTTTGTTAAGATGCATTTTACAAGTTTAAACAAAAAACACATTAAATTTTGAGTTTAGGTGGTCATTCTTGATTGGCGATGATCAAAACAAACCAGTTACTGTTATAACACACCCTAGTCAAACCACCCAGCCCAATCATAGAGGAGGTTGTTGTGGAAGAAGAGGAGGAGCTCAGCAAGAGGCCACGCCCCTCCAATGGAGTTGGAGCAACAGGTAGAAGTGATTATTCAAGAAGCTACAGAAATTAAAGAAGAGGAAACTGAAAAGTCTGAAGTGGAATTGACCAAAGAGGTAATGCTTAAGTTTCAGATACTTTTGCCTGTCTGTTTTATACATGCCACAACTTTGACAAAAGATTATAATACTGAACCAGTTAGTTTCATTAATTTTTGAAAATTAGAAAGAATTAAAAGTAATTCTATTTTGAATTTTCATATTTAAGCAATTTTCTCTTTTAAACATAAAATTTAAATATTTAAGCTGAGCCCAATTTTTTTAAATTTAGAGGTAAATTTAAGTTAAAAAATTGACTTGAATTGTTTTATATTTGGACTGATCAAAATTTGTTAAATATTTGTGGATAAATTTAAGATAGTTCACAACATTGTGGCTTTCCATTGATCTTATCACAGTTACCCATTTGTTTTATTTAATATTCACTGCTACTTCACATAATTCCAATACAAATCTATTCAAAACAACTTATTGTTAATATTGTACAAAGGAAGGGGAGATAATTGACACAACAGGATCTATGTCACCAGTTAAGTCCCCTGACACAACTAGAGAAGCAGACGACAATAAAAGTATGGATCAAAAGACTGGTTCACCAAATGTCTCGGAAATGCCTTCAGAAGATGTACCAGAAAAGGTGTAGATCACTGTCACGTTGATTGCTAATATCTCACCTACATAATTAGTGCTTTCCTTATTTGTTTCCTTGTTCATAATAACTTGTTCTCTTATGTCCATGTTAAAGATCCTGTATGTTGTAATTAAGGATGTAACAACACTTAAGTGAAATTTTATATATGTATATTAAATATTCTTCTAAAATATTTTCCAAACATCCAAGAATATGTTAAATATGTACTGCAAATGTTTATACGCATAAAAATATATGCATTCATTTCTTATTGAAAAATTTGGCTTAGAATTTATGGAAAATGAATACAAATAACCTCCCTTTATTTACAGGAAATGTTAAATTCGGTAATATCTTACAACTTACAATATTGATAAATGTTCATTTGAGCATCATATTTATGATATAAAACCATAAAAAGATTTGAGTTACAGGATCTTTAACCCTAGTTATGTTAACATTTTACTGATTCTACTTTTAGCTAGTTTTAGCTTGCCAGTTTCCCTTTTAACTAACTAATTATGGCTTTGACAAAAAGTTTAATTTTGACTTGATATTTCTTGGTTATTGCTATTTTGGCAAATCGCTGTCTACAAATTTCTATCTTTGCTAATTATTGCTTGCAAATTTCTTTTTTTTAACTAACTATTGCTTGTCAATTTCTCTATAGGTAATTATTGCTTTGCCCATTCCTTGTCTTAACTAATTATTTCTAAAAAGTTATCTCTATGCAAAATATTATTTGCAAGCTTCCCTGTAAATTAATTATTACTTATCAAATTCTCAATTAGCTGATTAACATCTTGTATTCGTAATTAATGCTTGCTAATTTATCTGTAAACTATTTGCACACAATCTGATAACTTTTCTTTTTATATCTCTGCTGTTTGTTGTTGTTGTTTTGTTTGTGAAAATCTGCCTTCGAGGTTTAAAATGAATTGGTCCACAGTCAGCACAATTTTTATAAACATTTCAAATATTGATAAAAACTGTAGAAATGTATCATTTGGATATTCTTGTAAAATAATTCTTGTAAAAGAAAAATGTTGATATCTTAGTTCCAAGAGTTTTAGTATGGACATTAATATTGATGAATGATAATATTTTGTTCTACAACACTGTATAATATGCATTTAAAGATACGTCATATCGGATCATGTATCTCACACTAATATCAACACCATCCATATACACGTATAGTTACCTCATGGTTTGTTAACACATGTTATACTAAATATTATCAACATAATTATTTATAATGTTACAGATCTTCCATTATAGACCAATTCATTTTAAATCTATCTTATCAAATATTTCATTTTTTGTATTGAAATTATCTTTGCAATATTCATGCAAGAGTTCAATATTTCAGGTTTCTTTCTTTAATATCATTATAACACTTTTGATCTTATTACAAGAATGATAACTTCACTTGTACACTTGTTTTGTTTTTATATCAACTAACAGATACTATAGAAATAATAAATAAAGATAAATAAAATAATAATGAAAGTAAATATTTGTTCAAATGGAGCTTCAAAAATTCATCATTATGTCTTATATATATCTACTTCTGCATAGTTATTATACATTGTATACCAGAACTTATAACTTATATCAGTGTTTTATAGTGTGATAAAACGATTCAAAAACCAACACAGTTTATGAATACATGTTTCGCTTCATTAAGGTTCTTCATTTGATATGATTTGGTATGGAATAGTAACAGAAATTTATAGATGATAATTTTATACATATAACAGTGTGTGATATAGTTTATATCTCACTGGTGAAATATAGTACTACATATTAAAGTGCTTGCATGTTTGTTACTTCAGGGTCAACTGGAACAGGAAGCTTCAGCAGAAGATGAGAGTAAGAAGGCCGAGGGCGCCGACACAACAGGAATGAGGCTCAGTCTAGAGTCCCTCGAGGAGGAAGATTTTGATGAGGATCCTCTGAAGACAAACCGAGCCCTCGCTGCTCTCCTCGAGTCAGAACGAGGTCAAGAAGCCACACCTCTTGGTGTTGAAGAGGTAAAAAACCATATTTACATACATGTTCAAGTCATTAAATTACAAACTTACTGAGAAGAGGCATTCATATATTTATTGTGATACAAGTTTTCATATGTAGTTTATTGTACTCGATTGCTTATATAATCTTAAAATCAGGTTTTTGACAGCTGAAATACTAAGAAATTTTGGTTTTCAAACCAAATATTTAAAGGATATTTGAGATATTTGCACTATAAAAACCTCGCACTAAGCAGGGTATTTTGTAGGAAACATAGAATATCAGTCTTAGGTTATGAATATACTTATTTATTTTTTTTCAAGGTATTTGATATACTGCCACTGTATGGTACACTCGAGCCTGGCGACACGGAGCAGGTTACCATGACGTTTTATGGTCATGCTGATATCTGGGGTCAAGCAAAGGCCATCTGTGAGGTGGAAGGCGGACCTACATACGAGCTCACACTAAAAGGAGAGGCCTCATTAGTCAGTTACAAATTTGACTGCAAAGAAATTCATTATGGAAAACAGGTAATTTTTCTCCCCATTTTCCCATAGATTTTCTGTATTTTGCAAAGAAATTCTTTATGGGAAACAGGTAATTCAGGTGTCCACTTTCCCATATATATTCTGTATTTTATTATCTATGTCAAAGGGTCATACTGCCATTTGGACCATGTGCTAGAGTTTTGTCTATGAAATTCTTAAAATGGATCATACACAGATAAATGCATTTTGCATTGTAAATTCTAGGTACATGTATATTATGTTTTCACTATTGATGTTGTTTTAATTTTTTTTCTCTCCAATGTTTTAATTTGTTATAAGAGAAAAACTGATTTTGTTATTTCAGATGTATGATCATGTGGCCACCACAGAAATCACTCTTGTGAACACTGGTAAAGTGGGTTTTGAGTTCTGTTGCCTTAACCTCGATCCTGCACTTGCCAAGAAGCCCAAACCTGGTGTACCTATCATGGTGCCACACGCAGTGAGTATTTGTTGATTACTTTTATTGTCTTTTAATATTTGTGTGTATGTGTGTTTAATGGGGGGGGGGGGAGAGAAAGGTTTCAAATGTTTAATATAAAAAACGATTGAATGTTACATCAATAATGTCATTGCTATTCCGTTAGTTGTAATGAAGTTTGTGCTATGTTTGATTTGAACACACGATACTAATATTTTTTAAAGGGTTACAAGCATATTTATAAGTTTACGTTAAATTTTTCATAGGACACTACGTCACACTAGTATCAGTATTTTGAACATTTTGGGTTCTTTGTTGTTTTTATATTTCATAAAAACTACCATGTTTCTAGGGGGCTTGCTGATTAACAATAAGTTATTTTTAGGCCAATATTGAATTAGTTGACCTTTGACCTAATATGGAATTATATTTGACCTTTCAGGGATATATTGAGCCAATGAGCGAACAGAAATTAACCATCAAATACCTACCAGGTGTACCAGAAAAATTCAATAAATGTTTCCGTGTACAAGTGGCCCACTTTGAGCCTGATTTGATCACAATTCACGGAGAAGGTGTTTTCCCACGAATTTCACTTGATCTGCCGAGGGTCGCAGATGATCAGTACACAACCCTGGTTAAACACGCCAAAGAAAATGTATATAAAAGGACAATGGAGAGTTTCGATCCAAAGGGTAGCCCCAGCATTTCACATCCACTTGGCCAGCATCTTGCTACGGAAAATATGCTGGTAGCTCAGTCACAGGTACGACTCTTTTACAAAGATTAACCGGCTGTTCTTTGATGAATAAATTGTTTGCCTGGCTTTCATTTTCATACATGGGAAGTAAATATACTTTCCATAAAAAATAAATGTTTTTTTTGTACTATTTATTTGTGAATTTTGTTGAAAATCGTTGCACATTTTTTTTCTCCTTTTTCTTTATTCCTTTATAAAAGCAATGCAAACAATTTATTTTTAATTGGCCTTTTATGTTTTTTACTGAAGTTTGAAATATATCTTTGTTCTCCAATTTTTCTTCATTTTTTTCTGGTATTTTTTGTTAAAATATATGTTTATTAACACAATTTTAACTTGTATATAATATGGGAACCCTGACATGCTTTTTTAATTCATGGGTTGTAATATATATTCAGAAGGATTTAACTTTTCATATAACAAATTATCTCCCTTGTATACTGTTTTGCATGTTATGAGATATGTTATTTCACATTAAAGTGATTTTCTTAATTTTATTACAAACACAGACATTTTAAACATTTTCATTACAACAATTCCAATTTTGTTGCTGAATATTGTAAAATATATATGTAGGAGTTATGTCCCTTTTGGCAAGTAGGTGTTGAACTGACTATTGATAAAATCTGGAATTTGATTTTGATTTGATGTAGAAGTTAAGTATAATTAGTATGAAATGACATATCTCTATACCCCTCTAATTCTCAAATATAATCACATGATTGCAAAGCTTATTTCTCAATTACTGATGATATACTGGGTGCATGCTGATACATAGGGCTGTTATGTTTTCACGTTTAAAATTGCTCAGTTTTGATTTCTATCATTAAAAAAGAAAAAAACAAAAAAAACTGAATTATGAAAATTCTGCTCTGTACAATATTTTTGTTTAGTGCTTATATTACTCATTATATTTTAAGAGTTTTACATGATAAATTGATCAACAATACATTTTGAATTGATCTCAAAACAGTTAACTTTTGTAAAGGACTTCACTTATTTCTCCTAATATAAGAGGTTTGTTGTTGTTTTTTTTCTTTTTTTGGCAGGGTGGGGGTAAAAATTCCAACAGTGCTTGCATTTGAATAATATGTTTTTTTTTGTAAAATGGCAGTTGTCTATAAAACCTACTTATACCAGACCTCCAGGTTATTAAACTTTTTTCTGAGCTCTGTTTCGAATCTCAGGATTTTCATTGGTCAAGATACATTTTGTGCCTGTTTGTTTTTTCCAAATGAAATCTTTAGTTTGATATGCGATAATTTCTTGACTGCAGAACCTCTTGGGCCGAACATTCATCCATACTCTATACTGTTTGTTGCTTAATTTTAAAATTGTAATATTAAAATCCTATATATATAAATAAACAAATGACATTGGACAGTTAGGAAATCAGAGTAGGACTTAAGGCTGGGAAAATATATGGATAAAATGCTTTGACATTATTGAATTTCATGAATATAAATCAGTGTTAGGCATGTTCTGTAATTAACAGTTTCAGCAATAAAATACCCCTTTTTAATGGTGTCCATATTTGACTCGTAACTTTCCAAGCCTTGTTCTTATTTAGTTTTTTATGGGTTTAAAAATTAGGATACGTATTATCTTATTTTAATTTTATGATGTGTAATCATTAACAATAATGTGATAACTCGACAGCCCTGTATCCAATCTTCTTTTTTTCTGTTTTTAAAATTTGACTTGGTTTGTGGGTTTAAAATTTGCTTACCATATTAATTATGACTAGATGTGTGTGTGTAACAATAGATTAGAGAGTTTTATTTACTCAAGATTTTTTCTTCATTTATAAATCTCAGGGCAATCATCAAGATCTGGTAAGTTTGTTGTTACAAAGGTGTTGGCTAACCACAAACCTTTTTAAAGCTTTCAATAAAGATTATGTGAGAAATTAGTGCCTTTTGTGGCTTTTTTATTTGATTTTTGATAGGTTTTATTTGTTTTTTTTGTTGTTGTTTTTTTGTCATTATAGTGTTGTTTTTTCCCCCATCATATTTCACCAAAATTGTCAGTAGTAACACTTCTCGCAATCTGATTTGATTCATAGTTTTTATTTTCTGATAGAATTTAAATTTATTTTATATTGAGTATTGCACAATTAATGTCCTCACAAGATGGCATTGTATGTAAAATATATAGTCATGTCTACCATATTAAATCAAAAATGCATTTAAATATTTTTATGATCCATGTTTATTGAATGAATGAAATTTAATTTAGTGATATATAATGTACAGTGAGTGATATGAAGTTTATCTCACTGATGAAAACCAATTTTCTATTCAAGTGATACTAATATTTCTGTTATGAGAATTAAAAAAAAAAAACCTTGCCTGATTGTGAAAACTTACAATAATTCTGGAAATTAACAAATTACAAAGAGTATGACGTTTAAGTTCCTTTAGTAACCTGACCTCTTCAAACCCTATTCACTCTTTCCTTTTGGGAAAAATCTTCTTTGCTTTGTTCTTTATTGATTTGATATCTAAATATAAAATTGGGAATATAAGATTTGTCCGATCTTTAGAATTACTATCCTGTATGTATCGGATAAAGCATTTATTCGAGACATTATAGAGGGGCAGTACAGAACAAGACAGATCAATTTGCATTTTTATTATTTAGTTTAAACATTTATTTAGCTCATTTGAGATGAGAGCTTGAAATTTTTATGAACCACTTTTGAGAGTCTGTTTCTTGGGCTTACCAGTACCAGTATCATACAATGTACTTTAGGGAGTATGACTATGACCTAAATGGTGCTAGAATCCATTATCCCTGTGTTAAGAGGCCACCATCTTTAAACCACTAGACCACTACCCTACTCATCCATTTGCTTATTATACAACCTATATGCATGGAACCACCTAATAATGGGCAAACAGTACATTGCACAAGGAGTAAATGTATTTAAAACATTTTTTTTTTTTTGTAATTTGAAAGTTATAGTCCTTTAATTATTCTTTTTTGTGAAAAGATTGGTAAATTCTAGCAGAAACAGAGAGTTTTTGTTGTAAAAGCATGGCTTTTTTTTTCGTTTTTGTTTATGACATTGTAGTCAATTGGCTTAATTTTTATGTTTCTTTCTGCCCTGTGTGCTTTGTTTAATCTCATTTATTATAAGTACACAAGTATAGTCTTGTAAAATAATGTTGTTTTATGCATTTACAAGAATGAGTTTAACAATAATTATACAATGGTATTTATTTGCCGTCTTAACTGCTGTTTTGTTTTGCTGCTTTATTACCAACACTGTAATTTTTATTAGATGAAAAAGAAGCAAGAAAAAATGGACTTAGTGAAGAAAGTATGCTATACACACAATGCTTGTGCTTTTTGAGAGTTTTCTTTCTTTTTTTATCATTTTATTAAATACCACTTGTTGAATTGATGCACACAATGTACTTTATTCTTATATGCATGACAAAACCAGTCCTGACTGGTTATCTGCAAATACTTTATTCTCAAAAACATGACAAAACCAGTCCTGACTGGTCATCTGCAAATATTTTATTCTCAAACACTGGGCAAAACCAGTCATGACTTTTTATCTGCATTTACTTCATTCTCAAAAACATTACAAAACCAGTCCTGACTGGTTATCTGTATTTACTTTATTCTCAAAAACATGACAAAACCAGTCTCTATTGGTTATTTGCAAATATACATGTATTATTCTCAAAAACATGACAAAACCAGTCCTAACTGGTTATGTGCAGATACTCTATTCTCAAAGACATGTTCAAATTTCTTTTAATTGCCTCTGTTATATAAACACAGCTATAATGAGCTATTACACACTGCTGTGAAAAATCTCTGATTAACTTTTGTAAAATTATTGAAGCAGTTTATTACATTCAAAATTACCCACAATGCAATTTTAGTGTATAAAATTGGGAGCACTAGCTTATAGATACATATTGCAAAATAAGTTGATACAAAGATGGTGTTTTTTTCACTGCTTCTGTTAGAAAATATTTGCAGTGGCACTTTTGTGGTATTTAAGATTGGTACACAATTCAATTCGCTGAACTGAATTGTCACAATTAACCCTTACCACCCTGAGTTTTGAAAATGGATTTGCTCTGTTATGATATTTAGAACTATACATATCTATTGCGAGGCATTTTGATATCAAAATAAATATATTTTTAGCTGCAAACAGTAAAGACACCCTTATCACACTTGCAAGGTGAACAGTTAAGTCACCCTGGTCGCACTTGCCAGGTGAACAGGCTGGCCTGTACATGACACTGTCAGCTTGTCTGACTCGGTACAGACTGGCCTGACTGTACTGGTGTAATGAATTGCTAACTACTAAAAAATACCCTGCAAACACTGCTTGATCATTGAAGATTGAGTCTTAAAATGTCTTAGTTTGCAGTATTTGGAATGTAAATGTTGTCTACTTTTTTTGGGGACATTTTACTCAATTTATTTAAAAGTTTAGAATGTTCTTCATAAATGCTATGTTACCGCTAGATAAATGCACATTGCTACAATTAGCTTTTTGTTTTGAGAGAGGAAAAAATCCTCATACTGGTTTACTTAGAAAGAAGGCTAGAGTTATAGTAATGAAATTTAAGCTGTTCCTACACTGAGTCAGTTAGAGCACTATGTCTTGATTTTCTTTTTCTGATGGCAGTGTTACTATAGGTGGTTTTATTTTTATTTAAGGGTGAACTATGCTTGATGCCATCAGAGCTAGATGTACAGTTAGAAGTGGAGAGACTTTCTGTGAGGAATTACTCTCATGACCTACAACAACAAGAGATGGCAGTACACGAGTCGTACGACACTGACCCACCAAACAGTAATGAGAGCAGGGAAACACAGAACACAGCGGACTCTAAAGGAGGTCGTAAAAAGAAAATTAAGTAAGGGAAACAACTATTTTTTTCTAAATTTTTATCTATACATTATGACAATGGTATATTCTATATAAACATGTATTTTTTTGTAGAACAATAGAGTTATAATGATAAATTAGTAGTGATTATTAAAAATCATTCTTTGGTTTTTTATGCTCTAGAAAAGCATAATTTTAAAAAAGCATGTAACCAACATTATGTACATGTAGTATATATATCTTATACATTGTATGAAAACGGAAAAAAAACAAGAAAATGGTGCATAATTTTTTTAATATATTTTTTTAGACCAAGACTACCAGAATACCTGCTTGACTTTGGTTACGTTGTTCTCGGAACTGTGCGCACTCACATCGTCAAGGCAACAAATACCGGATATTTCCCATCTTCTTTTCAAGTAGAGCGTAATGACTTCCATCACCATGGTTTCCATGTAGAGTTGGATCGTGTACGAAATCTTCCTGGCTCACCTGATTATGAATCAGTAGATTTTGTTGTCAGCTTTGATCCAAGGGGAGCTAATTTGCCTCTTGGTCCAGTAGAGAGTTATGTCCCTGTTAACGTAAGTCTTTTTTTTTCTGTTGAAACATATGCAGTTATGAGTAGATAAAGAGAAAATATGTTCATGAAAGGGTTTATTTATATTTGTGTATATTTTTGAAATATATAGGTTTTCTGCTGTTTTCCTGTGTTATGTAAAAATAACTAGAGAATTTAAAATGATAAGTCTTCTTGTACAAAAATAATATGTTCTTGATTGATTGGGTTTTTTATGGAATGAATGGTTTTTTTAAGGCAGAAGGATTTTCTATATTTGATACATACATGTAAATCTAAAAAATATTTCACAGATTTTGAATGGCCCAATGGTTATGATGCGTCTGAAGGCCAATGTGACTATGCCAGATATGCAGATCTCGGACGACACTCTAGATTTCGGTGAGGTCCGGTGCGGTGAATGTCGTGTGGTCATTGTGCAGCTTCACAACTACCAACATGTGAAATGTGAATGGAATTCTTTACCATCGGAGAAAGAAAGAAATAAGGTAAAAAAAAAAAAATGAAAAAATTATGTTAAAGGTTCAGCGTGGTACTAATATAGCTAAAATAATTAATGACGATCATCGTAAGAACCCTGGTTTGATATTGTGAGTAAATTAAAATCTCATTATAACTCTGAATGATGTTGTTTGTCAGTCTTTTTGTATGCCTTGAATAAAATTTTATTTGTTTATTTGTTATCATAGCTGTAACAGAAAGCTGCATCTTTTCTTTACCAAACTTTTCTTCAAATAAATTTCAAGATTTAATTTTACTTGAAAATTCTTTATAAGGATATTTTTCCTTGTTTACATTACCTTATACTACTAGTACATCACAAAATATTTTTTCACTAATTTCAGAGATCAGGTTTTTCTCTTGGCAAGGTTAGCCATTTACTGTAACACTATATATATAACCCAGCTAGTATTATGTATTTGTCTTACATTGGGCCAATGCAGTCTTAGCCCTTTCCCTGCTGAAGGCCGAAAAAGTTATTAAAACCTTGCCACCAGTATAGAGCCAGGCTCTAAGCCAGCAGATACATACAGTCTGACCAGGCTCTATACTGTTGGCTGATTAACTACAAATTTTCATCTTCATATCCCCAAATATTGATAATGGGAAGTTCCAAAAATGGAAGCTTGACAAGTCAATAAACTTTGTAACATAGAATTGTTTCATTACCTACTATAAATTACTAAAAAAATTACTGATTTTAAAACAAACTTGACTTGTGTTTTTGTGTGTGGGGGTGGGAGGTGGTGGAGGTTGGGCAATACTTTAATGCTAGCTGGGTATATAACTTTTAGAGCCTTCAGAATATCATATTCCCTTCTCGGGTTTTGTATATTATAGCTGTTGTTGGTTAAATTTCTCCATTTTTATTTGTGTTGAAATTTTGGTGTATGATTTTGTGTTATGTTTTGCTTTGTATTATAGACTGCCATGGTTTATTGTTTGGAATTTTTTGTATTACTTTTATATTTTTGATCTTTTCTTATTCTCTACTTGTCATGATATTGTTGTTTTGTTTAAAAGAAGTTTAGTAGAATAAGCTTAATATAAAAGACCCTCTTTAATTAACTCAGTGAAATAAGACTGTTGTTTGGTCCGTTAATTAAAAAAGAAAAATTAAAATATAAGATTATAGATGTAAATTAAAGTATGAATAAAGATGAGAAATACAACGTGTTAAAGTATGACATAAGATATTAATTACAATAGAAATTAAGATATGAATTAAAATATGAATTAGAAATGTGAATAAGAATGTGAGGTTAAATAAGAATTAAAATACTAATTAAGAAATGAAATAAAGAAAATTAATGTGACGATTTTTTCAAGAATCATAAAAATCTGGATACAATGCAGTCTGTTTGATTGAGTCTGCACATGAGGAATAATGAAAAAGTGCAACATCCCTCACACCCTCCAGCACCGGCTTGATTTTCAATACTCAATTTTCAAACCTTAAAGTCTTGGTATCAATGATCCGTAAAGACCAAAAAACTTGAAGTACATAAATTAAAAAAACGAAAATAAATTTTCTCTGATAAATTGTCAGAATCCATGTTTTGATATTGTTTTGCAATGTGGTTCAATCAGTTTTATTGATAAACATTGTTGTATATAAAAACTATACATTATATATTATATAATCAGATACCTTATATTTATTTTGAAATACTTTACCCTGTACAATGTATTATGTATTCACAGAATACCTGGTTATTTCCCTTCTTGGAAATTGGGTTGCACAATATAGCATTTTTTCGTTTGTGTTTTGTTTGCATCTATAGAAATGGCTTACAAATATATTATTATCTCAAAAACCTGCATTTGTGTTAGGTGTTATGTAATGAGACAATAAATTGAAAGCTTTTATAAAAATGTGAATCAGTTAAATAAGATCTAATTACATGTGTATCATACTAAGTTTATTTATTGATATTTTAATTCAATAATAAGTCCTATAATATTTTCAATGTAATATATTCAGTGTAATTCTAGAAATATATTTCATTATCATAACATATTCTCAAACATTGCAGGCAGATAAGCATGTACCTATGCATCTACGAAGAAAGAACAAAGCTGACAAGTCCAAACCCCGGTATTTTGAGATCATGCCCCCTACTGGCACACTGATGCCAGGCCAGAGACTAAATGTTCAGGTCAAATTTATGCCGACAGAAGAGGTAAAACATTTTTATATCTTATAACATTAGTGAGGTTATATAACAGGTCTATACTACCAGTTTAGAGCCATACCAGTCTGTATATCTTCACCTTAGTGCAATAACTTAATAAGATAAAATATTTAATTTATTATGTGTCGCATATTTATATTGCATGGTTGTAGCATTTTCATTGGAAAATTATTATGTTTATATAATATGTTTAAGCAAGTGCTGTCAATTTCTGAAGTAAAACTATAATGTCTGCACAAATCTGTACACTGTGTAATTAATGCAGAACAGTGTATTTGTAATGTCTCAAATATTGTTTTCTTAATTCATTATCCTTATAGAGCACAATAATAAATATTTTAATAATGTTTTATTTTTCAGAAATTCTACGAGCAGAGAATCCCCATCAGGATAGCTCAGAGCAGTCAGAGAATATTGTTGCTATGTAGAGGTCAAGGGTCAGAGCCTCGACTTGACTTTGATTTGAACATGATGCAGTTTGGACCAATTCTGCCTCACAGTGTTGGTGATGAAAAAGAGGTTGTCGTGAAAAATCCATGTGCATTCCCTATAGAGGTGTACAACCTAGAGTTTGACTCACAGTACCTGGAAGAAGAAAAGGTAATTAAGGGAGTCATCCATCAACTCTTTTAGAGATTTTTTTTCAGTGACTTGCTTTCAGAAATGGAATGTAGATTGTTGCCAATGTTCGATTTTTTTTTTTTTCAAAATCATCATGAAGGCCAAGGTAAGGTATTGTTAAGAATTTTGAAGTTCAAAGAAATGTTACATATTTCTAATGTTATTCTTTCAAATATATATATTTCTTTACACTATTGAAATTTAATTGATATGAATTGTATCTCACTTAATAAATCTAGCTTGCTATAGATTAGCATGATGTAATATATGACTTGTTTGGCTTATACTAAATTTCCTACATCAGTGAAAGACCATAATAGTAATGACATATACTGACTCATACTGTCAAACCTTTGATAAGGTCCAGCTTTTTTTTTGGGGGGGGGGGGGAATTGGTCTTTGTTGACAGGTTGTTTTTATCAAAACAGATCATGTACTAATATTGATAGATTTATTAAAGAAATATGGCCTTTATGGACAAGTTTTTGTATATGGCCTTTCTTCAGAAGTGGTCTTGAATACAGGTTTTAATGTAAAAGAGAAACATGCAATTAGATTTAGTGTTCTTGTGATATTTTTGCAAAATGGAAGATTCTCTATCTTAATATATGTACACCGTAACACTAAAATTTAATTTTTTTTCAGATGTTACGTCTGATGAAAGGGTATGATGAATATAACACAATACTACTACCTCCTCGACCCCCAGGGGAGAAACTGCCACCAGAATTATTGGAATTCTATGAAGGTAATGTCTTTCTCTATAAGTTTTCTTATGTACTGTGTATTATAGGTTGATTTACCCTGATTGTATTGAATAATTGTTTTATTTCAACTGGCCTACCAATTGTTTAATGATATACAATATGCTAAGAAATCCGTGTTTCTATGGTTACAGAACAAATGTTGAAGCTAGAAGAGAGTGAGAAGGCTCGTCGTGAAGCAGAAGAACAAGAAGAGTCTGCTAGAAGAGAGGCGGAGGAGAGGGAAAGAGAAGGTAATGCTGGAGTTATCTCCTTTATAGTGAAAAGAAAATTGTCTCCCTTTATTTTTATTTTTTTAATCTTTTTTTAGACTATTTTTATTAAGAAATCTGTCAATTAAGATTTAAATATGTCAGTTCTAAAAATTTCAAAGGTTCTTAAACAGTAAGGAGCATCATTTTTTATTCTTTGAAACAAAAGAATTTTTTTTATTTGATTGCAAGCATTTTCTGTAAAAGGGTGAGAGTATTGAAGAAACTAAAGTTTGAAATATTTCTGAGTTTGATGAATAATTCAATACAATGTCCTTCCATAATTAATAAAACTAAAACCAACTTTGCTTGGAGAGTACTCAAGGTTATTTCCCTTTAATGGTCATTAAGAGTAACAGAGTTACAAGCTCCTCAGGTACCGAAACTGCTTGACTAAAATCTTATTGACCATTACTATAAGCTAGGGTACCGTAATTATTTTTCATTATTATTGATTATATTATAAATGCTGAAAGGTTTATAATTTTTATTTCTATAAATAGAAAATGGTGAAGAAGGAAAAGAGAAAGAGGATGGTTCAGATAAGACAGATGCTGGACATACCCAGGACGGTACAAACACAGCCAGGTCTAGAGCAGAATCTATTGCTGACAGTGCCGAGGGTCTGGATGATGCCAAATCTAAACATGAATCTGATGATGGTAAATAGTGTTTGACATAAAAAATGCATTAATATTAAACATAGGTATTTACCAAAAAAATCAAGACCTAGCATAGTTAAGTTGACTATTTTCTGTTATGGCAGGTGTCATATTTAGCCATCACAGCATTAAGTGAAAGCCAGTACTATTGTGAATATTAGTCAAATTTTACCAGAAATCAAGTCCAGATCAACTTCGTAGTAAATATTGCCTTCTGTATTACAACTACTTATTTGTAGTGTTTGGGTGGGTGTAAAATATTAAATAGAATATTTATCTATTTTAAATATATATCTATTTTAAATAATATATACATATTTGTACATGATATACATGTGTGTTTATATAACTCAGGTAAAGAAACATCAAGCAGCGTTGGTGTTGGCGAGATGGAGATTACACCTGTATCGAAGGCCGTAGCTAGACATCTTGGTATTGACCTGTCTGACGAGGGCAAAGCAGCACGTAATAGACGAGGCATTGCATGTATCGTTAACGGAGCACCTTTATCAGGTTTGTTTTTTTGTTAATTTGTTTACAATACAGGCAGACCATAATAGGTTTTCATTTATGTACCATCTTGCAATTACATTGTATTTATCTATCTCTCCTGAATTATGATTTATTTTAACTGTATGTGTTTCCCCAGCTTCTCACAGAAATCATTAAATATGATAGTAATGTGCTTTCATGAGTTTAAATTCAGACTGATACTGAAAAGGTTATAGGAAGACATCAGGTGCCCATTCATACATTATTTCTGCCACTATTGGGCACCATAGTAGAACAGCTGACATTGTGTAAGCTAGCTGGATAGCTTCCTCATATGAAAGAATCCAAATTCTCTTATTGAATTGGAACTTACAGGGGTGAGGGGCAAGAAATGTGATGTGAAATGGAGGACTAAAATCATTTTATAAGAATTATAGGTAATTTCATTCAGATAAAGATTTGAAGGACATTTCAGTCAAATAAAGAATTTTCATTTCAGGAAAGACAGCAACTGCAATAACTCTTGCAAAACAATATGAAGCTGCTTTGTTAAGCATAGACAATGTTGTGTTAGATGCTATATCTAATGGTAACACAAGCTCTGGTCTTAAGGCACGTGAAATGTGCGCTGAAGCCGCACGTAAGCGTATGGAAGAGATTCGCGCCCTGGAAGGTGATGATGGAGAGAAGAAAGTGGCAGGCGGTTTGAGTGTTGAGGCTGTGGCTGCTCATACACAGGGAGCTAGTGAGTATCATAATTTATTGATAATAAATTAACTTTTCTCAATTTCTTTTCCTTATGTGTTTAAGTGTTTTATTTTGGCTGAGAATTAGACGTTGAAAGAAATCTATGTTATCATTGTTGATATACTTGAACAATTTTTTCCAAAAGTAGAAAGGAAGCAGTTTTTGCCATGTTACATTGAACTGTAACAAATTAGTCAAGGAACAACTATGTGTGAAAACCTGACTGTATTTCATTTAATATGCTTTCTATTTTAACCAAAAAAAAACAACAGAACTTATCACAAAAGCAAGCCAAACGGCATCATTGTTATTAAATGCTGAACAAGAATTCACCATAGAAGAAATAATCAGAAATGGTTTTGTGCCAATTCTACAGCCATAGGCTAAATAAATGCATGTGCATAGCTTAAAATGTTTACAATTGCATATAGATACAGTATTAATGCTTATGTGAAAATCAGCATTAGCAAAAATAAAAAGGTAAATTGAAAAATCATGAGAGTAGAGCAGATAGATGTTATATGTATCACTGAGAAGTTTTTACAGACAGTAAAATGAAAACAAGAGATGGGTAGGAGCTGAAGTTGTCCACCTGAAGGGGTTGTCATCTAGTGCATGTTATACGTGCTTTCAGTATATAAACTGGCTTAACCTCACTCACACTGATTGTTGTTCAACCTAACACTGCATGACCAGAAGTTTTTATTCGCTGTTTTTTATGCTCCCCAAATATTTATGATGGAACAAAAAAGTCGGTGGTTTGACCTTCCTATATCTCACCTTTCCTTTTCACTTACCATTTTTAATAACATTTCCATTCATTGACTGATAGCTATGATGGTTCATTCCATTGACCTCTACCAATTTTTGTGGGAATTCTGTATAATTGGGTCAAGGTTACTTGAGGCTAAAATAGATTTTCTTACTTTTTTCCATATTAACTAAACTCTAAGCATGCTGGCCTGCCCTTATTTTACCCTTGCATTCATGCTGTCTGACCATAGCCTCTGCACTGTTCGCTGTTCAGTTGGTAATATATTTTCAAATTTTCCCTTAAACTGATAAATGGTGAGTGAAAGACAGACAAGTCCATTAAAGATATATAGCAGGATAAGGGTTATGGCAATAGTTTATTGTTGTCAAGACAATATTGGGGAGCATTCAAATGTGTTAACAAAATTCTTGTTATTCTTTAAACATTAATCAGGAAGCTTTTAGATAGTGCTACTAATTGTTTTATATTTCAACTTTAAAATGCATGTAGAAGCACATTGTTATGATATATATATTAACGTGAGAATTTGGTCCTGGTTATGTGCTGATGTGGAAACATTTATATATCTAGATGCTTTTTTTTTATTTCTACTCACAGATTGATTTTTGCTGCTGTTGATGTTGTTTAAATTTTTTAACCATTTCCAACAATAACTTAAGTCTAAGATTGTAGAAAACCTCAGTCTCACTTTTCTTTATATTAAACCATTTAAATGTGCTTTAATAAAACAACATGCTTACATAATTTCTCAATCATTAATGCCTATTTTTTTCTATTAGCCCAGTCAGGTTTGGTTTCACATAATTTTAGAGAGTTAACCTTAAAACTAGATTCAATACAATCATACACAATTTTATAGTTTTCATTTAATTTTTACATAAAAACTTATAAGTCGCACATCCATGTTTTCAACATTAGACTTTAAGGATGATAAAGCGTCTTATGGATGAAGAATTAAGAATTTTATGGTTTAATGCACTTACCATGTTGTCAGTAAGAACTATTTTGAGGTTTTTAAGCAAAGTGATTGGATATCATATGAAATATAGAGAGATGGAACTTCTCTTCACGTTTATAAGTCTTAATTTATCCATTTTTACCTTGTAAAGTAATCAGAATATCATTCTTTTGCTATGTTTTATTTATTACTCCACCCTGTTCCTTCCAAATAACAAAACACCTAAAAATATTTTACTTATTGTTGGAAATGGGATATGACCACATTTATTCTTTGCTTAATAAAACAGTCTTCAAAATCAGTAAGTGAGACAAAATATCTATGAAAAATATGTAAAATTACATGTTTTCTCACAAATGAGAAGAAGAACTACTCTTTAATAGATAAATTTGCAATTGATGATTAAAGTACCTGAATACCTGATGATAAGTATCTTTTTGGCACACTTCATAGTCTAAAATCATATTTTCTTTTTCAAAAAGGCATGCAAATGTCTCTTTTACTGTAAGAGAATAGAAAATAAAAAGAAGCTATGTACTCATTTTGAAGACTGTTAAGGGTGTTGTGTGTACTGACCCGTGTACATGTGATTTGACCTTTGTGACCCCAGCAGGTGGAGTGTCAGTAAGTGCCGCCCACTCTATGGTGAGCAATCGTAAAACAAGTACCATTACAGATGTGAAGGGCATGAAAGACAAACATGGCAGCGTCCTCGGAGGCAAGACAAATATCAATACGTCATCCATCGAAGGTGGCACAGGGAGTCAGGTATATACATTTATATATAACTTCGTGAATTTCAAATTGGCTAATATCAATTTCTCCTTTCAATTCACATCGCTTATTATACCTTAAATACCAATATTTAGAAATGAGACACATCATTAAGATATTAGAAACAAAGTTTCTGACATATTATTTGATTTTAAGAGGTATATTGCCTCTCTCTGTGTATTGACCTTTTGTTCTATTTTAAGCTGTGAAACATTAAGCCCCACCATTCTGATCATTGCTTGGTAAACTGCTCACAAACAGTATCACAAACAAAATCAAGCATTCTTTTGTTTAAACCAGGTCAACCAATGCATAAGTATAATCCAAGTGTAGCAATTGGGTAGCTTGTCAGCCAATTTGCATAAAACTATAAACAATGGAAAAGTCCATTGACAGTATTTTTAGCCATAACCAGCCATTATAGTAGGACCACTTACTTCCTGTTAGCCAGTCTGATACCTTTCTAAAGAAAACGTTTGTGTTGGAGAGTATTTGTATGCATATTTGACCAACATGCCCCTCCAACTCTAGTCTGTTATAATATAAGAACTTCTACTGAGAACTCACATTATCTTATTGCCTGATAAATTTAGCAAGGTAGCAAGTCACAGCTATCAACAGAACCTACAAGAAGTGGAGGTCGAAAAAACACTCTTGTTGACTTCACAGTTCCAAATATGGACAAGGTTTTAGAGCCAAAAGTAAAAATATCCATACTGTAGAAGTATCAATGCACTTGGTATATTTTCTAAGGATTTTTGTTATAATTTGACTGACAGGTGATAGGGGAAATTGTCTGTAGAAAGTAGAATCAATCTTCTTGCTGTGACAGGCACTGTTTCAGGCACACAGTTTTGGAAAGGGTATTTTTGCAGGAAGTTGGGTGATTTATGTTTGAGGGGGAACAATGATATTGTAGGAAGATCTAAAGTGAGGTCTGAGGGTAGGGGGTGTTTGTGAAAGAAAAGGAATGTTTAAAGAAATGAGAAAGTTTAAGGAATTGAGATATTTATGGGAACGGGGGATCATTGAGGAAACTGAGATGTTAAAGGGAACTGGGATGTTTAAGGGAACTGGGATGTTTAAGGGAACTGGGATGATTGAGGGAACTGGGATGTTTGAGGGAACTGGGATGTTTAAGGGAACTGGGATGTTTAAGGGAACTGGGATGTTTGTGGGAATAGGGATGTTTGTGGGAATAGGGATGTTTGTGGGAACTGGGATATTTAAAGGAACTGGGATGTTTGAGGGAACTGGGATGTTTAAGGGAACTGGGATGTTTAAGGGAACTGGGATGTTTGAGGGAACTGGGATGTTTGAGGGAACTGGGATGTTTGAGGGAACAGGGATGTTTAAGGGAACTGAGATGTTTAAGAGAACTGGGATGTTTGAGGGAACAGGGATGTTTGAGGGAACTGGGATGTTTGAGGGAACTGGGATGTTTGAGGGAATAGGGATGTTTGAGGGAACTGGGATGTTTGAGGGAACTGGGATGTTTGAGGGAACTGGGATGTTTGAGGGAACAGGGATGTTTTAAGGGAACTGGGATGTTTGAAGGAACTGGGATATTTGAGGGAACTGGGATGTTTAAGGGAACTGGGATGTTTGAGGGAACTCGGATGTTTGAGGGAACTGGGATGTTTAAGGGAGCTGGGATGTTTGAGTGAACTGGGATATTTGAGGGAGCTGGGATGTTTGAGGGAACTGGGATGTTTGTGTTAACAGTGGATGTTTAAGGAAACTGGGATGTTTAAGGGAACTGGGATGTTTAAGGGAACTGGGATGTTTGAGGGAACTGGGAATTGTTTGAGGAATAAATAGTATGTTGAAAAAATGAATGGGATGCTTCAAGAATGAAGGGATGTATAAAGCAATTGGGATGTTCATAGAAGGAGAGTTGGTTTGAAGAACAAAGGGAATGTTTGAATGAAAGTAGATGTTTGAGGATTGAGAGACCTTTGGCAAATTATACAGTCATACAGTACTTAAAACCTTACAAAATATACTGAGTGCTAACAAGTTTTGAAGTTAGAAAAATCTCAGTAGTTATGTTTGTCATAGAGAAGCCAATTCTAAAATAGTTGGACCCTCGAGTTTATGTTTTTTTTTTGCTTTTTTTGTCTTATTTATTTATTTATTTATTTATTCACATTTCTGTTCTGTTCATAATTTTTTGAAGAGTTTTCATTGGTCTAGTTTGAGTTTAGGTTTGATCATCCCAATTCAAATTCTGTTTGCCTTAGTTATTTTGTTTATTTTAATAAGAGTTATTTTGGGGATTTTTTTGAAGTCAGGCTATTTAGCCATTATCAAAACCAGAGGGTTAGGTTTCACAATATCTTGCACAGTCTGGTTAATGCACATTTATTGATCTTAGAACTTTTGCAGTCCTAAAATAGTAAATCTCAGGAATTCAATACCAGTTTATTTTTTTAACTTTTGGAAACAGACTTGAGCTGTTTCTTTATTTCTGTGTTCATATTATTGTTAGTACTGGTTTTAAAACACATCACAGTTTCAAAAGAATTGTTAAAAATACAAGTCAAAAATTCATCACAAATCAAAGATTTTTCAAGTTTGAGAAATTGAATTCCATTTAGTTTGTGGATTAAAGTTTGAAAATAAATTCTTTTCACTTTAGAGTTTTAATCAAATGTTTGATAATCCCTTTTGTTATGTAAAAAGTTCCCTTTTGATTAGAGATAAAGAGTTTGGTTTAGAGATTATTGTTTAGTTTGATTATGTTCTGCTTTATTTGATTTTGTTTCAAAATTAGTTGTGTTTAATTACAGAATTTGATCTGTAAAATTCAAATTTTATAAAGACCTCTGCAGGTCCATGTTTAATGAGAAACATTTTGCACAGTGGACACTGTTTCTTTATAAATACTAAATTGAGATATAAAATTAGATATTTAAGCCCAAAACTATTTATCTTTAGTACGAGTATTTGTATTTTAAATTTTTTGATAGAGGTGTATTTACTGCTATAAATTGAAAATTGTGTTCTGTTGGATAACATGAATCAAATATATCTACCATAAGGAGTTATTGATGAGTTTTTTATATTTTCATTGTCACATGCCCTTCCATTACAGGTATGGTATTTTAGAAGGTCTTGTAACAAAGTCAGTATTGAGAGATGATATGTCAGTATACAGTGACATTTGATTGTAATTTTCAGGTACCAAGTAGTCCACCACCGCTGGCTGCCCCTATAGCCCGCAGACTGAGTGTAAGTGCCAGCGTGGCTGGAGAGGAGGGACTTATGAGCTGTGTGTTACCGGAAGAACTTCTGGTTGAAATCCTCGCTGAACGCCTACAGGTAAATGTTGAATATGAAAGTTTGATAGCAGCTCTGGTACATGGCTTATAAAATGTATTTCAATTTCATTACCATTATGGGTAAATTTTGTCTCAGACTGGAAAGTAGGGTATTGTAGACAAAGTTTAGTTAAATTTACAATATTTTATCGCAACTATTCAATACATAAATGTTACATGATTAAAATTACATGAATGATACAGAAACAAATATTAAAAGAGAGGTTAAGTGTAAATGGGTCAAGCTACAAGTTACAACAATATAAGCAACAACCCTCCCCACAACATCAATGTTTTAAATAGTTTCATGGTTCATGACACTGATTAAACATTGGCTTGACATCATTCTAAGTATTAAAAAGACATGTTTAATATTAAGTAAAACATGATTTCAAAGGAATGGTGTATCTTGAACTTGAACGGCTGCCTTTACTTGAAAAACAGAACAATTTGATAACACAACATATTTATGCCATATTAGCTGACTTGATGTCACTTATTTTTCAATTAGAATTTAAGAAATATGTAATAATATAGAGTCATAAATTTACAGTTAAATGACTGTCACCGAGGGGTGGTGTTTGATGGGTTGGAGACCCTGTTTGCCCAGAACCAGCACACGGCGGCCTCGGCTGTACTGAAGGCCCTCAACAACCGCAGGTTTATTTACTTTATCTCCCTGAAACTGGACTATAACCATCTGAAAGAACAAGAAAAGAAAGACAAAGAGGAAAAAGGTATGTCTGTTTGTTCGTCTTAAGTTAATATACAGTTTGATATTTAGAGATAGTTTATTTGTTAGTGTTTGGTGGGGCATGTTTTATTAAATTGAGAGAGTAGAAATGATATTTGTAAATAAAGAAAAAGAAAAAAACCTAAATAAAACATTGTTGTTGTTGTTTATTATTAACAGAGCGAATGGATCGTGAGCGTGAGGAAGGCGAGAGAAGAAGATTAGAGGAGATGTCAGAAGAAGAGTATGACGCTCTAACGGAAAAAGAGAAAGCTGAAGTTGACAGAAAACGTCTCGAAATTAAAAAAGAACGGATAAGAAAGTAAGATTATTAACAGATTTTGTTGATACTTTTTTATTAGGTACTATAGTCATGTTTTATTCATGGACTGTCATATATCATGAGTCATTTTCTGTTTATTTGTGGACTGTCATATTTTATTTATGGACAGGCATATTCTATTTTTATAATTTTTGACATAGAATTTTGGGTGTTTTTTTTTTTTTGGTATTAGATGTGATATTATATTTTAGGCTTGTATTATTAATGTAATTATATGTATATCCGTTAATATTGTGAATATAATATTAGGCAGAAATAAGAAACTAGATAGATGTTTATATATATATTGGATGTATCATAGCATTTTATAACTGCATGACCTGGCTTTGTGTTCAGAACGAGAAATAAAGAACAACACCTTGCATGCCAAAGCTTGCAGCATTGTTTACCTGCTTTGCGAATAAAATTATTAGCGTTGAAAATTTTTATGTAGACTAGAAAATATATATTGTTGTTGTGCAAAATAGAAATCTTTTTTTTGGAAAAGGTATTTTATACTTTACCTGTACAAAATATGAATTTATAGCATTTTCTTGAAAATATTTTTAGAAGAGTTGAGAAAGAATTAGAAATGAAAGTAAGGTAAATGTTTATATTGTACCACATCTGTGTACAGTGACTGCTAAAGTTCTTTATGGAATAATCGAAGGGTTTTTTATTTAATAATTTATTGTAATGTATTTTTGATATTGTGTGTAACGATGCATTACTGTTAACAGTGTCAATTTAAGCAGTGCAAACACTGCAGGGATCTCTTTAAAACTGTTCAGAAATACTCCATGGTCAGTCATTAAGACATGTAGGAAATCCTGTTGTGATAATTGTTCAGACAGAAATTCCATGGAAGACCGTAACTCCTAATTTTAGCCAGATAGAAAATTTGAAATGTACCATGGTCAATTAAAAGTATTTTATGGTCAAGTTATATTCAGATTTACATGTATTTTCATGGTCAGTCATATTTCATCCAAATGTTTTTGAAATTTTATGGTCAGTCAGATTTCATCCAGATTTTTCATGAAAAGCCATGGTCAATAAGATTTTCATGGTCAGATTTCATCCAGATGTTCATGAAATTCCATGGTCAGTCAGATTACATCCGGATGTTCATGAAATTCCATGGTCAGTCAGATTTCATGTATGATAGGTAATATATGTTCTAAAGAATAAGCTGGTCAAAAAAGATTCCATGGTTGCTCTTTGAATTTGTATACAGAATTTATATTTATTTGCATTCGAAACTTTCAGAGAAGAGGAGTGAGTATTGGCAGATAGAAAAAAAAAGATTTTTTTTTATTTTAAATTGAAACAATTTATTTAATTTTGTTTTTAATGTGTTAGCTGTTGTTTTTCTTTTAAGTTTGATGTTTCTCCATTTCTTTGAGATAAGTTCAGTTTGAGATTTCATTCCTTATTTTCTTCACTACAAATTAAAGAAAAAAAATGTTTGAATGAAATAGAAAAAACATTTTCTTCTATTTTTTTTCTTTCAAATTATTAAAGCCAATTTTTGTTCAAACTCAAATTTGTTTTTAATTTTGTTAATGTCTGTTAATAACAAAATTGCATTATTGTTTTTTTTTTATTTATTTTTTCTTGTAATTTTTATTTATTTGAATGCAAATAAAAAAGGTGAAATCATTTTGTGTGCAGTTGCTTTAGGAGAGCAACATAGAAAATTACTTTCATTTCAGTAGAAGTAGGTTAGGTCTCTAAATATCTAGTGCAGTAGAATATTATTTTGTATATTAATTTCTTGCAGCCAAAACATGTAAGTAGATGGAAAAATTGTAACATGAATTTTCTTTAAAAAAATATTTTGGTAACAGTTTGTAACGCCTTGGAAAAGAAGAAAATTTAAAAAAAAATCTTAATATTTTGAAAATTTCAAATTTAAACAATTTCAATTAAACAGTTAGATTCAACTTTTTTTTTTCCTATTTATATTTATACACAGCTATGTAAATTCTATTTAATGCAACTATCCTATATAACAAGAAATGTTCAGATGTTTGAGACATATTTGTTATTTAATGTATATGTGAATTTTCTTTTCCCTAGTTTTAAAATGGGCGTACATTTGTTACCAGAATATTTACCTTGTTTTTTTTTGCCTCAGCAACAAAGCTGGGGCACCTGTTGTTACATTGAAGTGCTACTGCCTTATATGGCAAGGCTGACTGATTCAATGTTGAAGTTATCAACCTTAACCTGCTGATTCTCTCAAATGAACTTGACCGGCATCCATTTTTGGAACCGTCCATTATCATATTTTGGATATCAAAATGAAAATTTTAAGTTGATTAGTCAACAGTAGGGCCTTATAGACTGCACAGAATGGAACAGGCTGGCCTGGCTCTATACTGGTGGCAAAAAAGTTATCACTCTTGGTTTCAGCAGGTTAGGGGATAATTTGTGGTAGTGATAATAAATAATTAGGGATCTACCATTATAGAGATAGCGATGGGAGGATGCCTAGCGGGAGGGGGGCAGGAAATGTTTGAGGTTAAAGGTTACTTTGGTTATTTGGCTTTGATTGTCATTGCAGTAAAACGCAGCTAACATTGTGTTAAGCTTTACTAAAATATACTTTGTAACAATTCCTTTAACTTATTTTACTTTTAAATTCTTTGATAGTTTGTTGGAAAACTGGGGCCTGATTTTATATGTGTATGATGTACTAGACTCATATGCCCCCAGACATTAGCAGAATAAAAAGGTCGGAATATTTTTGAGGCAACATGTGCCAAATGTAATCATTTTTACATAATTTATAGAAATTATAACTTTATCAAAGAACATGCTGAACCAATAAAAAAATGGGAACTTAAAATGTTTCTTTATATAATCATTAGGTTTGTGGGGCTAATAATTAATATACCAATGGTGTTAATTGGGACTTGTTTCTCGTAAAGGTTATTTTGAGACTTTAGGACTGATTTATTTCATTTGGAATTATAAGGAGGGTATTGAAATATTATAGACAATCTTTGTACATATTGACCAATGATTATTAGAGCCTGCAATTTATTTTTAGGCAGATTCTCCTCCTGTCCCTCTAGAGTACGTCCCCATGCAGCTCCTTATCACTTCCCTCAAATGGTGCATCCCTAATATATTTATGTTTTGTGTTTGTCCCATTGTAAGCAAGGACTGAAATATGTACCAATATATAAACACAAAGTTTTCATTTCAATGAAACAATTTTTCATTAACTTCGAACGATTAAGAAAAATCTTTATGTTAAATTTTCAGACGTTATGGTTCGGCTACAAGTTATAGACGAAAGTAAATCTTGTGTATTTTTTTCACTGTAGTGCCATAATGCTTGCTTTCTTTAATGATTTTGGCTCAAATAATGAATAGCAAGCTCATTTAATCCTTTAACCTGCTGGAATTGAAATTAATTAACCTTTGTTACCAGTATAGACCTTGGCAAGTCTAAACATTTGTGCAGTCTGACCAGACTCTATACTATTGGAAGATGTTTTTTAGTGTTTTGATACTCATTGATTTTTCTCAATAAATTGGAAAGAGGCCTTAGCCTCTTGATTTTGGGAAAAGTTATCGCTAAATTGCTAATTTAAAAAAAAACAGGTTTAAGATCAGATTTTTTGGAAAATTACATGATTGTGAAGAAAATTTCTCAATTGGGGAGAGGTCTTTTATCAGAGGTTGTTATATAAGCAGGAAAATCACAGATACTGGAATCCCATAATCATGATATGGACTGTTCCAAATTTTTTGTTGAAAGCTGGGATAATTAATGCTCAAATTCAGCAGGCACAAGATTAATACAGTCCCTTAATTTAACCATTTAATTTATGTAACCTGTATGAAAAATCTCATTTTTTCCAAATAATAAACTTTCTAAAGACTTTTGGGGGGATTTATTTTATTTTTATTTTTTTTCGTTTGAGGAAAAAAAGGTTTATGTTTGCATTTAACATTTATAAAAAAAATAAAATAATTTTGTGGGGGCTATTTAAATTTTTTAATGTTTTTAATGTAATTCAATTTTTATCAAAACTCTTACATAGAAATTTTTCCTGTTGTCTAACCATGTTTAGATTTAAAAAAAAAATGTTATTGTATAAGTGTAACACATACTGGACTGAAATATAAAAAGTATGAAAATGCCTGACAAAAATTGGACATTGAAAATATTACAAAGATAAAGGAATATTAATAAATTAATAACATAATCTGCATGGTTCATTTGTTTGTAAAAGTGTTGATAATGATTCAAAATGCTTTTATTTTGGCATGAACACATTAAAACTAATTATAAAATGTAAAAGATTAAATACAAATGTATTTCATATTACACTAGTATCATGTGGCTGAACGTGCATAGTGTGCAACATAAACTTGTGACTGAATAGCACACGAATGTGGCTGAAAACGTAAACAAAATCATGTGGCTGAATGAGCAAGCTTCATAACTCAGTCAAGTAGCTGAACATGAAAACTACATATCACAATCATGTTGCTGAACATAAAGATACAAACTCAATCATGTAGCTGAACATGAAATTTACATTACACAATCATGTTGCTGAACATGAAAGACTCTAACTCAATCATGTTGCTGAACATGAAAAATACATATCACAATCATGTTGCTGAACATGAAAAATACATATCACAATCATGTTGCTGAACATGAAAAATACATATCACAATCATGTTGCTGAACATGAAAAATACATATCACAATCATGTTGCTGAACATGAAAAATACATATCACAATCATGTTGCTGAACATGAAAAATACATATCACAATCATGTTGCTGAACATGAAAGATACATAACACAATCATGTTGCTGAGCATGAAAGACACAAACTCAATCATGTAGCTGAACATGAAAGATACGTTACACAATCATGTTGCTGAACATGAAAGATATATAACTCAATCATGTAGCTGAACATGAAAGATACATTACACAATCATGTAGCTGAACATGAAATATACATTACTCAATCATGTAGCTGAACATGAAAGACACAAACTCAATCATGTAGCTGAACATGAAATATACATTACTCAATCATGTAGCTGAACATGAAAGATACATTACACAATCATGTAGCTGAACATGAAAATACATATCACAATCATGTTGCTGAACATGAAAGACACAAACTCAATCATGTAGCTGAACATAAAAGATACGTAAAACAATCATGTTGCTGAACATGAAAGATACATAACACAATCATGTTGCTGAACATGAAAGATACATTACACAATCATGTTGCTGAACATGAAAGATACATAACTCAATCATGTAGCTGAACTTAAAAGATACATAACACAATCATGTTGCTGAACATGAAAGATACATAACGCAATCATGTGAGTAATACTGGGTATACAACACAATCATGCAGCTGAACATGAACGCTTCATATAACACAATTTACTGGCTGAACTTGAATGCTACATAACACGATCATCATGTGGCTGAACATGAATGCTTCATAACATAAACATGAACTTAAAAGCTTCATAACACAATCATGTGGCTATTCAACACAATTATGCAACTGAACATGAAGATCATATAACACAATCATGTTACTATACAACACAACCATACAGCTCAATGTGAAAGCTACATAACACAATCATAATGAATGAGCATGAAAGCTTCATAACACAACCTTTGTGGCTGAATAGCTACATAACACAATCATGTGAATGAGTTTGAAAGCTGCATATTACACAATAATATGGCTTCATAACCCAATCATGTAGTTCACATCCTTGGCACTGTTATTTTTTTCGTTGACAATTATATAAGTGTCATCATATTGAATTCCATTTATCTTTTACTGCCATTCTAATGATTTATTAGGAGAAGCTGACAGTTGTAGTACTGGTTAAAGTATTAAGGTGTTTGATATAAAGTATTAAATTTTAAGGATCAATCTTTATATTGTTTTATGTGTGAACTTGTTGCAATTTTAATGATGTTGGAGTGAAATTTTAATAATTTGGCAGATTAAAAACATCGGCTCATTTTTTTGAATGACCTGAAATGTGCTTGCTTTCAATGTTTGGCTGTCTTTGCGTCATCTGATTGTATATGTATAATACTGTATTTGATACTACGGAACTCGGCTAATGTGGGATTTTCCCATCTAATCCAGGGGTACAAACAAATTTTTACAGTTACAACTTGATATAAATATTGATAATAATTGAAACGCGTTGTTTACTGTATTGTGAGCGAAGCTCTAACAGTAAAAGTTTGTTTGTACCCCAGGATAAGATGGAGAAAATCCACATTTCCAGTGTTCCTGATAACATCTTTTGATATTTGATGCCAATGTCTAATAATGGTAAAGTTTATGTCACTATATATGTTGATGTATTTATGAAAACTGAATATGTATTTAACTATAAAATTGACATTATGTTTAAAGGATCTCCACTGAGTTTGTTTTTTTACATGAAGGGACTAGAAGTATTTTTCCAAGATTTATGTACAATTTGATTAACCATAATTCTGAACCAGAAACTTGTGTGCAAATCCTCAACCCATTTTTCCAGAATAATCATTTCTTATTGTGCAAAATGGCCAAGAAATCACTCAAATCGGTCTAAGATTTGCACTATTTTTGATTTTCAATTGAATAATTAGTTTATTTTTTTATAATCTTTTGTAGATTTTTCAATTTCAAGTGCTACACTTGATCTATGTAAAAAAAATATCAAATTTCATATTTTTCGGCTTTTTAACCTCAGTGGAGCTTCTTTAATATTCAGAATATTTTATTGTGGATATGGATTTTTATATTAACATAACATATTATTTCATTTTATCTAATCTAGAAAGTGAAATATTGGATTTATTTTATCACAGAGATATATTGTATATCAGTCACTGATGATTTTTCATTGTACATTGTATATGATCTTATATATTTATTCCTTCATTATTCAATATCAGCACTTAATTGTATGATACATATAATATTATATAATATAAATGTGTGTTATGTACATGAAAGTGTAAAAATTGTTACTTACTAGAAAAGTAACATGGATTTTCTCTTGATTTCATTTCTTATTAATTGGCAAGTGAAAATATTTCATATTTCACACATCCTAGTGAGGTACATGTATATTCCATCATATTTTTCAATACATCAAAATGTTGTGGGATTGGGTTTTTTTGTTTTTTTTTCTGTTTTTTTTTTGTCAACAAGCTACAAAGACTGACGGCTGGTCTCCAAGGAAACTTGGGTCAAAATTGTACATTAGTATTGACTTTTAGATTGAAATTTTTACCAATTTAAAATATGTGAAATTTATAACACTAAAGATTGAAGATGATTTAAAGTATTGAAACACCATCTTAAATTGACCGACTATATTATTTCATCAACAGTTGCTAACATTTTATATTATTAGTTATAAAGATTGTTGACAGGTTATATGGCCCTATATAAATGGCTATTTGTAAATACATGTATAGCAGCTTGGGTTATATTGCAAACAGTCATTTATATACGGCCATATAACCTGTCAACAATCTTTATAACGAATTTATAATACAGCAAGCAAAATTTTTTAAAGAAAAAAGTAAGGTTTCTTCATGAATCAACAGCAGCCGTGTATATAAAACTATATAAATGTCATGATTATCCAATGAAAACCAATGTTACAAATGTGCAGTATTATAAGAAGCATTATAAAGAATTTTTCAACAGGTTATATGGCAGTAAAATTGGTTATATAAAGTTTATATATTGTTATCAAATATTTTATCAGTCCTTTCTTATTAAAAAAAAAGAACTCTAAGACTTATTTCTTCATAAGTGAGAAATTAATTTTGAAGAAAAAAGCTTTTTGATGTGTTTAACTTCTCTATATCGTTTAAAATGAGCATTCCGATTTCAATCCTCCGTCCAAATTCCCATTTTTGTCACTTGAAGATGATCCCTTGTATTTTCCATATAAGAATGGAACACTGCCAGTTTGAGAGGTTATCATATTGGTTTAACAAATACACTACAAAACACGTTTTTTGTTGAAATATATATCACCTTTTACTGTCAAGTTTTGATGTAAGTTTTATTTCACAGTCATTACCATTTTATATGTATAATTATTTGATTTCGTTGTTATTTTTAAATTTATTTATTAGTTTTAAAGGGGGCAAAAAGTGCTGTATCGCACTGAAGCCATATTTATACCCCCAAAAACGAAGTTTGGGGGGGTATATAGGAGTCACTCGGTGGTCGGTCGGTCGGTTGGTCGGTCGGGCGGTCGGTCGGTCGGTCCAGACGTCCGTTGCATTTCTTGTCCGGAGCATAACTTGAAAACTAATTGTTGGAATTCAATATAACTACATACAATGGTCAAGCACATTAAGAGGAAGTGCAGTGCACAAGAACCATAACTCTATCTTGACTAATTACAAAGTTATTGCCCTTTGTTACTTTTCCTTGTCCGGGACATAACTTGAAAACTACTGGTTGGAATTCAAAACAACTTCATACAATTGTCAAACACAATAAGGGGAAGTGCAGTGCACAAGAACCATAACTCTATCTAAAGTAATTACAGAGTTATTGCCCTTTGATGCTTTTCCATTGCTTTCTTTTTTGTCCGTTGAATTTTCCTTGTCCGGAGCATAACTTGAAGACTAATTGTTGGAATTCAATATAACTACATACAATGGTCAAGCACATTGAGAGGAAGTGCAGTGCGTAAGAAACATAACTCTATCTTGACTAATTATAGAGTTATTGCCCTTTGTTACTTTTCCTTGTCCGTGGCATAACTTGAAAACTACTGGTTGGAATTCAAAACAACTTCATACAATTGTTAAACACAATAAGGGGAAGTGCAGTGCACAAGAACCATAACTCTATCCAAAGTAATTACAGAGTTATTGCCCTTTGTTGCTTTTCCATTGCCTTCTTTTTTTGTCCGGACCATAACTTGAAGACTAATGGTTGGAATTCAATATAACTACATACAATGGTCAAGCACATTGAGAGGAAGTGCAGTGCATAAGAACCATAACTCTATCTAAAGTAATTACAGAGTTACTGCCCTTTGTTACTTTTCCTTGTCCACAGCATGACTTGAAAACTACTGGTTGGAATTCAAAACAACTTCATACAATGGTCAAGCACAATAAGGGGAAGTGCAGTGCACAAGAACCATAACTCCATCTTGACTAATTACAGAGTTATTGCCCTTTGTTACTTTTCCTTGTCCAGAGCATAACTTGAAAACTACTGTTTGGAATTCAGTACAACTTCATACAGTTGTCAAGGACATTAAAAGGAAGTGCAGTGCACAAGAGCCATAACTCCATTTTGACAAAATACAGAGTTACTGCCCTTTGATACTTTTCCTTGTCCGGAGCATAACTTAAAACGTACTGGTTGGAATTCAAAACAACTTCATACAATGGTCAAGCACAATAAGAGGAAGTGCAGTGCACAAGAACTATAACTCTATCTTCAGTATTTATAGAGTTATTGCCCTTTGTTCTTTTTCTTTGTCTTTCTGGACTTATTACAGAGTAATTCAATTAAACTTCATCAATGGCCAACCAAATTCAAAGGAAATGCAACATATATGAACAACAATTATCTTTAATTGCCCACAACCATAACTCTATGTTTCAATTCTTTTACAAGGTATTCTGTTACTAGTAACATCCTCATTTCCGAAGCAGACTTGTGGGGGTATTAATCACATTTAGTGATAGTTCTAGTTTCAGGAAGAAGTATTTTACAGTGACTGTCAGTGTTATAATTTTTGCTATGGCGGAATTTTAAAAAAAAACATATTATCTAAATTTATCACTAGTTTAATTTGGATAATATCTTTCTGTTTATATATACAAATATATATATAGGCATATAAATCTGTAGAAGTGGGTAGATAATTACCTTTGATGTATATCATTTAATTATTATTCATTCTGTAAAGGTGGGAAGATCCTTTGTTTTGGCACTTTATTATATCTGGGCAGACTAAAAGTACCAAAACAGAAAGAAATCTGCCCAGATTTACAAACTGATTTTTCTTTTTTGTTGTGTGTGTTTTTTTTTGAAGTAAATGTATTTCTTTCTTGATATATCTCGGCATGTTTCTTTTACCATTATATATTTACAACAGATATTTTCTTGGAGATCAGCCTATACCAGTACATGTATAGTTGACTGTTATTTTTCATGTCCTCTACATTGCCTATGTTTATATTAAGTTATTCACAGGTAAATATTTTGTTTGTTTTCAGAGAGAAAGAAGCCAAGGAAGAAGAAGAAAGAATAAGGAGAGAAAGAGAGGAAGAGGAACAAAGAATAAGGGAGGAAGAAAGGTATGTTTCAAATCGGGTTTTTAACACAGTTTTTCCATGTCACTTAATAGTGATAGCATAGGATTTGTAATGTGTGGAGGTGGGGTGGCACTGGTTCCATTTTTGGGTAAGGGGAAATTCCTGCATTACAATTGATCCAGGAGTCATTGAGTCTCAATAGCTAGAAGTAATGTGGATCAAGTTGTTTGTCACTTGTGGAGAAACTGGTAATTACAGGTTATGCAAGGAAACAGAATAGGTGGACTGATGGCAGAAATATGACAAAAAATGTTTTTTTAAAATCAGTATAAAAACAGCAAAACAATGAAGCATAAAACAACCTGTCCCTGATACACATAATGCTTATTTTTCTATTAACTTTAGAAAGTGTTTCAATATGTTAACCTATTATCAAGTGAATAAATAACATATGTTAGCAGAAGAAACCTATATTCCACAAAAATTACCTCAATTGGGACAAAATGTATAAAAGTAGCCAAAATTTATAAGCGGTGAGGGTAGAGATATGGAAATAAAAACATAACAAATTGCATCCTGTTTTGTCTAAAACTTGTTAATTGTTCAATGGATTTATATATTTCTGCACTTATTTGTACATTATTCAAAAGCTTGATTTTCTAATCTTAAACCTTGTAAAATCTTCCTGGAAAGCTTGACATCTCATGAGAGAATTCCAAGTTTCTGGGATTTGTACCCACAAATTTTCTCTACATCTAATGGCCTGGGGCATTTTGCTTATACCACTTCCATGTATTTCTTTATTATTCACTGAACTGTTCATTTATTCCTTATTTAAGACTAGTGTTATTATTATTGTAAATATTTTAGAAAAGGAAAGAAGGGCAAGAAAGCTGCTAAGGATGTCAAGGATGATGTAGGTAAAGATGGTAAGAAAAGTCAGGCGGCAGGAAAGGGCGTGTCAGCTAGTCAGGAGAAGGTGAAGATTGGAGGAAAACACGACGTTGACCATACTGTTAGTAAGACAGGATCAAACACTGAACGACCTGAGTCACATCAGACCGAGAAAAGTGATAGCCAGACCACTGGAGAAGCCGACAAGTAAATAAATACAAATTTTTCATACTAAAACACTTCAGCTTTTTTATCATGGTTCTTTCTTTTAGAATAGTAGTGTTGCATAACCAGATAAGTGGCCGTCTAACTGAGAACATAACTAAGTAAGGGTTTGATGCAATATAGTTTTTAATTTCTTCTTTGTCCTATATGAATAACAACTATTTCATACCAAGTCCCTAAAAGAAGAACGAAAGGTGTCATTCTGTTTCTTTAGAATAAGATGCCATGACATTCTTCAACTTCGATAGTAAATAACAAAAGAAATGGCCGATTGATAACTTCTTGAAAAATATTAACAGCACACCAAAAATCAAATCATTTGTGAGGCATAATGGGCCTTTAACTATAAAAATGCAAAGCTTGATATCATTCTGTTTTATTTTTGTGGAATTAAAAGTTGTTAAAAACTATAATAAAAAGTACATGAAGTATGGATGTATGTATATTTCCAGGAAAGGTAAAAAAGGCAAGGACAACAAAGAGAAAGTGAAAGGAGAGAAGGGGAAAGATGAAGCTGTTACGGCTGAAGAAGTACCAAGAGATCCAATTAAAGAGGCAGAAATTCTACTGATGCAGAGGTAAGAATTGAGACCAATTATCTTTAAGAAATATTTTTGTATATACATGTCTATATATGTTTTTTTGTAATCAAAAGGTTTTTTACTGGTTACTTCTTTTCTAAGTGGACAAAGTGATTTTAGTAATAATTTTGTACATGACATTATTTTTAGTAATGAACATGTTGTTTCCTTTTAAGGTGTCATCTCATTAAAAGCTCTTTCAGAAAAAAAGAATTAAATGAATATTTGCTTAAGCAATATTGTATGTGTTTTTCTTTTAGTTACAGGTAAATATTACATTTTAAGAATTTATTCTGAGCTATTACTTTTGTAATCAAGCAAATGGCTGTTGTACAGATACACTTGATTTATTATGAAATGGTTTTTCTTTTTAGATTCAGAACATTTGAAGTCAGTCAGAAAGAAATTGCTGAGCTTGTGGAATATTGGGACCGCCTTACATTAAATTTGAAACGTCCCCGCACACCGTCTGAGAGATCAGACGAAGATGGACAGCATCAGCATCCACCCTCAGGCAAGAAAGGAAAAGGCAAAGGTGAGACTTGAACCTGGGTCCTTTGATCATAAATTTCAAATATTAGGCTTGCATGATTTATTATTTATATACATGTATTTATACATATATAACATATATAAGCTCATTTGTGTTAAATTTTCTGCATGTATTTATAATTAACATACTAATCTTTGTTAATCTTCCAGCAGTTTACTAACAAAATATCATTTTATCATGTTGAACTTTGTCTTGTTGAATTTTGGTGTTTTGTTTATGGGGTAGGTCTATAAATATTTACTTTAGTGTTTCATGCATCCACATACATGTTTAATGTTGGATAACTTGTAAATTGAATATATTTATTTCTTGTTATTCAACTTTTAAGTTTAAACTGACATGTCCCTTACTAAAGATGTAAAATAAATCGAAATTTAGTTAATATATGAACTGAATTTTTTGCTTTGTTTTGTAATATTTTGATTTATGTATAAACTAGATTTTTATCCCTACATGCATATACATATCTGTGTAATCACTGTCAGTACACAATTAGCATATTACACATATGTGTAATGTATTATAAGGATTATTAGGGAATACTTGAGCAATTTTTAGTTTAACTTTTTGTTTTGTTTTTTTCACTTGGTTGCTCTGATATGCATAAATATATCAAACTTTTACTTTATGTATATCACGTATGTAACAGACGTTAACTCGGAAGCTCTACGGGATAAAGTTAATCGTAGTATATTCCCTACAACCCATTCTTATGGTAAATAGATCTTTAACTTTTAACTTTCCTCGCCAGAATCTTTATAACAATAGTTATTTCCTCATGTGTTGTCTTGTTATAAAAGTCGTAAATATTTTATGATATTACACTTTTAAATTTACTTGTACACCTGAGACTTTTCTTTTTTAACCTTTTATAGATGTTCTTTTTTTCTATAATAATAAAATTTCCCTACATAAGTCAAATTATTCAATCAGAGAGTGAATTTGTGCTTTGCATTTTTGTTTTGCTTCATTGCTGCAGATTTATCTTGAATTTTCTTACATTTATTATTGTTATATATCTGACTATAAGTTCTGATTCTCTTCTGTTACAGCATTCTTTATTTTTTTCATTACTGTAACTTTCTGTTCTTCATTTTTATTCTTTTTCAAGCAGTCATGTGGACAACAGAATAACTTTTAATTGTGAAATATGTAAATAAATTATTAGGATGGACTTTGGCTGAATGGTTAATTTGTCGTTTGTCGCCAACTTCAAATCACTCCCCCCACCCCCCTTTAGTACCACAATTTGTGGATTCTTTCATGTGAAGAAACTTTTACTGAAAATCAGTGGTTCTACTCAGGTGCCCGCTTATGCCTGGAATAATGCATGAAGGGTCATCTGAGGTCTTCCTCGACCAGTAAATGTGGAAAATGATTACATGACCTTTATAGTGTCAGTGTGATTCAACATCCAACAAAATAAGCTAATTTATTATTAACTTGGTTGTATCTATGCACCAGAAGATTCGGAACAAGGTAAATGAAATGTTATGCATTGTGAGTAACATGTTTTAAACGATGTCACCTGAAACAGACTGAACCTTAACACTTTACATTCATTGTTACATTTTCTCAAATGTTGTTGGGTACATATTATTATCAATATGAAGTGTTGTCTGTAATGATTTTATATCAATGTGGGTAATTATATTAAACAATTGTTCGGTTAAGTAATGGCACAATAATATTGTGGGTAAAAAGAAATTATTGTGACAAATAGAACTTCATTTGTTGGTTTATTTAATTATATCAGTATCTCAACATATATCAAATAAAGTTGTAATAACTTGTAAAACTTGTATATGAAAAAGCTAAAATTTTGCAGCTAACATTAGTTTGATCTGCAGGATATGCAAGTCCCTATGGTCTCTTGAATGGACCTTTCCTGTTTTTAGCAGTGGAAAAATTTCCCAATGTTAGGTCAGTTGCTCATAAACATTGTAACAAACAAAACCATATTGTCACCTTAGTGCAGTAATGGGTAAACTCCTTATATAATTTAATAGAAGTTAAACCGTTCATTAAGGTGATAATTTGTTCCTTTATGTTCTGGGTAAACCAGCTCAACCAATGGCCATGATTGTACTATCATGTTCTGGGTAAATCAGCTCAACCAATGGCCATGATTGTACTATCATGTTCTGGGTAAACCAGCTCAACCAATGGCCATGATTGTACTATCATGTTCTGGGTAAACCAGCTCAACCAATGGCCATGATTGTACTATCATGTTCTGGGTAAATCAGCTCAACCAATGGCCATGATTGTGTTCTGGGTAAAGCAGCTCAACCAATGGCCATGATTGTACTATCACAGTGTGGGAGTTGAATAGCCAGTCAACCAATTTGGGATCAAAATCCAAAAAACGGAAAGGTCAACTATGTTTGGGGAAAACCCTGTAAAACCAAAACCAAGGGGATTTTTTGTGGCAATTGGGATAGCGGGGTAGAAAATGCATTTTAAAATGTAAAAATGGAAAGGTCAAACTGGCATTTTTGTCCGAAACTTTATTTTGTGATATAAACATTTACTCATTTCTCCTTTATTTTCTTTACAGACCATCATGCTACTTTTGATAATGATAAAGTTCTTCTTGCTATTCCTGAATCTGCTGGTATTCTTTCTTTTCTTTTCTTTTCTTTTCCTTTCTTTCTTTCCTCCAATGTTTCGAAGGGATAGACCCCTCTTTATCAAGATGTTTCTGTTTAGTTTTATGAATCACATTTTTATCTTCTTATTTTACACTATGTTTCTTTCTATTCCTTTTGTGTTTTCTTCTTTTCTATCATTCCATTTTAAAAACTTTATTTTTCAATGTGATTTCTTTTTTATTTTAATAGAATGCTGTCATTAAATGTAATTCTGACAGGAATTTTTGCAAGTGTCTTAAACTTTGTCATATTTACTGTTAGTTAAAAAAGAAACAGGAGTGCATTTTTAATGCTTTAAGTTATTGCTTTACTTCTAACAAAGACAGAAATTTTGTTTCTTCTCAGTGTTTCAAATCATAAGTCAGCTTTTTGTTTGATTTTATGTACTTAGAAATTGTTTTCTCTTTAGAAGAATTGTTTAGTTTTTGGTAAATATAAATATAAAATTATCATGCATGTGTTTATGTGTAACTATACAGCATATAATATGTTGTGTTGTATTTATATGTACATATATAATGTGTATATAAATGTGTTTGACACTGTAGAGGATTTGTCCACAAGTTCAATGGGTCAGAGACGGAGACACTCCGAGCATGGTAATTGTGAAATTCTTGTAACAATAACAAAACTGAAAATTACTTTTTTGAGCATGATTTTTCCTTTTAACATCTTAAATATTTTTCAGCAGTAAATTTCCATGTTAATATACACAGAAAATATTGTGATTCTCTTATATGCATTATAGTAGATCTATAAAAAAATTGTTTGATTAAATTTTCAAATACAAAATATTTTCATATCATTATTACATGTTTATTCATACTCGTATTATTGTATTTTTATTTGTTTAAATTCCTGTTCTATAGTTTTTGTGTGCTCAAAAAAGTTTTAAATTTCAAATCTTATAGGAACCACTGGTTCTCTGGTAATAAAAACTTAACTTTGAAAACCAGTCCTAATGCCGGCCACTCATTGGTCAGTTTAAAAAAATACTATTTGAAATAAACCAATCAGATGCAAGTGTAAGGTGACTGGTCTTCAAACTTATTTTTCATTATATCAGAATCAGTATAACATTGATGGTTCCATTCTGAAAGACATTGGGCATAGTTTTGTGAAGGGAATAGAGTCATGCATGGCTTTTTTATGTGTATAACAATCAGAAATATTGTAGGCTTTTTCTCTTCTGCTTTTATTTCAAAGCTTGATTTAGGAAAAGAAAGAAATTTATTGTAGATATTCTTCTTGTTACATTTTGATTACTTAAACATTTAGATCATATTCATATTTCTGTACTCATTTGAAATACTTATTTCATATTTCTTTCATTTAAAAACACATGTACTTTTAACAGTTTTTCATCATGTCATTTTCATCTATATTCTTTTTTTGCACCCTTTTCTGTTTCTTTTCTTCCCTTGAATTATTAATATAACATTGAATGTTTATTTGTAGAAAGTACTGTACAAAAACGAATTTCTTCTGGTGCTAGAAGGATAATGGTCTCAAGTCTACCCGGTATCTTTCTTTCTTTCTTTCTTTCTTTCTTTCTTTCTTTCCTATAAATTTTCATCACCCCATCCATACTTCTGTACTTTGATTTTACATTAGGCAGGGATTCACTATAAATATCATCATAGATAGAGTTAAAGAACATGTTACATTATGTAAATAACAGGGCTGCACGTAATTGTTTATTATTTTTATGACTATTCATTTCCCATGTAAACCCCTTTTTATTTCTTTTTAATTTTTTTTTATCTTTTTTATATTTTTTTCCCCATTTTGTATAAAAAATTGTTTTTTTTTTCCCCCCCCTTTAAACCAAAATAAAAAACCCCATTTTGCAAAAAACCAAAAATTTCAAAAATTTTTTCCCTGGGTTTAAAAAAATGTTACAGATTTTACAAAAATTTTGAACTATATTTCATGTTTTTCATAAAAAAAAAATTTTTCTTTTCCAGTGAAAAATTTTTCCTGTTGAAAAAATATTTTTTGGTTTTCTTATTTTAAAATTTATTTAAAGGGGAAAAAAAACCCAAATCATTTCACCCCTTTTTAAATTCATCCCAATTTTTTTCGGGCTAAAACCCCCATCTCAGAGTTTCGGGGTAAAAGGTGGTGAAGTGACCATTTAAATTAGAAATTTTTCCAAAGGAAGACAAAAGAATTGACAATATTTTTAAAAATTCCCATTTTTCCCAAAATACAAGATCTAATAAAATGCTAGCAAACAGATATCTGACTATATGTTTATAATGTTAGAAAATGATAAAAAAAAAATCCAATTTTTAGATATCAATCATTTATTTGAAACATTTTTTATTTTAGCTCCATTGTGATGTGTGGTAAAGTTTGTAGCTTATTTAAACCACTGTAAAGTCTTTTTCCTAGAACTTAAACCAGTACTGGTGTCATATATGAAATCATGGTCCTGATCTTAACAAGGCTTGAACTTACGTTTCTTAGTTTGAGTGGCGGACACCTTAACCACTAGACTACCACTTCCTTCATGAGATGGTGTGAGACCTTGTGCTGGCTGATCTTTGTGGCTACACAGGTCACATCAGTAAAATAAGTTGTTGCCTCCGGCAGATTGAAGGTCAAACAGGCTTCTTTACAGCAAAACTTTAGCATAAGATAGAAGATGATGGTAAGCCTGGTTCTGTACTGATGTAAATGGAGATCTGATTTTTGCTACAAGTTTTCACAGTGTTTAGTAATTACCTGAATAGTATATAGTCCAGGTGTTATATGTTGTTATTTTGTTATTTCAGACAAGCATGATAAAGAAAAGGCTGAGAAGGAAAGGCAGAGGCAAATAGAAAAGGAAAATGCCGAGAGACTAGCAAGAGAGGTAATTCTATATTGATATATATTTTTGTCATTGCCAAGAGAGGTAACTCTATGTTTCTGTCATTACCAAGAGAGGTAACTCACTATTTTAGTCATTACCATGAGAGGTAACTCTATATTTTTGTTGTCATATCCAACAGATATAACTCTAATATTTTTGTCCATTCTGAGGAAAAGGTAACTATAAATTTTTGGTCATTTCCAAAAGGGAAAGGGAACTCTTTTTTCTTTTTCATTTTCAAAGACAGGTAAAATTTTTCCCATTCACAGGGTTTTTTGGGGGGCCCCAAAAAAAGGGGTAAATCATTGGATTTTCCTATAATTTTAGAGAATTTAAAAAATTTTTACATCCCGCTTTGTGAGTTTTAAAAAATTTGAGATTTTGGGAAATTGGGTTTTAGTGATTAAATTCCCAGAAATTTTTTACCTTTTTATAAAGCTTCTGTTTTGCTCAAATTTCCAAAAGCAGTTAATTTTATATATAAATTTAGGGGGGGAAGTTGGGCAATTGCTTGTGGTAGGGGAATTTAAAAGGGTTGTAAAATTTTATTAGTGAAAAATTTTTAAACCCTTTTAAAACCATAAGAACTAGTTCAGGGGTAAATGTATTCTAAAAAAAATAGTATTTAGAAATTATGAAAACAACATAAACTGAGAAAATCAGGATATAAATATACTTGTTTAATTTGTATTTTGCTGTAATATGAAATCATATTGGTACCATAAAATATAAAACAAACATTCTGACTGTTGAATATATATGTTGTAGGCGGCAGAAGCAGCTAAGGCGGCAGCGGCGGCTCAAGCCGAGGGCGAGGACGGTGAGACTGTAGACGGTTCCCAGGAGAAGGAAGAAGATGTGATCGGGGTACCACATATTGTCATTGATGTACATGAGAGATCTTCTACACCAAGTCAGAAAGTGTTAAATTCTGGCAGGCTGCCAACAGTAGAAGAGGTAGTGTTATTGTCACTAAAATAATGAAACATTTGTATTAATACCAGTATCTTAAATATCCATATAATCAAGAAATTTCTTCATTTCATTGAGAAATGAATTGAATAACATAGCACTCATGAATTTTATTTTTTTAGTCATTGCCCTTTACAGAGGAACCTTGGTATCACATGCGATGTTCTTGTTAAAAACAATTATTCAATAAAAGAACAAAATAAAATCTTAAAACCTCTTAAAAATGTTACAGAATTTTTAAAAGAAAAATTTTTGAAGCAGATTTTAAGTGAACTTTTCATAATAACATTTCTTATCCAAACAAACACCTTATTGCTGTTTACAGGTTCTTGATGGTTTGGGTCTTGGACCGAGAGGACCACCTATACCACCTCCAGCTAATTTCAGTGTAGTACCGTACCCAGTGAAGCGTCGTGCCCCGGGTGTGTCTGAGTTTGGAGGAAGATATCTCTTCATTGCCTCGTCACCAGATGATCCGTAAGTTATCATGTTGCTCTACATGGTGTCCAATTTATTTTTTAGCTCGACTGTTCAAAGAATATAGAGAGCTATCATAGTTCCCTGAGCATCAATTTCGGCGTAACCACTTAAGTTAAAGTTTGCGTAACCACCTCAAATATTTTCAAAGTCCATTGATATATGGCTTTGAAACTTTGCACACTTGTTCACCATCATGCCCTCAACCAGTACACAGGAGGAGGTGACTGTATCAAGTAATGCCTCATTATTATCAAGCACTGAGAATAGTCAAGCATGCTGCCCTACTGACAGCTCTTGTTTGTTGTTACATGTTTATAGGTCTCACACAAATAGCACATATTATAACTTTTATAATGATATGATAAAACTTCTGTTTTATAACTCTTTTTTCCAGTTTATCCTTTATCTTTCTTCATTTATTTTTGTAGGGTTTTGTTAATAAGTGTAGTGTTATAATTTTTAAACATTAATTTTCTTCTTTTATAAGAAATATTGGAGTCATTGAGACAAAGGAGTCTGAACAAGAAGAAGAAAAGTCAGTGACCCCTGACAAGGGCAAGGACGACCATCCAACCCCAACGAAAGGTAAAGGCGGGAAAGACAAGAAAGATGACTCAAAGAAAGACACAGGAAAAGATAAGGAGAGAAAGAAAAGTGCCGAGAGGAAAACAACTTCGAAAGGCTCTCGTAGAAATTCTGTCGTACCACCTTCCCCGCCTCCTGGCCATGCTACACCCATCTCTGATGGTGATGCTTTAAGGTATGGCGTTTTATATTTTTAATTTTAAATTTTTATTTCTAACATAAGGGCTTCGGTTATTTAAAATTTGGAGTGCTTTTTGTAAGGTTTCATGAATCAATTATTCAAAGGCTTGAGCTTTATTATTATCATTTTGTTGATATTATAAGCACTTACTAAAAATGGAGTTTTGCTTATTCATAATTTGCAATTTTGTTTTGATAGAGGTATAATTTTGTGTGATCTTGTGGTTAAGTTGATTGACTAAAATAAATTTAAATGTGTATTGTTTTATTGCACTGATAAATTTAGAAATTATTGGTAATAAATGTTTTCATTACTAGATTTCAAGTTTATTATAAAGATTAATTGATTTTATTTGAGATGAAACAATTAATTTTTTTAAAAGAAAAATCAAAAACACATCTAGAATTTACTTCCCTTTATTACATGCCAGCTGTTTCCTACAAATATAAAACACCCACAATATTTCAATATGCATGCTCTTATTTGACCTTATTATAACCTTGACCTTTAAGTTTAGAGTAATGACCTTGACCTAGTTAGTATTGCATGTCAAAACTAGATCATCCAATGTAGTCAGAGTGTATCATAGTTGCACGTACCTGTTTTATATAAATATATTTAGCATTTATTTAATATATTGACTGATTCTTATTCCATTTGAGTTGAACTAATTAAAAAAATTTGAACTTTAAACTCTAAAACATGATTTTATAGGCCTCTATGGCTGAGTGGATCAGGTTGCTGATTCTGTATTGATCACGATTGCAACTGGTGCCATTTTTGATTTAAATCCTGTTTAGGACTTGGTTTAAATCCTGTTTAATTCTTTAAATTGTGGAAACGTTTTACTGTCAGTCTTTCAAACTGCTTATGCTCTAATGTCTGAAACAAACTCATTGTACTGATTGACCTACTAGAACTTGTACTGAATCAGGGTACTTTGAAACATAACATGATAAAAAAAAATACTGACAATTAACTGTGATCTTAATAAAATTGTCAACCTGCAAGCAGACAGGTGGTAATTGTTTGATCCATTTAATAAAACCAGTTTATTTGAACAAGAGCAATAGTATTTGAGAAAAAAAGGTAGAATTACGAAAAAACAAGAATTGATATGTACTACTAGGTAATAGTATTAGGAATTTGACAGTAGTTGTTTGCACTAACAAAACATTTTAGTAGAATCATGTTTTGTATTTTGGACGTGTGTTTGAAATGTTTTTGGATTTTGATGTGATTTACAGCACGGCGGGTGATCTGTCATCTCTAACCGACAATAAAACACCGAAGTAAGTACACAGTTACAGGGTGTGATCAAAAGTCATTCTATCTACAGTTATATGCCATCAACCTATTTCTCAAAGGGTTTTTATTTTTTCGTTCTTTTTTTATTTCTCAGGGTTTTTTTTTATTTATTTATTTCTTCTTACAGAGGAGATTTTTCTGTACTCTGATAAAAAATCCTAAGTTAAGAGTGGGGACTGTCAAACTATGAATGTGTCATGTCAGTTTTACTTGATGACCATAAATGATGTGTGAAATGACTATAAATGTTGTGAGAAAGATTCTTCAGTATTTGCAACTGCCTGTAATCTTCCCCTAGCTAATAGTATGAAATTGCCTCAGGATTTATTGGTCAGATTTACACAGTCACTGCATGATGCTGAAATCACTTTTGTTTTTGTGATTTTAATTCCTTAAAATGTATGTAATTAGTAAGCTGATGCAAAGTCGTTTTCAGCAAAAATTAACAGGATTTTAGGACAGATTGTTCTGTCTGTGTCCCTGTTAACTGTTGCAATAATACACAAAGGGGAATATCTTTTTGCATCTCTCCATTAGTAATACTGTTAAATGGCCATGAGACCTTTAACAGTGTCTTTGTGACTTAAATGCACAACCAAACTCTGTATTGCTTCTAATGGATGTCCCAGCCCCTCTCCCATGGGCTTCAAGTGGTATTCCACCCCCTATGCCCTGGGACTTCAATTCCTCCAATTGGAACATAAATAAATGAAATTCAAATTTACACAAGCTATGTTTAAAAAAAAACAGTGGTTGATGGCTAAAGTTTGCTTCTAAGAGCTTGCTAGTGTATTTGCTTTTTGTGTTGTTTACATGTTTAGATTTGTAATTTATATTTCTTGGGTTCAGCATACATTCTTTAACAAAGTTTCTGTTGTTTTTTTTTGCCATTTGAAAGGGGATAAAAAAGTAAATGTTTAAATGAGATAATTGTTTTGAAAGTAACTGACTCATTTACGTAATTGAAAAAAGAAAGAATCTCATTACATGATATGCTGCACATTGTTTTTTTTATCACCAAGTACGGCATTTATTTTTCATTTTGCCTGTCATGTATTAAAGTTCATATCCTTGTTTTTAAAGTTTTGTTTGTAAAAAAAAATGAAGAATTATATTGTTGAATGATTTTTGCAAACACACTGTACTAGAGTTGGTCTGAGATCTCCTGTCCCCTTATTTAACACTTCATTTTATGTAATAATAAATGTCCATTGATTAACATGTTGGTAATATGCTTCAAATATCTTTATAAATGTTAAATATCTTTGTGAAAATTGTAATGATGTTGTGTTGCCATATAATGTGTTCATATTTGCTAGAAAATGCCATCTTTTGATTGAAACTGCTATCTTTAAGTCTGAGTGAAAATGTTATCTTTGAGTGAAACTGCCGTCTTTTGAGTGAAAATCCCATCTTTAAGTGAAAATGCTATCGTTGAGTGAAATACCATCTTTAAGTGAAAATGCTATATCTGAGTAAAAATACCATATTTGAATGAAAATGCCATCTCTGAAAAAAATGCCAACTTTTGAGTGAAATGCTATTTCTGAGTAAAAATGCCATCTTTTGAGTGAAATGCTGTCGCTGAGTGAAAAATGGCATATTGGAGTGAAAAGAAATATTGCCAATAACAGATTTTATAAGTTATGGTCATTGTTAAAATCCTTTCTAAGGATATTGTATTGTTCAATTCTTTTGTAGATTTAGTGTCTATATATACACATTTTTAATATATATATTGATTCCTATATATATATATATAGAGCACAATTATTATAGACCTTCACATTATACATGTATAACAACCTTACATATCTATCTCCATTTAACTTTCCTTGTATAACACTCAGACTTTACTCTAATTTTTTGTACAAGTAGTCATTGTACAAATGAGCCGCGTCACGACAAAACCAACATAATGGGTTTGCGACCAGCATGGATCCAGACCAGCCTGCGCAGTCTGATCAGGATCCATGCTGTTCGCTTACCAACCCTATTACAAGTAGAGTAACTGATAGCGAACAGCATGGATCCTGATCAGACTGCGCGGATGCGCAGGCTGGTCTGGATCCATGCTGGTCGCAAACGCACTATGTTGGTTTTGTCGTGACGCGGCTCAAATATATATACAAATATATCATAAACCCAGTTGCAGTTGACTTAATAATTTTATCTCTTCAGAAACGATAATTTCACTGTGGTAAACCTATTACCAGAGTTAAAATTTTGTTGTATCTGAAATAAGTAGGACACTCAACAATGTATATGTTTGCATGTACATGTATATGTATTTTTTAAACGCATGATTTGTAGAATTTTTCTGTCTGAAAGGACAAAATTTTTTACTTCTGTTAAGCTTATAGAGAGAATAATTTATAGCAATATAATGTGCATGGTCTTTGGTAGGAAAAATATAATTGTACTCATTGTAATGCATGTTATGTTACACCCTCGCCTTTTAGACAATGGTGCAGTTTACTGCATCAGATAATTTCAACAAAGTCGTTCTGGATGCAATGAACAGGCATTGTTTTTCAGTAATGTGATGCACTGATTCAAAATTAAACACTCATCGCCTTTGCATGGATAAGGGTCATTGTAAGGAATTAAAAGCTCATGAGCAAAAATTTTCTCTTTCTGTATTTGTTAGATTGACAATTTTCCGATGGATCATACCTGCCAATGGTGAGGTCACACTCAGACTCCGGTTCCAGTCCGAGGAACTTGGCCAATTTGATCAGACTCTTAACTTTGAAATTGTTGGAACCAGACGTCGGTACCAGCTCTACTGCAGAGGAATTTGTGCTTTCCCAACAATCAGCAGGGAACCAAGGTAATATAAAAATAGACACATTCTATACATGTATCTAGAAATAAGGAAGAATTGAAAATGTTTTTTGTTTAATTTTTTAAGTTAAATGATAATACATTGCCAACAGTCAGTATATTGCCAAATTAGTCTGTTTCAAAGAAAATCCACATAGATGTGATATTTTACTTTTGTCTATGAAAACTTAGTTCTGCTCCATTTAAATCCGTGAAATGGGCATTAAATTTATTTTGACGTTAAACATTTGAAACAAGTTCAGTATGCAATATTAGTTTGAAAAAGTAAGCTAAGATATTATGATATAGAATAATAAAAAAATTTGTTTAAGTATTTTTTTTTTTCAATGCTTGAGCTCGAGCTATTTTAATTACTTACATATACAACTAGTATAAAGTCAGCCCAGCATTTAAGTCTTAAAAACACTCAAATTGAGAATGGACAGTTCCAATTTCAAAGCAGAGCCCAATTCATAAATTAAGGGAGTTTAAAAGTTGAAGAATTACAAAAATTAATTTAAGCGACTTAGAATGAAAAGTTAATGCTACAATTTGTTGAATATTTTCGTCTAGAATTGTGTTTCCACATCGTAAGAAGAGTAAGAAACTGGATGAGATCGTGCATAAGAAATATATTCTGACATCTGAGACTTTCGAGTTTGGACCGCTACTTGTCGGAAGAAACAGAGATAGGTAATGTTTACCCATTTTGCAGGTCTTTTTCTATGATCACTCTCAAATCTCTTGATTCTGTATACATTCTTTATTATTATGTTTTTGACCAATCAAATACCTGTGATCTGAGTTTTAGCTTGGAAAATTATTTTTAATCTACAGACCCAACATTGCTTTTGTTGTTAATGACAAAGTTCAGCATATTGGTACATTTTTGAGTACATAAGTCATATTTTATATTGAGTCATTTATATTTGTAATGGAAGGTTCCCGGAACAAATTGATTTAGTAATTGTAATTATTTATTTATACAGGTATAAAGAGGGGAGGTTCCTGGAATAGATTGATTTTGTAATTTCAATTATTTAATTATACAGGTATAAAGAAGGAAGGTTCCCGGAACATATGGAGACTCTGACAGTAAAGAATACATCCCCATTAGATGCTGACATCAGTTTCTGTTATCTTAATGACAGTAAAGGAGAGACATTCTTGCTGGATCCACCAGCCATGATGCTTAAACCCGGCGAGCAACAGGTACCGATCAATGTTGTCCTCATACTTGTGTATCGTCAAATCTTTAAAAGGGAAAAACAAATAACTGAATTTTTCTCTTTAAGCTAAAAGGAAATAATCTTTATCTGTTAGTGTGTTTGCAGAATTTAAACTTTAAGAAATAATAGTATTAACTATAACTGTGTAAGAAAATATTATTCATTTTTCTAAATTTTAGATTAATAGCCAAAAAACAATGCTTGTATCTGCTTTCTCAATGGATTATATTTATCTATAAGCCATAATCTGGTCATTGCTTTTGATTAGCATGTACTAACTAATTTATATGGTATACAGAACATTTCTTTAAAATATACCATTGTCATTCTTCAATTACAGGATTTGAGCATTTGGGCGTATCCTATGGTACCTAACCATTACGAGGATTCCATTGTATGCTGTGTAAGAGAAAATCCCGAGCCAGTGGTATTCAAAGTTTGTTGTGACGCGTTCCGTCCAGAGCTTGACCTAGATAGGAAACAGCTTCACTTTGATAGAGTCTTATTACACAGGTATCAATATTTGTAGCTTTATAAACAAGGTTGTATGACCGACCTTTACTTTGTCATGGCCAGCCTAATCTGTAAATATATTTATTCTTTATGAAATATATCAATAGAACTTGCTTCATATTTGAGTATAAATAAATATTTCAAATGAATTGCGGAATTGGTCAGCAAGAAATGAAATACACAATTAAAGTTTAGTTATAACTACTTGCACTATTATGAACATGGTTTAAAAAAAAAGAGAGAAAATGAAATACAGTCATACCTAGAAATTAAGGCCTGCTTCTTGAAATACAAAATGTTGTGGACAGGTGGTCTATTAAAACAGGTAATATTGCTCTAAAATTGTGCAAATGTGAACTCAGAAAATACTGACCTTTATGTACAGGTTTTTCTGTTGTGTAATCTTAATTTGTATGTGGTCTTATGCACAGGTTTAACAGTATTATTATTTTTTTAATTTGCAGGAAAGATACAAAGACCATTTACTTGAGAAACAGCACCCAGATTCCTGTACACTGGAAACTTAGTGGCCTTGACATGCTAGGCGAGGACTTCACTGTAGCCGCTGACAGTGGTATTGTTGAGCCCAAGTCAGAATATGCCCTGAATGCCTACTTTAGGGCCATGAAACCTGTCAACTCCATGAAGAAAATGATCAGACTTGAGGTAAGATTAGTTAAACAACAAAGCTATCTGGTCAGGTTAATTTATTTTACAAGGTTTTATTCATGTAACATCCAGGCGCACCCCTACCATGATAGCTTTCAATACAACCTCATAGAACATTAAAGAATCTACTCTAGCATGAGTATGAAGAGCTATATGTTTATTTGTATGTGTGATGGTGAACATCCGGGTATGCTCAAATCCCACTCAGATTTTTTTTCTACTACCAATTAAAAATGGTAGTGTACCACACCACATAATAAAAAACAGTTGAAAAATAGCCACAAGTTTATGTTTGAGTTATATTTTTAAACATATTAATTTTTAAGGTATCATGTAATCAAGTTTGATTTTAAATCAATTTTATGATTGCACATGATGTTGATCTATTTATAGATTTCTGATGCTGAAGAAACAATGGGTGTGATCAGAACAGAACCTATACAAGTTATAGCAGAGGCTTATGATGTAGCAGTTGATATTGCTTTCCCTAAAGGTATGTATCTGGAGACATTAGTTTAAACAACAATTTTTTTTTCTGTCAGTTGGAATATTTCTGACTTCATCAGAATTTGTTTCCATTTTGCCAAATTATTAAAGATTCTATTGGGGAAAATCACATCCAAAAGAAAATATTTATGCTTATAAGATGATATTTACTTTGTGTTTGGCTTTAACACAACTTTATTTATTAATACTGTTTTGTTTTTTTTCATTTAATTAGACAAATTTTAGTATCTTAATTTGTATATGAGAATGATCCACAATGAATTAATAGACAAATAATGGAATCCGTAATTCCAAATATATTCACTTAACAACCCTGTGACCTCTGTGTTACACTGTTAGACTAAGCATTTTTGTCCTATGATATGTAATAGTGTACAATTCTAAGAAAGAAGCACGTGCAATATTATGCATATAAACATAATAAATTATGAAGTTAAAATTTTTTTCTGAAGAAATGTTAAAATACAAATAAACAAAAAGAAAAGACAATATTTCAGACCAGGTTGTATGTATTGGGGACGATGTTGAAGGTACTTGTGTATTGTATCACTGAAAAAAATTGTTTTATTAAAAATCACACAACCTTGTTGTTAAATTGTCAGATATCCTTTACAATGTAAAATGAATTTTGAGGGTCAGAGTTGTTGCGATGTAAAATCTTTCGAAAAATAAAAAAAACTGCCATCTTATATTTATTTGTGAAATTCTGCATGGGAGATGTAAAAATATTATGAAATATGTACATAGTGCAATACATTCTTCAGTGCAATTATTCTAATGCATTTGGAACACATACATGTACAAGTGTTTTGAGAATGGGTGGCATCTCAACACATGTTCCACTGGTATCGAAATGTATAGTACTGTGTGCTGTTGATATAAAAAAAATTAAATATTTCAACCTATGTAAAACTGATTTTATACAAGTTTTTCATACATAAAATAAACTATATACATGTACACACAAAATCAAGTTAAAACAAAACATAGGTATCAGCAAGAGTGCAAGTGAAATAAAACTGTATGTTATACCTGGTATCATCTTCACAAGTAATTGATAAGGAAATTGAATATTTCTACATTATTTGAGCCGCATCACGACAAAACCAACATAATGGGTTTGCGACCAGCATGGATCCAGACCAGCCTGCGCATCCACGCAGTCTGATCAGGATCCATGCTATTCGCTTACAAACCCTATAACAAGTAGAGAAACTGATAGCGAAACAGCATGGATCCTGATCAGACTTCGCGGAGGCGCAGGCTGGTCTGGATCTATGCTGGTCGCAAACGCATTATGTTGGTTTTGTCGTGACACGGCTCATTTGTTTGTTGGTTTCCACTATCATGTTATTGTAAAAGAAAAGAAACAGTTTTCTAATAGATGTAGCATGGACTGGTTTTGTTTATGTTGTTGATTGTTGTCAATTTGTCTTTCCCAAGATATATGCTAAAGCTGTATATAAGTTATATAAGCTGTTAGGATAATTTTACACCAATTTAGTACTGAAATTTTGAGAAGTAAACTAAAAATCAAATAATTATTCCTATGCCTTTTAAAATGTATACAAAATGCTCAATGAATTCTGCACATTAAAACATACTAAAACATTGCATTTAATGACTTTATAAGTGGAAACTACACCTTTATCTGAAACATGAAACTTTTTGCTAATAAAGGAAGCATATTGGCTCAAATGTTAGTAAACCTTAATGTTGTTATCTCGCTCAAATATTGATTGAATGAAGAAAAAGGCTAAAGTAAGTTCCTTAAATATCTTACGAGTTCAATTAAATCTTAGTATAAAATCAATATACATACATAAGTTAAGATTTTTATAGTTATGGCCATACATAATAAGAGTGTCTTCAGTTGTTGTATATTGTGTTTTTATATGTTTGTACAGTGGCACTATTAGGACGGGCCCAAACTCTGTATTATTGTCTTCCTGATATGTTGCATATTTTGATAGTAAAATCCTATAAAGTATAATTCAGCTATGGATTACTCCTGTTTCAAAGCAGGTCAAGAATAAAAGTAAAATGTAACAGGACACATGTTAATAACTTTTTGTTATTTCAGGAACTGATGGTGGCCTTGACTTTAGCACAATCAAGGTGATGGATGAGGTCAAACAGACATGTACACTGAAAAATAAGGGCAAATATGATATTCAGTTTAAGTAAGTTTCTTTCTTGATTAAATGTGGGTTTTTTTTCTTTCTTCACTAATATTAAGCCTTCTTTGCCTGAATGGTTAAAGTTGTTGACTGAAAACCTTTTTCCCAATCTATATTAACATCATTTTTAATTGGTATATTTAAACAAGAATATGAAAATTTCTAGATTTTTTTTTAATTTTCCCAGCTAATGTGATTATAATAAGGATATGTTGTGACTGTATAGTGTTTCAGCAAGCTAGCCATCAAAATCTTGCAGGTTTGCTCCATAGTACTAATTGTGTCAATTTTGAACAGCTCCTATACTATTCTTAAAAGATTGTATAAAGAATGCTTTCTCTATGTAAATAATTATGAAACTTAAAATAGATAACATCTTTTACTGTGCCTTTTACTTTTAAGACAACAAGTTTAATGATTTTACCTTTTCTTTTCAGCTTCCTGTTCGAGAACGTTGATCCTTCCAACCCTAACATAACCAGTCTGTTCTCCGTGATTCCATCGAAGGGCGTGCTAGCCCCGCAGGACAGACAGACGGCTGTACAGGTCATCTTTAAATCAAACAAAGAAGTAACAGTGAAAGATCAACCCATCCTGAAATGTCAGGTGATCGAACCAAACATTGCCGAGGATGGTGAACTCATCGCCAGTATTCCGGTTAAAGTCTCCGTAAAGGCCGTCTTCAACAAGTAATTATACAAAAACAAATTCTTGAAGATCAGAAAGCAGGATACTTTAAAAACAATGTCATAAATTTACAGAAAGGCTGATGTTTCATAGAGATAGATCTTAATTGAAATAAATAAAAGTGTTATTTTGGTATACATGTTCTGTAAAAATGCTGTAGCATGGACAGAATTTTGAAATTTATCATAATTATAGTTTTATTTAATGAAGAATTAATGTATAACATACTGATATTAATTGAAGAAATACTGTTTTTCTATTTTATGTATCATATAGATCTATATTTAGTCTCTGTATTTATAAAATAACTTTTGTTCTATAGTAGGTTCTAAAACATTTTTTTGCTCTTGTTAAAGGTACAACATTTTACCAATGAGTGACATCAACTTTGGTTCCCTGTTAGTAAATAGCAAGAAAACACGAACATTTATAATTGAGAATAAGGGAGAATTTGATTTCAAATACCAAATATCAAAAATGATCAAAGAACCAGCCCAGCAGCCTGGAACCAGGTCAATGAGACCGTAAGTATTGCTTTCAGAAATTCTTTTCTTTTGTTTTTTAATTTAATTGAATTTAATTTTAATTCCTCTTATCATCCTATGAAAGGGAAACAACTTCTGCGAATCATGTCCCTTGAATTTGGCCTTATATTTAAATTTTGCTCTAAATGGACAAAAGAATAAAATCTTTAGTTTATGAAAAGTACAGAAAAGAAAAAAAAATCAAGTATGATCATTTCCGTCAGTAAGCCACTGAAATAGATTTAACATTTTGAATAAACCTCCTTTGTAGAATGTAATTATTGAAATAATGATATAGTTACTATAAATAGCAAAAATACCTCCCGAAAAGTGGCTAACGTGTCAAATATATTATAATGACATAAAAATATAATAATTTTTATATGATAGAACTATGTACTAACATGTTTGTGTTGTGGTGGCTGCAAAACAGATTTTATATATTGTCACAACCTTTTAGTTTGTATCACTCCTATTGTTTATATGTTTAGCATATTATATGCCTGAAAGTAAGCGTGTATATGTGTGTAAAGTATGAACTGTATTTAGCTCTGTGTATGTACATTTGTATGTATGTATGTATGTATTTAGATTGATTTGTTATATTCTGAAACAAATGGTATGATATGAACTTTAATGAATTATCAGCATAGGTAGTGTATATAAATATGTATTTTACATAGTGTTTATTGGTGGATCTTGTGATTCATTTTAGTGTGAGAGAAAATGATCGAAATGCACCCAAATAAAAATACATATACACAATACAATGTTTTCACAAGATGTTAACAATTAGCTAATATGGATCATTCTTATTGCGAGGGAAAAATAATTTAAACACATGTACACACGTTATTTTTATAATTACATTAATGTGACCTCCTCTGCCTATATGATTCATTCAAATTTAGAGGGATAATAATGCACATGTTATAAATATATAAATAAAATCATCTCTGCCCAATATAAGGTTCATTTTTGTTACAAGTGAAAGTTATCAAAACAGATTCCCACTCAAGATGTATGTTTACAATAATTCCATGCTTTAAGTTTTAATATTTTGCCAAATTCATCTGTTTATGTATCACCATCATTGTATAGATTCACTTAGAATTATGTCACATGATTTCCTCATTTTTTTCCAACAAATTCTCATGGTACAATGTGATCATTTCCAATGTCTCTGCTATATATATATGAATGTTAATTCTATGTCTTCTTCTTCTTCTATATTCTTTATATTCTATATTTCTGTCTGTTCCTCCATGTCTAGTTCCGTGGCATCATCTGTGTTAGGATCTTTACCAGGACGTAGTAAACAGTAAGTCTCCTTCAGTTGTTAACATTCAACGTTCAATTATGCTTCAGTGCCGTAATCATTATGTACTTTCACACCAGTGTTGTAACTGTGTAAAGTAATTTTCTTATGAATGTGTCAACTGCTGTCCAAAAAAGCACCTTTAAAAACAACGAAGAAAAAAAAATGAAAAGAAAATGTTAGGTTAGTGAACCCAGTGTTTGTAAGTTGGAATCTGGATTGTTTAAAATTTTGAACAATGTTGAAAGATGGATCATCTGAAGTAATTTTATAATGAATTAAAGTCAGCAAGCATGTATAAGTGGAGAATTTTAGATCTGTTAGTACTGGTACACAGCTTGATTTACCATTCTGAGTTAGACAATATTCAATTTATTGGAGCCAGTCTATTTAGAATAAGAAGTGAGTTATTTGTGGGGTTCACAGATTTATTGAGATTTTTTTTTTTTTAATTGACTTCATTTCAAATAATCTGAAGAACAGTCAGAGATATTTCTTATGTTTCCTTCAACTAAAAAACAGTGTATTTTTACCTCACAATTCCTATCAGCTTTTCTACATGTATGTAGCCTATATTGTCCTGTATGTATACCTTCTTCTCTCATTTCTTTATATTCTTCTTTCTATCTGTCCATAAAATTATAGCAACTACCAGTCTCACCATTCCCGTATCCTGGGTAAACAAGACTCAAGTCAAGTGTAAGTTTGAAATGATTTTTTTCATATTTAGTTTAACATTGTCATAAATAAACATCTGGAAATACATAAATAAACATCTGGAAATACATAAACAAACATCTGGAAATACATAAACAAGCATCTGGAAATACATAAACAAACATCTGGAAATACATAAACAAACATCTGGAAATACATAAACAAACATCTGGAAATACAGAGAGAGAGAGAGTGTGTGTTTCAAAAAGTGCTTTACTGTTATTAAAGTTGAATTAAATATTTCTGAAAAACAGATAAAAAGAAAAAATGTGAGAATCATTTACTGGTTAATTGGAATTAAATTTAAAGCATGTTAAATTTGTAGAATATGAAGCAAACTTCTGTCAGACCAAGAGTAAAACAAACAAAAAATCTCTGTCACCTAAACCCTTTGTTCTTTAATACTTGGTCTGCATTGTTCATTTTATCTGAACAGATTTTATACTTTACATAGCTCAATTTCTGTGTTTGGAAATTCTGAATATGTTTAAATAGACTGTTCTAAATTCTAAGCTTGGCAAAGTTGTTACAAAATTTCAACAGGTTAGCACTGTTCCAAATTGAAAGCCTGGCGAAGCCATTACACTAATTCATCAGTTGAAAATTAACTGTTCTTCTAAAGCTCAGTGCTTTTTCTTTTTTTCAAAGTTCATTAAAATCACCATGAAATAAATGATTTTATAGTACCTGGTATTGTTTTCCCTGTATACACCTTTTACATAGGATTTTTTTCTCTTTTTCTTTTTATTAATTTAAATATCTGTATAGACATATAGGTATATACATGTATTTACTATTGTTATAATTACAATATATAATTATGTGCATAGTATTACATGTATATGAATTTATCTTTGCCCTTTTTTTTTTTTTTTTTTTTAATATATATAATTATGTTTTATAACAGAATATTATTTTACAGTGTACTAAACCATTGTGATAATATTTATATTCTACATATTTAATACTTGCCAAATTATCACCTCAGCACTGGACTGTTGCACATGTTTTATTACTTCATGTGCAGTAATTTAACAGTCTAATGCTGTGATGATGGACATTTTATTTGTTACATTTGTTTTTGAACCAGCTTAAATGTATAGCCAGATTTGTTCTATGATTTATATTTCACTTCTTTTGAATACTATATATATGAGCCGCGTCACGTCAAAACAAACATAGTGCGTTTGCGACCAGCATAGATCCAGACCAGCCTGCGCATCCCTGCCAAAAAAAAAAATGCGCGGACACACAGGCTGGTCTGGATCCATGCTGGTCGCAAACGCACTATGTTGGTTTTGTCATGACGCGGCTCATATATACATGAATATATATGTATATGTGTGAGATGTTTTAGCTTAAATATATATATTATTTTTCTCAACGTATTCTCCTAAATATAAGGGGAATTAGCTTAAATCCTTTAAGCCATGACATTGCACTTTTTTTCTGGGAAAAGATGTGAATTTACAGGATTTATTGTAACCCTGCCCTCCCTAATTACATGTATAGACCTGTTCTGATTTCATTAAAATAAGGAACCAGCTTTGAAGGATGAATTGCGTTTCACTTGCAAATTCTTACTTTTGAAATACAGAGTATGGTCCCTGGTTTGTATCCGGTTTGCGGGACCAAAATATCAGAATGACATTGACAACTGAATATTGACGTCGGCCTTTCAACTCTAATTTCAAATGTAAAAGACATTTATAACAAATGTGACATCAACGTCTCATCACGGTAAAATGCTACGTACCATAATAGCGCCAAGTCTATAAGACGTCTATCCTCCTTATGATAATACGCGTTATATCTAATAGAGGGTGTATCATTTTGCTATTCATACTACATGTAATAATTATAATAAGTAATTCACATCTTTTCCCATTCATAACATTGCACAAAAATCTTTCCCTGTTCCTTATGTAGGCAAAAACATTTCTATTCCTAAAATGCAGGCCTGTAAAGGGAGATAAGCGTACAAAATCTCGAGATGGCTCTAGTTCAGGTAGATCTGTTGCCAAACCAAAGAAAACCGATTCGACCAGGTTTGTATCCGATTATTGGTGCACTTACTCTCTTTTAATTTTTTTTTGTTGGAAACTGACAAAACTGACTTCATTGTTTTGTTTTGTAACAATTTTTGTAGTGAAGATTTTAAAGTGGTAGCCATATTGTTTTGCCTTTGCTAAAATCATTTTACTGTGAAATCGGAAAAGTCTGTGGTCATATAAAATGATAACAAAAAGTTACAAGATTTTACAATTTTTTTTTTCTTTTGCTATGTCTGGTGAATGCAGGAATATAAAAAAATAAACAATAATGTTTGTTACAGTAGGCTGTTTTTCTTGTCATGTTAAAGAATTTGTTATATTTATAACTTGTCATGGAAACACTGAACTGGTTCCTAGCTATTGTTTTAACGTTATAGTCCAGCAATTAAAGCACTGGGAACAAGCTGATATAATTATGACAAATATTATTTTAAATGGGATAACCAAACTTTTTTTTAACTCATATTGAAATATTCTGTTTAGAAACTTGATATTATTTTAAAATAAAAATTTAGTGCATCGTTAGTCAGACATTTCAGACAAGACGAGGCAAAGATATTGAGATAATAATTTTATGGAAATGTTGGTGCCGGTACAGTCCTTTCCCAATTCACAGTAAACTAGCTTCAGTCATTCTAATATTGAAATTTTTTTCCCTAACAATTCAAAATGTTTGCAAAATGTTCACTTCTTTTTGTTAACCTTTTTTTTGTTTAACCAAACTTGTTTTAATTTTTGCACAACAGTTATGTTAAGAATCATTTAGTTATAATTATAATAATTTTTTTCTGATTTTGAAACTGAAAATTTTGATGTCTGTAAGAAATTTTTGTTTGTCAGTTTTCGGCACTTTTCCGAGAGATTCCCATGTATGGAAACTTTTATTCTCAGACTATTTCAAAACTGAGTACATATAACAATCATAAGTCATGCAAAGCCCATTTTTATTTCCATGGTTGATTAGGCTGTGTGATAGATGTTCTATATTTTCCTTATATATCTTTACTTTACATTTGTGACTTTGGGTTTATATATAAAACTATAATTCATGACTTTGGGTTCCATTAAAACTACTTTTGGCTAATTTAAGTTACAAAGTGTGAGCATGGTTTTACTTCTTTCTGTTGCAGAAATCTGTTGTCGTTAAATTTTTTTTTTTAATTTTTGAATTTTTAAAACTTTTATCTTTTTAATGATTTAATTTTAACTTTAATAAATCTGATAGGAAAGATGCTTTTAAAACAATTATTTTAAGTCTGTTTATGTCTCACTTTATTACAACTTCCCTATATTTTTATAAATATTAATTTTAATATATAATTAAATTTATGTTATTTGATAGAGAGAAATATTATTAGGAATTTTAATTAATTCATTGTAAATTTTGTCAAAAATAAAAATTTGGACCATTTTTCGGGGTGGGAATTATAATAAGCAAGAATTATATATGCATGAAGTAATAATCAAATTAGAATTTCTTGAGCTACATATGTATGAATTAATTCCCACGGCATGGCTTATATGATGTAGATGTCAGATGTGAATGGAGGTGTAACATGCATTTTAGTTATAATTTGGTTTCTTTATTTTACAGTGGAATAAAAATTATATTTAAATTTTTAGTCTGTGCAAACTGTGCAAGTTGTATATTTGTTTTGTCTAAGTAATTTGTAGATAGACAAGTTATAACCTCACCTCTAAACCCTTTCTTTGCTATTGCTTCATAAGTAACATGTTTGCTTACTAGCATTGATTGATTCATAATTTCAAAAAACTTTGGTTCACTAAATTAATAGGAGCCATTAAAAAGGAACAGATAAAAATATTTCTCATTCTTCAGATTGTTTTTTTTTCTGTACAACAAAACTTCAGTCTTTTAATGAACAGAAAAAATCTGTTAAACTGGCTTATTTAATATATAATTAACTTAGATGGTTTATTTTTAAGAAATATTATTAAAAATGCTGAAGAGAACACTTTAGAAAACATGAATCAATCATTTGACTTCAAGATCAATAAACTGATTTTAGAAAACCAGTCAAAAAAATGTTTACCATTGGTTCATTTAAAAAATTTATTATATCTCAAAATAACCAATCAAAATTGTTTTTAAATTAGTGAGTTTGAATTCAAAATGTATCTTATATTTTCATTGGTCAATCTCAATATGTAACAAACATGTAGACTGGTTTTCTAGATCCAATTTTGTCAGTCTTGGCCTTTAGTTCTGCTTCCTGCTATACTAACAAACCAGTCTATTTCTCTGCTTGCTGTGTGTAGTGAACAATCCGAAAGTGTTGTGCAGAAGCCAAGCCACATAAGTGGCACGCCTGCCAAGTCGGGCAGAGACCATCCAGGCGTTGGTAGTTCCATGCGTGGAAAGTTTACTTTATTCCAAAATAACAGGTAAAGTTGATGAAAAATAATTGTGTTGGAAAATCATTACAGATTTATGAAAAATTGTTTGTTCATTGTTCATATATGGTACGTATGGTCAAAACTTTTTTTAGTCAGGGGAGAAAACAATTTTAACCTGAATTATTCACATTGAAATATCTTCATAGAATTCACATGTTTTCAGGTGTTTTTTTTGTTGTTTTTTGGGGGTTTTTTTGTTATTTTTTCTTTATTCTTAATTGTATTCCTTTTGGGGGAATGGGGTTTTTTTTTGTTTTGTTTTTTGTCAGAATTTTTTTCTGATTGTTTAGAACTTTTTATTACAGCGATTTAGGTAGGAAAAAAAACACATCCTAAATTGATGTTATTTAAATATAGTACATTGTGATTATATACTTACTCTTCACTAAATGTAGTAAATAGCAGCAGTAAATGATAATGAAATAGATTGTTTTTATTTGCTACAAATTTCTATTTCCCTTATTACCGGTAGATTATTTTGAACATGCTTTGAAGTAAAAGTTCTGTAATTTTAATTGTTAATGTACATGCATATAAATGTTGTTTTTTTTTTGGTATTTTGTTCATTTTCAGTTTCAAGAAAATTTCAATAGATAGAATCACTTCTACGTAAATTTATGTGTTGACACTTACTCATAGATATTATTAAATTTGAATTTCTTTCTGGCTTATTAGAATTGTACATAAATATGTAGATTAAAGTAAGAAACTTTTTAAGCTTTGTAAACTTAATTTCAAAGTGATTGCATGATAAAAATTAAAACTGTTAAATCAAAGTCCTACCTTGTTATCTTTGCTGCACATGTTTTAGTCAGATTATCGGTATTCATATTTAATCATGCTAAAATCAAAGCATCATGTATTAATAGGGATATTTCAAGGGAATAGTTTATGAAAATGATCAATTTGTGTAGCAGTCCGTGACCAAGCGATGTTTTATAATTTCAGACAAGAAATGGGTGGACAGTCTAAGTTACAGCTCGGAGCTTTCACGATATTCCCAGCATTTGGTATAATCTTACCAAACGGTCATCAAACCATCACTGTCGACTGTGTGGCCGAGTCACAGGGAAGATTTGACGAGGTATAAAAATTTTTTATACATGTCATATTCATATATATTAGATTGTATTTAAAATTTAATATACCGGTATATTGTAATTAAATTGTAAAATTTGATTAACTAAAGATCTGTCTGAAATTTATTTCCTAAGCTGAATGGCAAGTTTTCTAGGCTCGAATACTCAAGTTTTCTAAACCTTGGAAAAAAAGCTCAGAAATTAACATTTTCTTTGATTGCAATTGCAAATTTTCTGAGCTCACAAAGGCTACAACTTTTCATACATAGGGAGAATTTTTGTGTATACAATAGCAAAAACCCTTAATCAGTTTCTTAATTTTAATATAAAATAAGGAAATATTAAACTTATAGAGCATTTACATAAAAGCATTGTAACATTCATACGTAAATAAACAGTATTTTAACTTTAAATTATAATTTTGTAGGAGTTAAGTATAGATATAGCTGATAGAGATCCAACTGATCACCCAGGTGGCATATCATACAAGTTGCTGGCCGAGGCTTGTATCCCGTCCATTAATGTTGACGACCTTGGTTCGATCTTTGAGGAGCACCGTGTCTGCAAGAACTTGAGTGTCTGGCAGCACACAAACTCTGTAAGTTCAATCTTTATTTGCTTATTAAGCATAATGGATAATTTTTTGCTTTGAAATTATCCTTAGCAAGGGTACGGAGTTTCAGTTTCATAATTGACACAACAAATGGTGTAGTGTCTGAAATCTTATAAAAGTGAATATAAGAGTGCCTTAAGCTCAGTTGAGCTGCCATGGCATTGAAACTTATATGTAAGTATAGAACTTAAGTAAATCAAGAGGAGAGAACACACTTAATATAAGAAGTTAGGTATATAAAGTTTTTCTTAATTTTTCATAATTCTTATCTGATACAGAGCTTTTCTGAAAAGTTATGCATTATTTCCTTCATTATTTTGCATTCCTATGATTGAAATAGTGAGTTGAATACATTTAAATATTTGGATTGACCTATCCAGGAGAGGCACAAAAATTACTGCCCATAAGTTATATTGAGTTTGTGGTAATAATTTTTTTGTACATGGAATTGGAGACTCAAAAGTTCTTTCTGAAGTGTTTCTTTATTTTGTTGTTCCTTTTTTGTTTGACAACTAGTCAAGCTTATTTATTTTGTAATCAGAGTTGTTTCCCCTTTTTTACAGCTGGAGAGTAGTGGTGTTTATGCTGAGGATGAGAAGAAATTTGTGTTTAACAACGTGATTGTTGGACGTAAAGCTACTGCTAGATTCAAGATCTCCAACAACCAGAAGGTCCCATGTGACGTGGTGTTCACTGTAAAACCCCTAGGTGCAAAGAGCCGGCAACAAGACATATTTGAAGTAGAACCTGGCAGGTCTCAAATTATGAACCACAGTTACGTGTATGCCACTGTTACCTTTACTCCACCTTCAATGCAGGTATGTCTAATTTTTCTAGAAATATTTTCAAATTAAGAAAAATTAACGAAACTTTATTCGGTATTTTCTTATATGCATGTATAAAGCAGCTATATTTTTTTTTTATATCCACATCTGTTAAAAATGGAATAAAATCACAAATTAATAGATTTACAATAATATTAAAGATATTTTTTTTTTTATAAAATGCTTTATGCCATAAGTTGAAGTAACCTTTGAAACTAAAATCACAAGATTTAAAAAAAAAAAAATTCTAATTGATCATTCTACAAAAATCCTCTAAATCTGTAAAAGTAAAAGACTGTGCTTAATAAATTTTAGGTGTATAAACATTTAAATGTGTTTTGAACCTTTTTGCAGAGTTTCAGTGCATTGTTTGAAGCAGTCATTGACGGACTGTCACCTAACCAGGCCAGAGGCAAGACCCTCACATTTGAAATTGCTGGTGATGGTAACTTACCCAGAATCTCTATTACCAAGCCAACTGTAAGAAACAAGAGAGGACAACCATTACTCTTGTTCAAGAAAAATCTTGTTGGTAGAACAGAGTCACTTCCCTTGGTTCTGCAAAATGATGGCACTTTGCCAAGTAAGGTATGTAGAAAATGATGATCAAAGTAATTTGATTGGTCGGTTTTAGAGTTTAGATTGAAAATCGACCAATGACAGAGATCCAGTTTCAGGTTAATTTGTAATTGCATTGTTTAAAAAAAAGTTCCGTTAATTTTTGTGTCACATACGAAGAGACATGTAGATTTTCATATTTATTGTTAACTTTAACGTTTGTTTTTTGGAAATGATTCACTTTCATGTTAATTAATTTCATTCTACTTAACTTATAATCATACATGTAGTTACATTACATTTCTTTGTACATGGTTACAAGTGTTCAGGCATTTACCAGAAGTTTAGGTTTTTTATATTCCTGAAGGCAGCCTTTTTCTATATAAAACAAATTGACATAATGCTAAATTTAGGGTATTGAGATTTTCTTAAATTTTGAACTTGCACCCATGTTTGTATATAGTGTTTATTTTTCAAACTTTCAACTGTTTTGTGTATTTTTTCTCTAGGTTGACATAGATCTTATAGACCCTGATGGAGTGTTCAAACTATTGCCAGCAGAAAACACAAATGCTATCATGGCAGATGACGAGGATGAAGGTATAGATACAGCTTAAATAAATCACTAACATCATGAATTTACCATATATTGTATATCCTCACCTTAGTGCAGTAATAGGTTAACTTCTATTTAAATATATAAGGATTTAAGCCATTACTGCTTTAAGGTGACAATATATGCTTGAGAAATTATAAGGAGTAAATGTATACACTCTCCATCCAAATTTTGCAAGATAAAAAGTTGGTGGTATTATTTCTTTATCAGAGAGGAAGGTTTTAACCTTTAGCGTGCTGGAATGTTAAGTGAGTAGCCTCAGTGACACCAGTATAGAGTCAGTCCAGCCTGTATATCCGTGCAGTCTGACCAGGCTCTATACTGTTGGTGAGCAACTTCAAACTTTCATCTTGATATCCCCAAAATTTGTTATGGAGAATTCAAAAATTTGAAGCTGGGCAAGTCCATTTAGGAAAATCAGCAGCTTAAAGGTTACAATGTATGACAAGATAATTTTATGATTTTCTAGTCAAACAGCCGTTTAGACCTAGAACATTTCCTTAACTATTCAAGAGAAATATTTCGTTATCTCTTATAGTTATCTCTTAAAGATAATTTATTTGAAACAAATAGAAATTATTCATTTTTTTCTTTTATTTTTTAAATCAGATGCATCCAGAAGACCACACACAGCCTCAGTCAATGTCAGTGTTGGTGAAACTGTCGCCTTTAAAGTCAATTTCTGCCCAACGGCAATCCAGAGGTCACAGGCACATGTTCGTGTATCGGTGATTGACAACCAGTACGAGGATTCTGTAATCCAGCTTGTTGGCGAGGGATACGAGGATGAAATCTCATTGGACAAGATAAACAGCGTAGATGTACCCATTGACCCCGAGAGTGAGGAAGGCAATATGGCTGAAGATGATGTTTCAGGTGACTAAAGAAATAAATTCAAATTTAAAATAAAATATTTACTGTTGTTTTCAAGGGGCATTTTAAAACACTTTGTTAAGACTGCAAGAACAGTACTTATAAATCCTTGAAATGTTTAATGTTTAGGTAAATACTCTTCTTCATATATATAAAGATGTCCAATCAAACTTGAAAAAAATTTTTTACTATATTTTGATTGGAAATAAAGTTAGTAAATAGCCAATAAAGCTACAGAAGTACAGGTTTATAAGCAATGAAACTGCATTTTTTTAAAAATATTTGCAAGTAATGAAAAGGGGATTGATTTTTATAGACAAGGCTAAATTGACATCATTATTGTAATGGCCTATATAAAATGTCTTTGGTTTCAACTTAACAGAAATTAAGCATAGAAAATAAAAACTTATTCTTAAACTTAAGCATAAGTTTTGTTATCAAACTTGCTTTTAAAATTTGTAACAAAATATTTGTCAATTTTTCTTACAGCTGCAAAACCAAATCTTATTCGGTTTGGAGACTGTTTTATCAACGAGCCTCGTACTTTGACATTCTCGATGACAAACCATTCCAAGACAGATGCAATCAGATTCCAGTGGCCTGATCATCCACAGTTGAAATTCTCGCCCACTGTAGGTCATCTCCATACCAACTGTAGTAAAGATTTCACAGTGACCTTTAAATCTGACCAGCCAAAAACACTGCAAGAGTCTGCAGTGCCGTGTAAAGTTACCAAGATTACCTTTAACAAACCAGGACAGGTAATTTAATGACAAAAACTTGTTTGATGAACATTTTGTTTAAAAGTAAACAATCATTTGCATACTTATATGACAAAGGAATGGTTCGGAGAAAAGAACTTGAAATATTTTCATGCATATTTTTACAAACTTCAAAAGTTTTCATAAGGCAACTTCAAAAGTTTTCATATTTAAGACTTTAAGAACTGTTATTATTTTATCAAGACTGTTTTACTGGTATTATTTTAAATGTTTTAAAAAACATGTTATATTTATTAATTTTATAGGCAACAGACTGGGATGACCGTATACGTACTGTCAAGTGGGTTGACATACCAAACTCTCCTGTAGAGGGCAGCACCACCGGAACTAAGACAGCCACCACAGCCACGCCTAGGCCAGCTAAGAGGAAGGTTGTAGAAACTGAACCAGAACCTCCTCATAGCGAGGTTGCCGACTCGGCTCGAAATGTTGATCTGCTTGTCAGTGCCGTAGCTGATTATAGTAAATTCAAGTGTAAATTAGACAGTATCTGCTTCAGAGAGACTTTGATGTTCCAAACCAGAGTTTACGAGTAAGTGTATCATGTTTTACTTTTCTCACTATTTCAATATATAATATAAAGATAAATTACAGTTGCATTATTTCATCAATGTGTCACATCAATATTTGTGTATTAAATGTGAAATAACATGAAATGAAAAGAATTTTAGTCATGCTGATTATTTTCTTCTTTTTATTTATGTTTACATGTTTAGATGTAAACAGTTAAAGGTAAGTATGAGATTGACCAGTTGGCTATAAAATTATAACAGACTTTGCAAAACATTTCTTCAATGCATACTTGCATTACAAAACTTTCTATTTATAGCAATGATTATCGTAATGAATTTTCTTTATCTACAGGTTTCAGATGAGTAACAAGGGATCGGTTCAGCTAGATTACAGTTGGCAGGTAGTAATGGAGAACTTCACACCAACCATACAGCGTGCTGTGACCTTCATCTCTGAAGGTGACAGGCCCGAGTCTCGTGTAGACGTAATTGACACACAGTACATTCCGTTCACTATAGAGCCAGAGTATGGCACAATTATGGCAGGAAAGAAACAGACATTTGCTGTCAAGTTTACTCCCCTGGATACCAATGATTATGAAGGCAGACTGGTCTGCACGTAAGCTGACAATTTTATTTTATTTTTTTTAAATCAACTGACTGGTTTTTAGAACCAACATGTGGATGCACGACTTGATTTAATCTAACTTTTATTAAAACTTCAGGACATAATTGACTTTGGATTTTTCATGTATGGTTGGTGGTTTTACTTGGGTGTCCACTTATGTCTGAAATAATGCCTGGCACCATCTGTCTTCTTTCATTGGTAAAAATGAAAATTGACATATGACATGTACAGTGTATATGTTGCTTTTGTGCATATCTTAAAGGTTAAAATTATATGAAAAGATGTTATTTTGGAAATATTTTAAGATGTTGTATCAATTAGGTTAAAAATAACTAACAAACTATTATAAGGGGTGACTCTGCACAAGAGAATTTTAGGAAGATAAACTGGTATTTGATTAACTATGATCATGTATAATAAGAAGAGTAATCACCTTAAGTTGGTACTGTACTTAGTGAAATTATAATTGTTGTTTTCCTTTTTAAAGGGGTTTTGGAAAACATGTAACTGGAGAAGTATGGTAAAGGGATATATTAGGTCAGTGGATGTTAGAAACCAATATTGCTAATTCATTTTAACCTTTGTTTTGTAGGATTTCAAATCTAGAGAAGAATTCACAAGGTCCAGTACTTGGCATAAAAGGAAAGAGTTTAATGCCATATTGTCACTTTGAGTTGGAAGATTCTGACTATATTACAAACGCCCGCCGCAATCCTGAGATGAGAGGACCAGGTGGGGCACCTCCTGGCACAACACTCGACCCTAACACTAGAGTGATTGAGTTTGAAACCACAGGAGTGTCTGTGAAATGTACAAAGTAAGTCATGACTGGTTATTAACAAGAACTTAGTCTAACCTCCTTTCTTTTACAAATGCATGTGAAAATTTCACAGAAAAAAATAAGTAGCAATAAAATTAACTTGTTACCAGAATCATGTAAAGTGAGCATCATTTGTTATAAAAAATGTGGAAATTGCTGCAGAAAGGATTATATTGGCAAGAATGATATATAGTTTCATGTGACCTCTCACACATTCCCTCCTATAACATTCCTGTCTATAAACTTCATACCAAATGTTTGCTACAAAACATGTTCAAGTATTAATTTACATGTAATTTGTGAAACATAATTATTTAGAAAAATCATAGTTATATATATTAATTATTTCAGATCATTTGGTATAGTTAACCCCACTAGTCAGATATACAGTTACCAGTGGATATGTGAGGATGAAGTTGACCCAAAGAAACCTTCATCATTCCTCTGTGTACAACCTAAAGGACAAATCAGGAGTGGAAAGAAAGCTACTGTAAGAGTTTAGTTTTGTAATGGATAAATTTCTTAAATTTAAGTGCTAAAATTTGGATAAGATTGTATTTGTAGGAGCCAGAAATGTGAAAATTACCTTAATTCATGCCAATGTTTAGACATGTGGTGTGATTTTAATCTGTATAATAGGTTTTTGTTACTGATTTTGTTGTCGTTTTTTTTTAAAAAAAAAGGTCAAATCACTGTGTTTGTGACAGTAGCTTTAAGTATTACAATCTAAAACAACTGTAACTAACAAGTTTTAATATGAAATGTTATTATTTTATTAAAGGTAACATTTGAGTACAGCGCCACTCAGCTGGACGTGGTTGAGTCATTCTGGAGATTTACGATACCGGAACAGAATATCAACATTCCATTCTTACTTGTTGGTCAGGCGAAGGAACCGGACATCATCATGGATAGGTCACACATGAACTTTAAGGCTCTACTTATAGGTAAACATGATTATTGAGTAGTTGACATTATTTTAGCATAGAATTATTGATTACATAAAATTAATGCTTTAATTAAAATTGAAGCGCCATGGTAAAATATAGTAAATTATGCAATTATACAGGGCATAAAACATTGGCCATGGAATATTGAGAAATTTCTTATTTAACCATAAAAGATTTATTGAGTGAATTATTAAAGAAAATTTTTCCAAATTTTGATGTTTTATAGACATGAATTATTTTGTTTCATCGAGTGGTATTTAGAAAAAGATCTTTCAGTTATCTAGTGGTAAACACTGGTGTGAAAATTCATTGAGTGTGTATATTGTAGTAAATATTAAGTTGATATTCATATTTTGATTCTTTCCTACTACTGGGTGCTAGGGGTCATGGATGGAAACTTGCACTACCCTCAATCAAACCGAACCTGCAACATTGTCAAGTTTGCCATTTATTAGGGATTCCATTCCTCTCTATTTTATCATGATATGGATAATAATGTAATCTTAATGTTTGATTTTTGATTATAATAAATGTGGAATCTGTTTGTATAAAATGTAATGTATGTATCTAGGTCATGAAGCCAAGGAAACAGTGTTGCTGATCAACAATGAGAACCAATCATTCCACTTCAATTTTGATGAAGACTCCACCCACTCAGCAGGATACTCCGCCCACTTGTTTGTTGAACCAATGGCTGGTGTTCTACCTCCTAAATCCAAGTAAGATTAGTTTTTAGCTCGACTTTTCTATGAAAAGGGGAGCTATCCTACTCGCCCCGGCGTCGGCGTCGGCGTTAGCGTCGGCGTTGGCGTCACACCTTGGTTAAGTTTTTCGTACCACCCCACTTTATTTCAGAAGTATTACAAGTATGGCTTTGAAACTTACCATACTTGTTCACCATCATAACCTCCATCTACAGACAAGAGTACATAACTCTGTCAAGGTTTTTGACAGAATTATGGCCCTTTTTTGACTTAGAAAGTGTATTGAGCTTGGTTAAGTTTTTTTGTACCACCTCACTTTATTTCAAAACCATTGGAGGTATTGCTTTGAAACTGACCATACTTGTTTACCATCACGACCTTCATCAACAGACAAGAGGACATAACTCTGTCAAGGTTTTTGACAGAATTATGCCCCTTTTTGACTTAGAAAATACATTGAATATGGGTAAAATCCACTTATTGCCTTAACCCTTTGAGATATTGCTTTGAAACTTTTAATGCTATTTCACATCATTACCCCCATCTGTTACGCAAGAGAAGGTAACTCTGTCAGGGATTTGTTTTAAAAATTAAGGCCTTTTATCGACTTAGAATCTTGGTTAAGTTTTTTGTACCAGTCAACTTTTTGACTGAACTGGTTGAGATATTAAATTGAAAGTTGGAATACTTGTTTACCATCATGTCCCAAACATGGGCAGGAGAAGGTAATTCTGTTAAGGATTTTATTTGAATTATGGCCCTTTTTGACTTAGAAACTCAGTTAAAATTTTCATTCTTGTCCACTTGTTGACCTAACCATTTGAGATATTACTTTGGAAGTTGGAGTTCTTATGTGCCATCATGAGACCTATCTGTAAGCAAGAGAAGATAACTCTGTGAAAATGTTTCTTGATTTGTACTTAGAAATTCCTAGTTAAAGTCTTGTGTGCCCTTAACTGTCAAAGTTTTGTTTTATAGGCAAGCACTAAAAAAGTCGAGCGCGCTGTCCTTCTGACAGCTCTTGTTTTACTGCCTTTCCAGTATATTTCAACACAAATACATAATTTCCTTGGTTACTATAAATTAAATTCAGTTTAGGCATTTAACAAAAGATGATTTGCAAGTACATTATCCCTCCTTGTTCATGCAATATTTCAATTATTTGTTATTAGATGTATAGTCATGTAGCTAAAATACAGTTGTAAATTTGTTTCATCAACAGTAGCTTTAAGCAACTAGTAAACAATTTAATCTAGAACAAATATTTCAAATTTTGACGTAAAATTTCATTATGATATTTAACATTGGATTTTACAAAAACTATTGTTTGTTTTCTTGTCATGCAGGATTCCTGTGGATCTATACTTCACACCAAATTCTGACAAAGAAGTAAATTTCAACCTGACATGTAATGTACGTCGTAAAACACTGCCAGTTTCACTGAACGTGAAAGCAGAAGGCTATTCCATGGATTGTACGTTACTGTGTGAGGATTCCCTCGGTAACAGAGTAGAATTATCACCAGACGGTCTAAGTCAGATCAATTTTGGTGAGGTAAGGGAAATAGTTCATGTGATTATGTATACCTTCAGCTACAGAGTGAAGTTATTTCAGTGAAATATATACACTAATATTGAATAAGTGTTTAAGTAAAGTATCCAGCATTATAAACTCTTTATATTATGTATAAAGTATTTATTCAAGATTCATTTGGTAGCCAATTTTTATCTGAAGTATCTGTTGATACTTTAATATAAAGTCTTAAGTTCTAAAACTTTTCAGGCCGAATGGTACAGGTCACTGACATTGTACCATTTCTCCACTCTAAGGTTCCTAAATACAGTAAAAAATAAATTCATGAATTAAGCAATCCTGCAAATGTCTTACCAAACTAATGTGAATATATGATATGCTATTGGAATATTTTGATATTGAAATAACTTGTGTATTTCAGGTGGAAGTGAATGAGCAACAGATTCGCAATTTGTTCATTCTGAACTCTGGCAAGTTTAACTTTGATTATAACTGGGAGCTTAACATGGCAACAAAGCGTAAGGATATGGTGACGATCACACCGATGTCTGGTGGCGTGAACCACGGTGAGAGGAAGAAATGTATCCTGTCTTTCTGTCCGTCTGCTAGAATGACCTTGAGAGATTCAGAACTTGCTCTTAAGGTAAAGTTTTTTTACATTTTCACAAATGTTTTTTAGTTACAAGTCAATTTTTAGAAAAATGCAAAACATTAAAGTTGAGAATGATGTTTGTTCTATTTTTAGATAAAGTAAGTGATTAAACTCTTTAAAAAATTGAAGTAGTAATAACTTATTTAGTGCCCCATCAGTCTGTATATTTGGGTTGTCTTACCAGACTCTGTACTTTGGCTTGATTAACTTTGCTACTTTGATATCGCGATTTTTCAGGCTGATATGGGACAATATGAATATCACAGATTGACAAAGCCATGTGACACTCAAATGCAGGAAATAAAGATTGTTATCTGTTCTGATAGGAATCAGTTGGATTGATTTGGTCATATTTCTCTCATAATCTTGTGATATGTTCCTATAGTGTTAAAGTAATATTCTCGATTTTAGATAAGAATTTTCCATATGGAAAACATGAGAAAATAAGATTTCTACCAATATGATACAATCTATTGTACAATTTTATTCTTGATATATCAGCTGTACCTATGTATATTTTCAGATATCCCATGGACCATCTTACCACATAGCTTTGAATGGTCTAGGTGTGAGTCCAGGCCTCCACTTCTCATTCCTGACAACCAACTTTGGTAGCTGTTTTATATACCGTGCTGGCATGCCGACACATACCAAGGTGCTCAAACTTACTAACAAGGATAAGAAGGAAATAAGGTATGTCCTTTCTACATTCTTAATTTATAGCTGAAATAAATTTCATATGCATGTAAATTATAAGAATGAAAAAGATCTAAACTGTATTGGTGCAACAATATAATAACTGCTATTGTACATGTCTCTCTAATGAGAGCCTGCTAGATTTGCATAGATGAGAAAGTATTAGGTCTTTGGGCCTGCTGTGCAGCAAGAGTGAGGCATGGGAAGTTGTAGAATACACATTACTTTCAATCAAAATTTGATGAAAGTGTGTCTGTTTGTTCTCCACTGCTATTTCATTTGATATATATTTATAAGTTGTCATTTGCTTGTGGAGGAAAGGTTTTTTTTTACTCATTATCAGTTGAATTTTCAGGCATCGATCTTTTTTCCTATTGGAATTTATGGAACATTTTAAAATAATTTTCTCAGAAATTTCACTCATATAGGAAACAATTTGTTCTCAATTCAGCAATTTACTTAATTGTTTAACAAGAAGAATAGACCAGAAATATTTCAAATTTGTTATGAGTTAAACAATGATTCAGTAAAAAAACTGTTTATGAATAATGTTGTTTACAAATATATACATGTATATTTTACAGTGTTGATTGTCTTTACACACCAACCAATCATTTACATCACACATTTGAGGCATGTGTTATCCAGCCAGGACAATCTGTAGATGTAGCATTTACATTCTATCCTAGAGAAGCCAAGAAATACAAGGAAATTGTCACATTTGAAATCAATGGTCTTTCTAAACAGGACGTGGAAATTAACGGCCAAGGAACAGAGATGAAGGTGTGTAATTTTATGTAGTCAAAAATTATAAACTGTTTTGTATAGTATTCTTGATGGAAGTTTGACACAATGGATTGTAGGGAGTGTTAGTAAAATAAAGATTCATCCAGTAAAAAAATCTAATCATGTTGAAAACCTATCAGAATGGGTTTGGCCATTTTTTTCAGAAGCTGTATGTAATAATGTTCATAATTGGCCCTTTGGATCCTTTCTTCCTCCAGAATTAATGTTGGAAAATCACCATATTACCATAACAATGTCAATTTGATATTTTTCCAATTAACAATAGATTTAACTTTTATACAGTCTTAGTGATGCTTCACATAGAGAAAATTGAAATACTGGCCTGAGTTGCTTCTTTGTATACTGGTACCAAAATTGTGATGGGAACCCATACACAAAGTATAGATATGCAATTTATAAAATGTGAAAATGCTTGGTTTTATTACAGATTGAGGTAGCAGACCCAAAACACAAGATGTTGAACCTTGGTGCTCAAGTGGTTGGCAAGGTTGTAAAACGTTATATCCCCATCATCAACAACAGCCCTGCTGCTATAACTTTCACCCTGGCCTTGACCCCCACAACCCCAGCCCTACAACAACCAGGAGTGTTATCTATATCCCCCACCCATCAGATTACTCTGGAGGGCAAGGGTGGCACCTGTAAGGTAGAGGTGATTTTCAAACCAACTGGTAGGATACCACAGTTCATGGAAGAGGTAAATTTGTTGTATTTCATGTACATATGAATTTGATCCAACAACTCAGCTGGTTGAATCTTGTATCAGGCATTAAAATTTTAATTATGTTGTGCAGTTATGGAAAGTCAGCTCGTTTACCTGATGCTCTGATTGTTTTATGGTCAGCCTCCAAGGATCGTGAACACGCATTGGCGGTATATTATATTTATGAAATGTCGATTAATAAGTATTGTTGACACACACAGAAACTGGCCTATAATAACTGGTTTGCTGCAAAACTTCAAAGATAACTAGAATTAAAAATACTTGTTTTAGTTAAGTCAGATGATGTTGACTTGTATTATTCTTGTAGTACAAGTTGCTTAAAAAAATTTTGAAGGACTAGTTGCTGTTGTTGTAAATTTGTAATAAACTTTTGATTTGTGTAATCACGATTTTTAAGACCTTTCAAGTACATGTAATCCTTAATAAATTGTTTTATATTTATGTATTTGATAATATCAGGTGTTGTTGGAGTGTGCCGGTCTCTCACAGCCATTGTTTGTGATGCAGGGCTCATGCCTTGGCATGGAGATCTCACTCGACACCGTGGCAATACCATTTGGTGCCGTTGTTCAACGCAGCCAGACTTCTAGAAAGATTGTTATGACAAACTCTGGAGACATGAATGCCAAGTAAGTCCCAACCTCATTTGTTATTGAAGATATATGATCTACAAACTCTTATTATTTTAAAATCTTCATGTTTAAAAAAGCCGTAAGAACCCGAATAAATGCATATAATAAAATCTTCATGTTTAAAAAAGCTGTAAGAACCCGAATAAATGCATGTATATACTTTCATTTGACTTTCTTTAGAATGCAAATGTTTATTTAACAAACATTTAACTATCTTAATTAATAAAATCTTAGAAACTGTGATTTATATTTTTGCAAATTAAATTATTTAATACAAAATTTAGTGTACAAACTTTACTAGAACTATTTAATTTGTGTTTAACAGATTCTGCTGGGATATAAACAGTTTTAAGCCTGATTTCTCAGTTTACCCTGTGGAGGGATACATCACACCTGGTATGGAAGTGACATTTGAAGTATTCTTCCACCCACAAGAAATAAGCCAGGATATAAGATATGATGTAAGGACACTTGAACTTTTTTAACATCTTGTAAATTATTGTATGTACTAAAATTCTCACTATTATATTTTGGAATTTATCAAAGTTCTGATTTCTAAGGTGGAAACTCTAACTCATGCACTTCTTATAATGTAAATGAGATACCATAGCTTGGTCTTTAACTCTTTCAAATTTGCCATTTTACAACTATTTTTGTCCAACAAAATTTGTAAATTTGAAGTTAAGCATTACTATGTACTTATTTATTATGTAAAATTACTATGTTCTTATTCATTATGTAAACTTAAAATGTTGACTCCAGGTTCCTATGTACAATGTACAGAAATCCCAGTCATCATCAGATTTTCTTTAAAAAAAGAAATAAATACTAGTAACACTGTCATCAGTACATAGGTATAATCAGAACGCTACTTTTTTATTATTCAGAAATTGCGATGTTTCCTCGAAGGTGGACCTCATAAGCCTGTCACTTTGACCTTGACTGGAACATGTATCGGTAACCCACCAGTGAGAGAAGGTCAACATTTCTCCACCAATGTTAGAGTCAAGGATACTAAAAACTTGACCATTCCAAACCGAAGCAACCAGACCTGGCATTTGAAGCCAATCATTGAGGGCGAGCAATGGAGCGGTCCGGTATCGTTTACCGTTGAGCCCCAGCAGACAAAACATTACGAGCTCACGTATTTCCCTATCACCATGACAACCGAGGGTAAAAAACACCAGGGCTCGATCTTCTTCCCACTCCCAGATGGTACAGGGCTCATGTTTAACTTGGTCGGCACAGCTGAAGCTCCCAGACCCAGTGGAAAGGTTTCACGTGACATCCCGAGCAAAACCTGGTACAATGAAATGTTACCTGTACATAACTGGCTCAAGAAGCCACAAAGGTTGGTAACTAATGTCATGACATTGGAAATAATATTAAACGTTCTGAAGAAAAACACAAGTTTCAATAAAAGAATTAGAAAATACCATAATTTTTTTTTTAATTTTTGAGAGTTTCAAAAATGCTTTTCCTTATACATGTACATGTTTTTGTTTAGTATTTAAAATGATAGTTATGGGCATTTTTTATTTTCATGATGAATTTCTACTTCAAATGGTTTTCAGATTTCAAAATAATTTTAACATAATTATACAGAATTTTGTTGCACATCTCACACATTGGTCCTATGTTTTACAGGTTTAGAGTGAAAGTTGAGCCAATGAGACAAGAAAAGTTTGATACAGGTACACAGATCAAGTCTATGGATTATATAGACGTACCTGCCAGCAGTAAGAAAGATTACAAACTCTCTTTCTATGCCTACAAAGAGAGTATTACATCAATGAAGGTAATTTAACATTTCAAATGATCATTTGTATAAGAATGTGACAAACTTCTGACCTAAAGTTATCTCCATGGGCTTTTGTCACGATCATTGAGCCAGTTCAATGGATCATATAACAAGATCAGTTGCAGATTTTTGGATCTGTGTAGACTTGCAAGCCTTTTGATTATTTTGGAGATCAATTTTACTATTTAATGTTGATATTTCTGAAATGAAGAATGGCTTATTTCCGAACTTTAAACTGGGTACACCTATTTAATTGTGTCAGGTACAATAAGAAGTACAATCATTTCTCCTTTAAAATTGATATTGATATCTGCCAACAATATAGAATTTGGTCCGCTTTAAATAAAAGAACAAAATACAAATTCAATTGTATAGAAACTGGTAAATAAATGATGTAATTATCTAAATGTTATTTGGTTATTATTACAGGTGACATTTATAAATGAGCCAACCGGAGAATACCAGTACTATGAGGTGACATTCAAGGCAACACGACCTGGCGTGATCAACACCATTGACCTTGTGACCCCAGTTAGACAAAGTGTCCATCACAAGATCAAGTTGGACAACCCGCTACCGCAGGCTGTGACCTTTGCAGCATCCTGCAATGTACAGGAAGTCCTTATGCCGAGCACTCTGAATGTACCTCCAAACTCGAGTGTTAGTCTTCTAAAAAGCATTTTAGATGAAATTTTCCTTATGTGAAAATGATGCCACTTCTGTCTAGCTTAGAATTGAGCTTACTTTGGTTTTCAGAAAGCTTTTTTGTGTAAAAGTTTCAAATCATTTATTCAGTAACTACTTCAGTTATTCAAAGAACACATGTATAGAAATGTGTGGCTGCTGTTGAAATACTACATTGTTTCTTTCACCTGGATAAGCTTTAGATATGAGAAACCTGTTAGAAGTAGCTTAATATAAATGTTCTCAGTGTATTCAATATCTGTTGCTGTGTATCATTGAGATATCAATTTTATTTCATCATAGTTTGATGAGGTTTATATATTTCACTTTTCAAGTCAAGATAATTCAAGTGTGACAATTGTACATAACATTTCAGGCTGATTTTACCTTGGAGTATCAACCATTGAGAGTTGGTGAGAGCACTGCAAGACTTGAGTTTAGCAACAATGAGCTAGGCTTCTACTACTATGACCTCAATCTGAAGGCGACCTCAGCTGGGCCAGAGAGAGCCCTGTACTTCAGGACCTGTTTGGGCCAAAGTCAAGTCCAAGTTGCAAAATTCTTGAACTTTGCAAAACAGAAAACAGACTACACTTGCAAGGTAAGTTAGCGCAAGGAGTTTGAATAAAAGAAATTAAAAATAAGCTATCTACTGTTGCCTCTTTAATGTGTACATCTAGAGTTTCTGAGTGAGTTTTAACTTAAAACTAAAAAAGAAACAAGAAAAAACAATACCTTTAATTGATATTCTTTGATATCTTTTGTCAGTAAAATATTAATTTAATTTTTCCACAAAACTATTTTTTTTCCAGGTTGATAACGGAGATTTCCATGTTGATAAAACAGTGGCTGCAGCACCAGGATCAACTGGTGGAACAGAAGTAGGTCTGGATGTCTCGTTTGAACCGTCACGTCTAGGAGAACAGAGGGCGCTGCTAGTGGTGAGCTCTCCAGTTGGAGGTGAATACAGTTTCCCGCTCTTTGGTACCTGCATTGCTCCAAAACCACAGGGACCATTTATGATCAAGTCAGGATCCACTACGACCATATCTTTCAGAAATGTCTTCAGTAGTACAACAGCATTTACTTTCCAAGTTGACAATCCACTTTTCCATTTAGTAAAAACAAGTGAAAATATTCGCTCACGTAAAGATCATAGAATTTCTGTAGGCTTTGATGGAAACGAGGTTGGTGCAAAAGCGGCTGTCATGGGCAAACTCATTGTGACATGCCCAAGATCTGCTGGTGGGAATTCTAACGTACAGTGGGTGTACTACCTTAAAGGTATTACCCAATAAATTTGAACATTCTATTTTTGCATTACCCTCTGAAAATATGAAAAACATTTAGACTTTGTTTTATAAATATACTTTTATAAATTAATAGTTGTGTGAATAGAAAAACTACAGATATAAATTTCTGCTGAATTGTGTGATAAATGAACATTGTGCTTTTATTGATATTGATTAAAAATAAAATGTTAACTTCTGTTTGTATGTATGATATATGTTACTGTTGATATAAATTTGTATTGTTTATTTAAACTATTTATTGACTTTATTACTGGAAGATTAAAATGTTATGTTGATTGCAGGAACTGCAAAGTTTAGACTATGAATTGACTTGTTGCATGATTTTTTTATTAGAAAATAAATTTGTTAAACATTATGGCACAATATTGAAAATGTATCAATTCTTTAATTGATAACTGAGACACAGAATTTGATTGGTAAACTGTATATAAATAAATATTGCCGCAGTTTAAATTTGTTATAATGTATTTTAAGGAATAATTAAAGCTGTTAATTCACATTATATGCAACACATCTTTCCGTCCAAATGAAATTTACATTTTTTTCTGTTATATACATGATATAATCAATGTACACTGCTATACATTAGTGTACATGTATATTTCTAGCTGGATTGCATTCCGTCCCAATGTTTTAATCTTAACATGTATGAAATTCAGTATTTATAAAACAGTTATTATTTACAAAATAACATTCCCCAAATATGTGTTATTATGTACATTGACTTACATTTTGTTATGAAAAAATGATTGTTTAAGTATTACCGTAGTTAATGTATTTAAGAAGCTGACCACTGCTGTGATACTTTTTTTATGAATTTTTCTATATAATAACAGTTAGTTTGCTGTCTTAAAATGTACTTTGAAAGCTTCACAATAAAATTATTTTCTGTGAACATATGTTGTAGTTTTATTTATTTTCCGCATTGTGAAATTTTAATGATCTTTTAATTCTTGTTGAAGATGGAAAGAAGATGAAAAAGAAGACACTCATTTGGACTCTATTAGCCCCTTACTTATAATTAATCTGCTGACTTTATCAAAGTTTATGTAATGTACTTGCCCTGCAGTCCATTAAATTTTAAGGGCTTTCAATATAAAAATACAAAAATTGAATTATCAACATCATAGAGCCTGGTTGTGAAGACTGGCCTGACTCTACACTGGTTGCAAAGCTATGTAGGATTAGCAGTTGGTCACTAGTGGAGATATAGATAATTACTGGTTAGTTATCCAGAAAAGTTGATTATAAAAATCAACTGCCAAGATATGACAAATATATATATATAACTAGGGTGCCCCAACACTCCACTGTTTTGTCAATCTTATGACTTTAGGTCAAATATTTTTTGGGCTACATATGCCACAGGTTGAAAACTAAAAACCGTTTACTAAGTCAAGGGCAAGAACTTTGCAAATACTGAATAAATCCGCAAGCAAGCCCTAAGGTGCATAAGTACATGGCTGACCAAAATTCTTGTAAACTTTCAGACCTACAGGTCAAATATTTTTTGAGTTATGCATGAACAGGTTGAAATTGCAAACTTATACTAAGTCAAGGGCAATAACTCTAACAAAACTGAAAAAAAATCCACATGCAAAACCCCCGGTGCATAGCTTCACAGTGATGTTGATCATTATTCCTGTAAAGTTGGGTTGATTCTAACTCAAGCACTCGAGGAACAAATAACTCAACATAATGGAACAGTTTTCAGTGAGTCAAGGGCAATAAATCTGACAAAACAGAAAATATCCACAAGTGAAACCCCAGGTGCACAACTTCACATGCTGAGCAACATTCCTGTTAAGTTTCATGACTCTAGATCAAATACTTTTTGAGTTATGTGCGACACAGGTTGAAAATCGTAATTTTTTACAAAGTCAAAGGCAATAACTCTAAAAATACTAAACATATCAACAAAACAATACCCAGGTGCACAACAACACATGCTGATCAACATTCCTGTAAAGTTTCATGGCTAGGTCAAATACTTTTTGAGCTACATGTGACACAAATTGAAAATTGCAAATATTTACAAAGTCAAGGGCAATAACTCTAACAAAACATAATAAATCCACAAACGAAACCCCTGGTGCACAACTACACATACTGAGCAACATTCCTATTAAGTTTCATGACTCTAGGTAAAATACTTTTTGAGCTATGTGCGACACAAAAGATAACAGATGGACGGACAAGGGTAAATCTAAATGCCCCCCTCTAAAGTGGGAGCACAAAAATGTGTTAAAATTGGCATACTAACTGAGCAAAAAAACCACAAAGAAATAAACTTTTGGTTCCAGCAGGTTAAGAGTTAAAGGCTTGTAAAGCTACATCTAAGCTTTACTAGTGAATATAGACACAAAGTGACTCTCTGAATTATTGAAGAGTAAAGTATAAACATAAATTATAGAAGCACCAGCCTTTTCTATGTCAGTTAAATATATCTAGCTCTTGTTTTTATCAAACAAATTCCGTGGATAGATTATAATTTCCAAATAAGAAAGTTTTCTTATCAACTGACAGAACAGATTCAATATCGTCACCTTTGTTTGTTTGTTTCATTTTACGCCTTTTCCCCAACAGTATTTCAGTCATATATGCGGGTAGTTTCCTAACCATCGTTCCTGGAGAGTTACACCAGTACTTGACTACACCTTAGTGCAGTAACAGGTTTACTTATTATTTAATTTAATAGGTTAACCTGTAACTGCACTAAGGTGAGGATACATGAAATAATTGTTGCCTTTTTACTTATATCACTAGAGTAAGATTAAATCATTTAATTCACAAAAGTATACATGTCATTAATAGAGCAATTTCACATTTACATATAAAATTAACACAAATCTGTAGGCATGCTGGTTTAATACCCATTACAGTCTTCTTTACAACTTATACAATTATGTATATTTTTCCATTTCAAACATGACAATTGTAATGGAGTTTTTCTTTAGAAATGAATTTAATCTAGACAGCACCTCTATTAAAGTGGAGTTGTGGCTTTTTATTGCTTTTAGACAAGAACATTTAGTAAAATATACAAAAGACAATGACTGTTATCTTATTTTTTTATTGTATTTTTTGTCAGTAGAAATGTATGCCTCAGCAATTCATTCAATCATAACCACAACTGTACACATAATCATTGTTAACATAATGTAGATGTAAGTCAGTCCTTTGTTTTACTGAATATCAAGACAAGAAATGAAGACATAGGTTTACAAAGCAATAGCTCCAATACTTTTTTTTATAATAAAGAAGTACCGTACGTTCCCTACTATAAGTAGTACACTACAAAGGCTCTACTCAAAAGTCATCTTATGAACAGAATTTAATTTTTTTACATATTTCGGCTCAGGATTTTAAATTGTCTGCTAATTATCTTTTTACAATTTTAGTAATGTGTTTTAAATCCTAGCTGTAAACAGGAGTATCATTAACTCAAGATTTGACTGTGATATATATTTTTATGATTTATTAGTATCTTTAAACATGATTATATTTAGGTCTGCCTCTCTATGTCATGCCGCCAATACAAAGGACCACAATGGAAATAAGAGCTTTTTTGCCTTTTTTGTGTTATCTTTGGTTTTGGTGAGCATGTCATAGTTTTCTCGTATGTGATATAGTATTTAATAATTCTCACTATTTTATCCTTTGTTATATTGTCAACTATGTATATGCTTCCTTTGCCGAAATAAATCTATCTATCTACTTAAAAACTCCTCCAAACTCATAAAATGCATGTGAAAAAAAAAGAAAACTACAGGTAGTTTTTCGTTACAGTAAATTTGCAAACTTTTGCAAGTGAAGGACAAATGTTTATGTTCATAAACTGACCTTAATCCTTATTTCTTGAAATATGGTATTGACAAAATGATCGTATAATTTCAAAGATAAATATATGAAAATCTTGTTGTATTACTATATTAATAAATAAAATGTTGTCAAACAATGCAAGTTCAGTTTGGCTATTGCAAAAACTTTTTGTACTAAATTAAACCAAAAAATCTAGTTCTTACCTTAACATTATACATTGTATTAACAACATTTTTAAAAAGTCATATGAAATAATAGCTTAACAGAATATACTGCATCAACAAACAGTTTTACAAAATTTTAAATATAAATCTTGGTATAATAATCACTTACATGACAAATAAGTAATTCAAAGTAGTTTATAAGATAAAATCTGTTTGAAATTAATCAAATATTCATAGTCACAAAATTCATGTTCTTTTTCAAATCTAGAGATTGTCAATCTTTTTCTAAAGTTTAAGTAATTTTTGTTCTTCTTAAGTATTCACAAAATTAAGCAATATTTGTTTTATTCTTTTCAGGTAAATTAATTTAACCTTTGGACATTATACACAAGACCGAAAGCTCTGTAGAAGTACACTTCTTGCTTTGTATTAATTATATTCACAACATTCAGACACAATTCCTGTCTCAAGTTTCTTCATCTTCTTCATCATCACCAAATGATAATAAACTGGAGTTTTTCACCTCCTTTGATGATGAAGTTTTCTTTGTTTTCTTTTCTTCTTTAGTTTTTTTACTACTTGACACTGCAAGTTCATTAGCTGTTTCATTTTGTCGTTTAACTGGCTTCTTGAACGTTATTTTCCCATCTGATGGCTCCTTCTCATTCACATCTGGTGAGGAAATAAGAAATTTATTTTGTATGATATTAACAGAATTAATTGTAAGTAACAACCTGTTACCTGCTGAATTTCTTAAATGGACTTATCCAGCTTTCATTTATGGAACTGTCCATAAACAATCTGGGGGATATCAAGATAAAGATTTGAAGTTAGTCGGCCAATATGCATGCAGTCTGACAAGGCTCTATACTGGTGGCAGGCTTGGAAACACTGTCATAACCCCAGTTGGGGTCAAAACAATTGAAACTACAAAATGTACTACTCCTGTCATTTTTATGCTAGTGGTAATAATGACATTCTGATTAAACCAGTAAAGAACAAGGCCAGTATTCACTCAAAACAAACATACAGACTTTAAATAATACCATCTGTAAACAAGTGTATTACCACAAGTACATTTTCTATTCTTTTCATTGAGTTTTAAGTCTTCCTGGCACAATTTAGGTCATGTTGTCACTAGTACTTGTCCAAGAGAATATCATATGATAGATACTGGTAAGTCTTAAACATATTGACCATGAGTTTATAAAGTCTTAGCAAAAGCATTAAATGTCTGTTTTGTGTGCACATTTTCTATAAATTATGTAATAATAATGATGATAAAAAAAACTAACAAAGTAACTGGATTACATACAAGAGTTACAAATAAACATGAAAGAAAAAAAATCACAACCTGAAAAAACAAGTTTGGCTGTTCGCTTATCTGAGATTTTCCCAGCAGTACATGATTGACACATTTTCTATGTGTGAAATAAAAGACAAAAGATTCTATCAAATTTTGTCAATAACAAAGCTGTATGTATATTCATAAATACAAACCATCATTCTGTGAGAGAGCCTTGTCATCTTTCAAGGCAAGGTATGCCTCTTCAGGAGTGAGATCACCTTCTTTCAGAACTACAATGGTAGGTTTTTCATCTTCATTATCTGATCTATCTTCATCTTCATATTTCAACTCTTCTTTCTAGAGATAAAATTATAATTTTAGACAATTTGAATACTTAAATAATAATGACTGACTTTTTGAATGCTGACCAATAATGACTAAAGGTATATAATATTAGTTATATACTGATGCCTCATATTTTCGTGGTACCCATAATTCCAAGGTATTAGGCATGAACAGTCTCAAGTGCCTCCTTGACCTAATGCACCTGCTAGTTTTTTACTTTTACTTTTTATTGTATTTTTTATCGAAATGCTACATATACAACTGAGAAAACTTATTATTTTATTGAGAATAGAGCAAAGTAAATTATTTCACCATTTTACTTATCTTTGTTAAACCACAGGAACCCGAAATTCTATCCAAAACAAAAATATAACGATTTAAAAAAGAAATCCCATATATATACTATAAAAAAACACTTTTATAGTATATATATGGGATTTTTTTTTAAATTGTTATATTTTTGTTTTGGATAGAATTTCTGGTTCCTGTGGTTTAACAACCATTGAGATAAAATGCCATAGAGAAGAGAAAATCCCCACTTTAAGACGGGGCTAAGTATAGATGTACTAAAAATTAAAGATTACTATTGTGTATTGTTTTTGCCTTTGAAACTGTTAAAATGTAATTACCTTGGAAATATGAGAACACAACTTTACTCATTAGGCAGCAGATATGTGTTAATTCATATTATTTGCCATTCTATGTACATAATTGCTTACATGTAAACAGTAAACGGAATAAACTATGTAATTGATATGTCTTTGCTACAGTTTTCAACGTATTTTCCCTAATTTTATTGTATTTACCTACATGTATCTTTCTTCCATTAATGGCAAACCCCTCGCGGGGACTTAGACATGACATGACTCTTAAATTGTCACTTCACAGAAAGCTATGAAATACAAGGGAATCCGGGAACCAGTCCCTAGTTCTTATTGAATAGACCCCTTGTTCAGTATAACACTGATACATGTGTAGTAGGGCAGGTTGTTTCCCTTTGTAATTAATGTTCTGATTTTTGACACTTATTGAATTAAGTTCTAAATTGTTATTTCCCTTTTCTTTTTGGTACATGAAATTGTAATTTGTTATATTTTATGAAATAGTTTGTATACAACTTATCGAGTAAATTGTTAGCTATTAAAATTGTCAAGATAAAGAAGGTCTCAGGTATAAAAATTTAATAATTTTGTTTTAAATAGTTATTCTTAATTTATATTTATGAAGCTAATGTTAGAAATGATATGTTGATATATTAGTTGATTAGAAATAATAATTACTTTGGTATATAAGGTCAGATTTTATTGGCATCATTGGTAGCCATATTGTCACAGGTTGCTGTACATTTAGGTTCTCATTGACCGCCGTACAGTGACCTACTTTTCGGCTCAAAATTCATATCTTTGGCTAATACTCCGTGGAAATTGCATGGAGGTAAATTATCACCATCTTGTGCGTCAAAATTAACTCTTTAAGGACATGACTGGTGACATGTCCGGGGTCCGTACTCGACAGCGCAAGCTGCATTTTGTGCCCGAAAGGGCGGATGGACCCTCATTAAGCTTTAACTACATACATAACTACATACATACGCATCATTGGTGGCAAAGGTTACAAAGCCAAGCTACCGCCCCTTCCCCTATCTTAATTTATTAGGTATTATAAAAGTAAATTGTTTAGTATTTCGTTATTAAAGTAAAAGTACAGTATATCTATTTTCTATTACTCTGCATTGAAAGTTCTTTATATTAAATTTGGTAGTTGTTATAGAATTTAATGTCTATACTTTGATAAATTGAAGTTTATATGTTTAAATAAAGAACATTGTCGTATAAGTATTTAATTTTGTATTAAAAATTAGAACTGGAAACTTGGTGTTTTGTCATTTCTTGCAGCAAATATTCGGGGTAAAGGGACGAAGTGAGTCCAAGCTTCTAAGGCTCTATAAATCAGTAGCAAGTAAAAAGGAGAGGAACTTGCGAAGCCAGGTTGTGATAATTTGCAACCTGTCGCCTCGGAAGTAGCGCTCTCCTGCTACACATGCGAGGATTACCTGGATTTCTTACCAGTATACCACTAGTTAAGTCGGAAACACTGAAAGAGTCTCTGAAAAATGACGGAATATGCAAGAGAATATGTGTAATGAAGCTTGAATGAGATAAATATGACCCAAGGTGCTACAGTAGCCAAGGTTAATATTAGAAACCTTTACTACAATTAACACATCAAACTTTGATTCAAAGCATGACAGGTCCATAACCATAAATAAATCCATAAAAGGAAAATATTTAAGCATTGATCAGCATACTGGAATTGCAAAATACAAATCGTAAAACTTGCAAATAAATTATTAATATCTATTAGTCATTCTATATGTATGATTAACTAACCTTATCATCAATTGTCGGTCCTTCTTTATACCCAGTCTTCTGCTTAAAAGCTTTAATAAAGGCAGGCTCCTCATTTTTAACGTACGAGACTTTATTAGACATTTTTGTACGTGCAAATGGGGTGTGTAAATATAAGGGACGTAACTGTAAATATCAGGGAGGTTACCGTCCGGGTTTGGATAGTTACATTGCAATGATTGCACCATTGAAATCTTAAATGAAGATAAATCAATGTATACATTATCATACATATTAACACGGATTTATATTATGTCATATAAATCCGTGATATTAATATCCATTTAAATTTAAACCTTTGGGAAGTCATACATACAGCCAGCCTCCATATCTTGGGCGACTTCAAGGTCTTCAACTACACTAAAATAAACTGGACATCTAAACTGAATAAAGGTACTGATTCATGTTTATCAGACTGTGAAGGCCAATTATCCATTTTAAATGAGGCTAGCGAACAACAACTTGTTCTCTTTCCAACTAGAGAAAGTAACACCTTAGGCTTATTTGGTAACAACTTTACCTGGTCAGTTTAGCAATATTCACTCTCCAGATCAGTTGAGCGACCACGACGCCATTATTGGAACATTCAGCTGTTATGTACCTAGGAAGTCTATGCCAAAACGGAAACTTTTTAAATACTCCAAAGGTGATTACACTCAAATGAAGGAGGATGCAGTTAACTATTCCAAATACCAATACTTCAATGGTTACCAAAACAAAAGATCAGTCGAAGAATAAAGCTTTTATAATAATTAAGTACATCCACGGACTTTAATTGACTAAGGTTCACGCAAGCATAGTTACTTGCTTCCTTTGAAAAGAGCGTGTCATTTTCTATGACAGTTCAACATTTGTTTGTCTTGTCTTGCAATGTTTTTCTCAAAGACTTTTTTGATTCAGTCTCATTTAACAATGTCATTTTCTTCATTCGGGCAACTGCTGGTCCTCGCACATTCAGAAAGATGGCAATACTCTTTTCAATAACAAATTGTGATGCTGGTCCTGACACAAGTTTTTCTCCATAGAATTTTACCATATGGTCATCCATTATTATTTCCTTTGCAGTAATATAACTGTCTTTTGTCATGTCTGATTCACTGATGTTCTTACGAACACAAATTTCACATTCTCGTATGAAAAGAAAGAAAATGTCGCTTGGAATTTTTAATCCCCCGCGACTTATTTCTTTTGTCCACTCTGAATATTTAGAGACAAAGGTCTTTTCCGAGTCTCGCTCATTTTTCATCAGGTTGTTTACTGCTTCTATCTCAGCTTCAGGTATTTTCTTTGTCAGTTGATGAAGGATATACCCTGCTATCATCATAAGAACGGACTGATCAGATTTTGTAAGCTCAGCATTTTCTCCTTGGATAGAGGACTTGTAGATTTTAGACCTATTTTCTACCAGATCAGTTATCAGTTGGCGATGGAGAATACCTATAAATTGACGGACTCTCATGTCATTGGATAATTCTAAGCATATTTTCATAACTGTTGAAGTTATCTCTTCAGTAAACACTGCTGAGTGAAACGTGCGTAGTAATGACTCATTTGTGTTATTGTCTGACTCAGAAGCTGTGTTCAAAATCTTGAAATAAATGGGCTGCAGCATAGCAATAAGTTTCTCTAGGACATGTTCATTTTTCAGCATATCTGATGCTAAGTCAACTATGAACTTCCCATTCACTGACTTGTTTATGTTGCGAAATTTATTTTTAATGATGTTTTTAAGAGTATCTGGCATCATTCCTTTAAACAGCCCATTGAATTCATGTTCACACAACCGGAAAGGTTGTTTTTTCTCCGAGATTGTGGATTTTCCAATTCTGTACTGCGAAGCTGAAACATAGTAAAAATGTTATTATTGAAAGTTCATAAATAATCATCAACTTTATTGTTAATTTTCAATATTTTGTATGTTTCAAAACCATCTGTTGCCTACGGTTTGGAAAAATAGTGCTTTCATATTGTCTGCGTTCCATAATGACAGGGAGTCAAAGAAGTTTATAATCTAAATCAGTATTGTTTGTTTTCATAAGATTTCATAATTTTCGGGTTTTGTTTTGATAAGAAATGTAAAAAAAAACCAAAAGAAAAACAATGTAGATCATTAATATTTTCTGTCAATCAGGAATTGAACTATGCATAGATATTGATCTCATTCCAAGATTTTTACATGTTACAGAATGTGCATTATGTACAAAGTATAAAGCAAAGAAGAAATTATAATAATATAGAATCGAAATATTTCAATTATCCAAAATATGAGCCGCGTCACGACAAAACCAACATAGTGCGTTTGCGACCAGCATGGATCCAGACCAGTCTGCGCATCCGCGCAGTCTGATCAGGATCCATGCTGTTCGCTACAAACTCTATTACAAGTAGAGAATATGATAGCGAACAGCATCGATCCTGACCAGACTGCGCGGATGCGCAGGCTGCTCTGAATCCATGCTGGTCGCAAACGCAGTACGTTGGTTTTGTCGCGACGCGGCTCATATGATTTTTAAATTGTATAAAGTCATATATACGTATATAAATTTTACTCTTTTTCTGGCATCCATTACAATTTAAAAGACTCCACAAATAAATATCGGCTGAATTTAGAAAAAAATATTCCTGCAAGACACAAGTGAAAATATGAAAAATATGTTTCACTGCAGAAAAATATATTTTTAATGAAAAAAAACTAATTTTACTTCATCAATAGTTCTCAATATTTGATTTGTATGTGTTCAATTTTATGGGTATTTTATATATATTTTCAGAATATTGATCCTGGTACAGTTATTTATTTGGTGCTATATCAACATACAATCATGACAAGAAAAAAGGGACTAATTGGTAGAAGAATGAAGCGAGAGAAACCACGGAAGCAACATAAGCAACATTTGTCAGCAGATGTTCTGGCAGAAGACCTCTTATCAAAATCGCTTGGTGATACATTCTTCGTTAAGGATGGTACTACAGAAAGTGATGAAACACCTCTAGAAAGAGTTGAGTGCTTTGACAGTGATGGATGTCATGCTGACGAGTTTTTTGTTATTCTTGACAAGCCTTACAGATATTGTCCAGATACTGATCTTGATGAGTTTGTGGAAAATGAATCGGTAAGGATATTTAGTGAATTCCGTGAGAACTGTAAAAGGCAAATAACAAATGACAATTTCACATACATGAAATCTTCAAATGACTTGAAATTCATACAGTTGTACGACACTGACAAGTATTGGGACTCTCCCCGGGTGAAAACTTGTGTTTGTGTAGCAAGGGACTTTAAAATTCACATAAGTGTTCATGGTAAAGAAATTCCAGATAACCATTTTATATGGAATTCAGTTCGCAGGTACTGTACTTCAGTCAAAGATATGGAACATGTCCTTGAACAGGTTGAGAAATTTGACATATGTTGTGGGAATCAGGACAGTGAATTACAGAATTTGATTCCTGTTGGTACATTTCTTGATGTAAAAAATGACTACAAATTTCAAGGCTACAGAGAATCATTTTACATAGGCAGCACTATCAGAGCCACAAAGTGTAGTCTGCTTATAAACACTAAAACAAGTAATCGATGTGAACACTGTAACACATATAGGCGGACTTTAAGAAAAACATTGTTAAGAAGGCAAAACACTCCAAAGATAGCTACTCCCAAGAAGGATTGGATCAAGTCCAAAATTCCCAACTCTAAATTGACTGAAAATCAAATGTTCCACAAAATAAAACAATTAAAGGAATATTCAAATAAGTCAACTTGAAAATGAGGTAGCCAGGCTAAAGCGGGAAGTAAAAAAGAAAAATTCAGAAGGAAGGTGTTGTTTTCAGTGATTGTGAAGGGCAAGATCTTATAGACATAATGGAAAATTCTGAAAGGGAAGTGCATCAAAGTTACCCGGACGAAAACTCATATCAGAGGATTTTTTGGGAACAGCAAAGAAAAAATTTGACATTAAAAAATAAGCATGGTATGAGATGGCACCCTGCTATTATAAAATGGTGTATCTTTTTGAAGAGTAAATCATCTTCCACCTATGATGCTTTAAAAAACTCTAGATTTATAACATTACCTTCTGAGAGAACCCTCTTTGATTACACTAACATTACCAGGAAGGGAACAGGTTTTCATGCTGACATAGTGGAAATGTTAATAAATGAAATGAACGGCCTGGAATCACACAAAAGAGTTGTTGGGATCCTTCAAGATGAAGTAAAAATAAAGCGTGATTTAGTGTATAATAGACATACAGGTCAACTAATTGGATTTGTTGACCTAGGGAACATGGGTAATGACCTGGACCAAATACAGGAATCGGATTCACAAAGGTTGGCAAAATATGTCATTGTCTTAATGGTTAGAGGCATTTCGACAAATCTTAAGTTTCCTCTAGCACATTTCGCTACGACAGGAGTCACTTCCGATCAGTTATTTTGTGTTTTGTGGGAGGCAATTGAAATTTTAGAAACAGATGTGAACTTGGAAGTTTTATTTATTACAAGTGATGGTGCTTCACCAAATAGACGTTTCATCAAACTACATCAACCTGAAAATGCTATGCACACCGTTTTTAGCAGTATGAATATATTTGCCCCAATGCCACGAGAAATATACTTTATAAGTGACCCCCCACATCTGATCAAAACAGCTAGGAACTGTTTCTCAAATTCCTTTTCCCATAAAAAAAGTAGATTCATGTGGAAAGATGGATTCGACATATCGTGGTTGCACATTGTCAACCTTTTCAAGGACCATTGTTCTGGCTTGTACAGGTTATGTCCAAAATTGACTCGTGACCATATTAATGTTTCATCTTTTGGTGCCATGAAAGTTAGGTATGCCACACAAGTTTTGTCTGAGACAGTGGCAACTGCATTAGAAATGCATTACGACCAAAAAGTTACGGAATCTGTCAAGTTCATACGACACATGAATAAGTTTTTTGACTGCTTAAATGTTCGACATTTGGGTGAAGCAGCAAGAACCCGTAATCCGCATCTTAAGGAGTACAGATCTGTAGATGATGAGCGACTCAAGTACCTATCAACAGAATTCCTGGGCTATTTCAACTCCTGGAAACAAAGTGTTGAGAATCGCCAAGGTCAATTCTCAAAAATGCAAAGAAACGGTATGATGCTTAGCTACCAAACCTTGGAAGGTTTGGAGATAACAGTCAATTCAGTTATTAAATGTGTTCAGTACTGTTTGAACTCCGGTATGGAATTTGTGTTGACTGAACGATTTAACCAGGACCCAATTGAGCAACATTTTGGTCTTCAGCGAGCCAATTGTGGCAGCAACACAAATCCAAATCTACAAGAGTTCAATAATTCTATGGTTCAACTACGGACTGTTGGAAGTCAAGTAATAGCCCCATTCAGAGGGAACACGGCTCGTCGTAGGTTGGATCTGCCAACTTTAGACCAAACACCATTGTGTAAGCGTAAACGTCATAATTCAACTTGAAGCTAACTTGTTTAAGAGTTCAAAAGTGTGTAAGAAGGATTAGATAAAACATCATATTCTTTTCCAAGATTGTTAGGTCCAGTTGAAGATTTAACATTCCAATTTGACTTTAAAAGTTGATTATAAGCAAATGGTTGCAAATATGCATATCACAATTTTTATTAACAGAAGTACATGTACTAAAATTGTTGAGAATTTCCATTGCAATCACTTTGACTTTTGTATACATGACGTGTTGATCTTGTTTTGTAAGGAATGGATTTGTATGTGATTTATATTGTTGTCTATTTAAAATCTGAGAATGATATTTGATGAAATATACAATCTTTTTCAACCAAGGCTCTTAAGTCGAACAGTTGAATGTGACAGTTAGTTAGATATTAAAGCTGCATGTCTCCAGATGTGCCATAATATTGCAAGAAAGTCATGCTTGAGAAAAATGAACTAAGTTTTTAGAAAAATGAAACCATTCAAGATTCAAGTTATTATCTTCATGTTATGTGCGGTTTTACATTTTTTATCACATTTTTTTTTACATGTTTTAAGACATTGCACGGACTGTTAGGTGTGAATTACCTTCTTTAAAAATTCATTTCACTTTAATCTTGAAGTCATAGTTTAATGTATTTATAGCATATTGAATTTTAAATATAAATGTTTAATATAAAAAAAATCCAACAACTGAAAATGGCATGATTTTCTTGTAAAGTGACTTTCTATTTGTTAAATTATTAGATTAAAATTGAGTAAAAAATTCTTAGGCTGTAATGTTAAGATCTGCATATAATTATCATCTTTAAGATCTTGTAAATTTTTACTTGGAGCTAAGTGGCTTTGTTGACTTCATACATGTATATAAAACATTTAACTGTTTTCTATATAGTCATGTACATGTACATATTAATTACTCTTTATGTATGCAGGAACAAATTACAATGTTAGTTGTGTAGTCTTTCATTTCCACACCTAAATAATTTGCTCTTCTTGTAAATTGTATAAAGATCATGTTCATGACAATGTGTCTGATTCTCTTGTCTTGTACTTTGTTTTATTTTTCTTCTTAAAGGACCTCCAATGGGGTTAATAAGCCTCGAAATTTTTTGTTTTTTAATTTTTCACATAGATCAACATGAGCACTTATAAAAGAAATATCAATAAAATATAACTAAGAAATATACAAGAAATACATTGAAAATCGTATGTTTGTGCTATTCTCTGTCTGATTCGAGTGAAAAGAGTTTAAACGTCATTTTTCACTATTATGATAATTATTTTGGATAAACTGAAAGAGCTAATGATCTGAAATTATGCACATAAGTTATTAGTATAGATCTACATCAAATAGAGTAATAATATAGACGAATATTTCCAGTCCAGTCATGTCAAAAAACCTCAGTGGAGTACCTTTAAGTTGATAAATGTAAGACAACATATTCTTAAGAAAGCTTTCATTATGAATATGACTTAAGTTTATGTACATGTACATATCTTGCAACCAGAGCTTCCTTTATGGAAGTTTGGGAGTCATTTCCTTCTTGATTTTGGTATGAGACTAAATTTAATAATTTTTCTTCTTTACCTTTATTATGTGACTTTAAATGTTTTTGCAGT